ATAGGTCGATCGTCGCTCCGCGAAAAAAATACGTAACTTTTTGTGATTATCCATAGACATACCGTCGCTTGCTTGAACAATATTTTCTACCTCTAAAATTTAAACAATTTAATTGAAACTTTGCCATTGAAAACTTAACATGTTAGACTTATTTGTGTAGTATTCAACTTGAACCGTTAAATTCAAATTTAAGGATAATTCATAAAAAACTAAAATTTTCGTCACGTTCGTGGCATCACCTTCGTGGTGTTTTATACACGAAGGTGATTTTANTATAGGGGGTAAATAGGCCGCAACTCGCGACGTATCAAACAGTTGATACATGCCTTTTTCCTTACTTTTTTACATCAGCCGGGATATCTTTTTAAATACTGGTGTGATTTAAATGAATTTGGTATCAATTTAAAGTTAAAAGTTTAATCTTTAAAATGGTGTTACTTTTTTTGTTACTAACAAATTCGTTAGTACACAAGATCGCGTGGAAACAACTTCATGTAAGTGATTCCATACTTTTGCTCGCAAGTGTATTTGACAAACTGTACTATACATAAAGTAAAGACGCTTTCGTAAAGGTCATGGTGTAGAATCCCCAAGTTGCTTATTCCATCCCTCATTTCATAAGCAAATTGCAGTCGTCCCACAAATCCGACTTAGCGTAGGTTTCGCTTGCTACGTCATAAGTGACGTGATGATCCACCAAAATAGTGATCTATTATTAGAGAGAGGCCACGAGGGGTCGCCAATACCGTCCATTCATACTCAGGGGATGACACTTCAGGTGTATAATAGTGGATATAGATTAGAGCAGGGATAGCGAACATTTATGTTATCGTGCTGATTTTCTAAAAAATGTTTGATGGAGTCATAGACGTGCCATCAAACACATCAATGAGGGGTTTCATACAAGTGGCGCCACTGGCGAGTGACACGACCTTATTCTACAGTGGCGCTAACTGATGAGGGCAGATACGTCAAAATACGCCCTTAAGCATACCGTCAATAATGGCAAGCGTGACTGACAATAGTGACTGAGTTTCTTGCGCTGCTTCTTCTCAGCACTGGCCCATTTATGGTCCCGAAGCAGTGGTAGGGTTAATACTGGGACGTGAAAAAGTGCTGTTTAAAATCCTATTTTCAAAAATAAATGATTTTTATGAGTTTTTTTTTACTTGGATGGCCATTAGACTTACCTTGCAGTAATTCATTTCGATTGTGGCAATCGATAGAAAATCGGTTAGTCTTTCTGAAGTTGAATGAAACTGTCAGTTACAATGATTGATGGTGATCGCTATGATGTATGAGTATTGTTTTTAAGAGTTTTTAAAGAGCGTTGAATTGATACGGAAGTGATCGGATCATTTCATATTGATGGAAAACATAGTTAGTTTTAACCGACTTAAAAAAAGGAGGAGGTTCTTTATAGTCAGAATAAAAGAAGAATATGTATATTATTTTTAGAAGCTTTTATTTAGTTTCGCCTGTCCGATGTTTTTCATAATCTTGCAAATTATTTGTGGTAGAGTCACCACTTTAAATAATAACTCAATAAAATGCCTTTAAATTATGAGATTTGAATTGGACCATTTTTGGGGTATTATCTCTTTTCTAGTGCTTAAAATAGGTCTAAATTTTAGCTTTTGATTACAAATACCATACAAGCGCAATCAACTGGTTATTATGATTATCTTCCTCCAAAAGCTTTCTACTTTCTACATAAACCATGGAAATGTAGCAATAACGACATACATACTTACCTATTTTATAAGTCAACTTGTCGAGTCATAAGTACGCGAATTTCACAGCTTTAAAAATGTAGTGAAAAAAGCAGAAGAATGTTTGGTACATTAGAATGAATTGTAATTGCTATCTTTTTTAAAATTCAAACTTGTATCTATGTATAATATGTTTACACTGTATACAAAAGAGAAAATTCTTATCCAAAGCACCTATAACTTTGACACTTACCGTAACTTTCTTAGCTAATTTAAAGTAGTCTCGGATTTCTGAGTTAATCAAGTGCCGAAGTTGAGCGTGTGAAGCAGTTTGCTGCTTGTTTCGTTAATTTGCGGGAACACTGTGCCAAAGGGGTGGGATATGCTTTAAAATAATGTGTTCTGATTAATGTCTTTTTGGGACACAAACTTCTTCGTAAAATTTTTAGTTTTTGTCTTATTTATAAATTACCGTGCCAAACTACAGGTATACTCTCTGTAAAGATGATTTAATTTCAAATTTCAATTCGCGGATGATCCCAATAAACAATTTTCAAAAAACAACTTAAAAATACCTAATTAATATCCAATTAATCCCTGACAAGCTGTATAATTATCAATTAGCTGTAAAATTCTAATTCATGCTGTGAAAATTTTGGTATGTAGCTTTGAAGTCTAAAATTTTTAGTCTATTAAGTTGGCGATCTGAGGACGCCATAGCATATGGGAGAGTCGTGTTTTGACAGTTCATAAAAAGTACCTAAATATTATTGACTAGCGTGTAGTAGCGCGTAGCACGCTACAACTCTTAAGTGCTACACGCTACGTTAACTACGCGCTACGGTAAGGTCTAATTCACACGAGAGCTTTTTTAACGTCCGTTAAAAAAGCGTTCAAATAGAACATATTATTATGCATATCCAAGTACGTGTTCACACGTCGGCGCTTTTAAAACGCGACGCTTTTTTATCGAGCAGTGTTGTATTTTCAACGCAGAGCGTTGGGAATAGGCCGTATGAAACTTTATATTATTATTCACACGAGCGTTAAAAAAGCGCCGGCGCTGCGATCAGTACGCCGCGCGCTCTCTTAGTGGTTGGACGTGTTTGGGTACTTCTCATTTACACTCAAATTTGATNTGGGTCTAGTTTTCCAGTAAAATACCTTGATGCAGTGAATTCTTAAACAACCGATTTGTACAATATATTTTGCGGTATCGTGTTGACATTTTATTACTAACGATAAATTACTGCGGATTTATAAAAATAAAATAACAACTTAAATATAATCGAAATCGTAATCATATATTGCATTCTATCACGATTAATTAAATCGTAGTTTTATAAGGTCAGTACTATTTAGAGAACTAAACACATTTAAGCTTGTTAACGGCAGCAGCGGCGACTTTAATAAATGTTAATTGTAGCATTGAGTGCGTAGACGCGTGCGTTTAATGACTGGCGAAAATAGATTATAAATATCGTGAGGATAGTGATGTATGATTATCGATAAAAATTATGTACTAAGCCTCTATGCTTGTAAATCATAACAATCATAGTTCTTACAACTAACAAATCATCTACTTACAAGTCATGAAGTTTATAATGCTTCAAATTCAACAAAACTACTTACTCAAAAATACTGCAACAACTAGGTAGGTATTAAGTAAAACTATACGATCCATATGTAAGCGAATCAGGAAGTTTAAGGATTTCTGTATCCATATGCCATTGAAAGGTTGACATAATCGATAAAGTACAGACAGTTCGTTGACAACACTTCTTGAGATGTCTCTCACCTAGCGTGTGTCTAATAGACGATTTTGTATTGGCATATCTCCAAATTATTTACTTTCCAAGATTGTATCATTACCCTTTGTAAATATTTGTATTTACCGTCGTGCGATTTCCCTGAGGAAGTTTTGAATTTCGGCCAACATAAGACGCGTAAACAACGGTGAATGTCTCCGAAATAAAAGTAAATGACTTCTATTGTTCAAGAATAAAGGGAACATTTTAAAAATACTAGAAAATTCAATCAATGCAATGACACAATAAAAATAGTTTTTCCATAATCTCAAAAAAGTATATGTAACCAGTTTCCGTTATGATTTCATATAATATACTTGTATCTGAATGGATCTTGATATTGAACTGACCTTCATTATATTATCGTTTGCGCGATTCGGTCTGATTCGTGAAATCTTTATGCAATAACTAGGTAAATTAATTTTAAACTTATTAAATACATTTACGGATCAGGTTAAAAGTAGCATGTTTATAATCATATAAGAGTTTACTGTTGAATATTATGCCATCGCCTTGACTTCAAGCGCATACAACCACGGCCGAGGGCTCCCCGCCACCAATCAGTGGCAATCAGTTCATCCGTCAAAGCCTAGCTAGACGATCTTCCCACACACCTGTTCGGCACACCATCTCTATTAAAAATCGTAATTAGATTATACATTGTCAATTCAATATTTTTGTTATTCAGCTACGACGAATATCGATGTATTGTAAACGTAGCTATTTTACAGTCCAAGAAAATCAAATCAGTTTTCAAATAAATGTAAAATTGATTTGTAATCTGTACCTTTACTTTTAGTATCTCTTTTTTTAGTATTTCTTTAAGCATTTTAGTATCTCTGAAATCAATAAATAGTAAGTTGAGTTGGTGAAAAAGTAACTGACTGCCACACAAATTTATGACCGTTCATTTTCACTCCACTTTGGTGACAAAAACCTGCCAGCTATACCGTTCTTCTAAATTGCATACCCACTGGCCCGGGGGAACCAGTGGGCTATGTGAGGCTCTTCCTGCCAGATGAGCAGGACATACACACTAAAACCTGACGGTGTCCTCCTTAAGTCTTTGGGACGGAACTGCGAGTTATTGTCCGAGCAAGAGGTGGCCTAGACAGACATTCTTTTGCAGCTCCGCCTCAGACTGTTTGAGCAAGTGACGACTGGCTTCAGGGGAGTAGTGCCTCCCATGTTCTTCGCTAACGGTGCGCGTGAACACAAGCGCGCGCCGCCGCTACAGGTCCTCCTATAGCGGCCACCAAACACCTCCGTGTCTAGTGACCGAGGACCCTAAAGGTTCGCTCAAACCAACGCGATCACGCGCGATCAGCCGGCGTGCAGCGATGGCGATCAATGCATTTAAGTCTGGTCGCCATCGCTGCACGGCGGCTGATCGCGTGTGATCGCGTTGGTTTGGTCGAACCTTTACGTGTTAACTCTGTTACAGTGAAAAACGGTCCTAATCGTCGTTCGTTAATTCCAGGCGACGGCTTCATGCTGAACGTGTGTTCGGTGCTGCAGCTGCTGTCGGTGCGCATCAAACTGGAGCGCGTGTACCCGCTGTACACCTTCCAGCCCGGCGCCTGGGCCAACGTGCGCGACGACACGCGCCTCTACTACACCGCGCAGGAGGCGCAGGACTGGCTGGACGAGCTCAGTGAGTAGTGCAGGAGCCGCTCACACCTCCAGGCGCCTGGCCCGACGTGCGCGACGACACGCGCCTCTACTACACCGCGCAGGAGGCGCAGGACTGGCTGGACGAGCTCAGTGAGTAGTGCAGGAGCCGCTCACACCTCCAGGCGCAGGCTCACGCCTCTACTACGTATTACGCGCGACTGTGCGACGCGCGCCCGCAGTGAGTGTGCGAGCGCGACAGCAACATAATTACGCGCGAGCGATAAGGATGGGTAGCTTGGGGTCATTGGACGGGATTCTACATGCTCACGGACCAGGCTTTACATACAGGGTGTCCCAAAAACAATGGATAACCCTGTAACCATCGATAGGCCTCGCCATGGTCTCCCTAACGTCCAATTTTGACCCCAGTAAAAATATCACCGTTTTCAAGATTTTTAAGTTTTTGTGCATTTTTAGAAAATTGCCACCTGCGATTACTTTTTCTCATGCCATTTCTACAAATGAGGATACTTTTCAATCTAGTTTTTTTCCTTATCACAAGGGATAGTTGGGCTATCAAAAGAAAAGATTAAAGTTCAACAAACTAGTTTAAAAGTATGAAAATTTTAAGAAATTGCAGAGAAGAAGGAAAAATTAATTCATTGTCTTGCACTTTTGATCAGCCATCGTGTAAAAAAAATGTAGGAAGACCATCGTGCCCATTACCTTAAAAACTTCCTTGGTTAATTGAGATTCTAAAAAGGTATCACAAGCCTATGTATTCTGTATTATTTTTATCTTATGGCTACTTGAATAGCAACTAGTATGAAAACTGCAAAAATGAGTTTTTCTCGTAATAGTTAAACTAGGACTGCATAGTGGCATTAAATACAAATGGATAATTTTTAGCGTAGGAATTTTAATAAAGCAACATTTTATCATCATCATCATCATCATTTCAGCCATAGGACGTCCACTGCTGAACATAGGCCTGTACCCCAATGATTTTCATAATGACCGCTTGGTAGCGGCCTGCATCCAGCACCTTCCTGCTTACCTTTATGAGGTCGTCGGTCCACTTTGTAGGTGGACGTCCTACGATGCGCTTTCCGGTACGTAGCCTCCACTTTAACCCTGCTGCCTCAGTTCTGCAAACTACTGTGCCCTGCCCATTGCCACTTCAGCTTGCTGATCCGTCGAGCTATGTCAGCGACTTTAGTTCGTTTACGGATCTCCTAATTTCTGATACGGTTTCGTGAAGAAACCCGAGCATAGCCCCTTCCATAGCACGCTGTCCAAAAAATCCACGTTTCCGAGCCGTGTATTATCACGGGTATCTGTCTATAGGCACATTTATAAGGTTTAAAACAAAAATTAAGTAATCACAAAAACGCAGAACGGACGGCCAATGGGGCAACAGGGTTCAAGTGGAGGCTACGTACCGGAAAGCGCATCGTAGGACGTCCACCTACAAAGTGGACCGACGACCTCATAAAGATAAGCAGGAAGGTGCTGTATACAGGCCGCTACCAAGCGGTCATTATGAAAATCATTAGGGTACAGGCCTATGTTCAGCAGTGGACGTCCTATGGCTGAAATGATGATGATGATGATGATAAAATGTTGCTTTATTAAAATTCCTACGCTAAAAATTATCCATTTGTATTTAATGCCACTATGCAGTCCTAGTTTAACTATTACGAGAAAAACTCATTTTTGCAGTTTTCATACTAGTTGCTATTCAAGTAGCCATAAGATAAAAATAATACAGGATACATAGGCGTGTGATACCTTTTTAGAATCTCAATTAACCAAGGAAGTTTTTAAGGTAATGGGTACGATGGTCTTCCTACATTTTTTTTACACGATGGCTGATCAAAAGTGCAAGACAATGAATTAATTGTTCCTTCTCTTCTGCAATTTCTTAAAATTTTCATACTTTCAAACTAGATTGTTGAACTTTAATCTTTTCTTTTGATAGCCCAACTATCCCTTATGATAAGGAAAAAAACTAGATTGAAAAGTATCCTCATTTGTAGAAATGGCATGAGAAAAAGTAATCGCAGGTGGCAATTTTCTAAAAATGCACAAAAACTTAAAAATCTTGAAATCGGTGATATTTATACTGGGGTCAAAAATGGACGTTAGGGAGATCATGGCGAGGCCTATCGATGGTTACAGGGTTATCCATTGTTTTTGGGACACCCTGTATTGTACAAACTTTCAAGAACTAAAATCTTCATATATTTTTTAACGCAGTCGATATCGAATGCGCTTGATGTAAACTCACACTACGCCCCCTGTACAGTCAGGAAGGATCTACAGTTTGGCGTCCAAAAACGCAACCATAAAAATATACGTTGAGTAGTTCCGAGGAGTTTACTGTCTTGATACCCATAACGTAACGTAACTCCCTCGGGGCTGCGGGTGTCTATGGGCGGCGATAAATCACTCACCATGAGGTGACCTGTTTGCTAGTTTGCCTCCTGTCCCATAAGAAAACTAATTGCATTCGTAAAATGAGAGAACGTTTATCGCCATTACTTAAACGCATACATTGTATAGATAGAATTATGTTGATCCAAATCATGTGTTTGTTTTTACAACTAAACGTTTTCATTCGTGGTCTTACATAGGTATTAAATCGCACTAAACATAAAATAAAATATGCTTATTGCAGACAAAGACCCCAACCACAAGTGGCCGGAGGCGAAGTTCACGACGGTGTGCTGGTTCCTGACGCTGCACATGCACCACGTGGCGCTCATCCCCGCCCTGCATACGCATCAGCGCCGTATACGGTGAGTTCACTATACCTCGAATTAGTTCTCGATATAACATCATTATCATCATCATCATTTCAACCATAGGACGTCCACTGCTGAACATAGGCCTCCCCCAATGCTTTCCACGTTGATCGATTGGTAGCGGCCTGCGCCCAGCGCTTCCCTGCTACCTTTCCTTTACGATGTCGTCGGTCCACCTTGTAGGTGGACGTCTCACGCTGCGTTTTCCGGTACGCGGCCTCCATTCCAGAACCTTGCTGCCTCATCGGCCGGCCGTCAGTTCTCGATATAACAACATAAAAAAATTGTTATCATTCAACACTCGACCTACCCTTAATACATTGTGAATCGTAAACCCTGGGCCTTTCCCTCGGGCTATACTTTTATCCAATTTGTTCTAGCTTTAGACTGAACTGATCACACAGAACTAAAGTCTTCACCATATTGAGCGATACCATTCTTGATCCGGAGACTAATCCGATCCGGAGGTCGTACTCTTATCGTATCAAGCTCCGTATCTAAAGCCCGGTCCGTGAGCACGTAGAATTTTGTCCAATGACCCCTAGCTACCCATCCTTATCGCTCGCGCGTAATTATATTGCTGTCGCGACTGTGCGACTGGCACCCGCAGTGAGTGTGCGAGCGCGATAGCAACATAATTAAGCGCGAGCGATAAGGATGGGTAGCTAGGGGTCATTGGACAAAATTCTACGTGCTCACGGACCAGACTATAGTTGTGGACTATTTTATTTTACTCCGTTGATTGCGTATCATGACAACAGTATTGTATCAATATTCATATCTCTTTTGATGATCGGATGAAAACCAACTCGACCGTACCGTAAAGCGATACGAATACAGTTATGGGATGGGATCGGGCAAATGTTACATCTCAGAATTTTTCTTAGAATCGCGAAACTATAAGTCAACCAAAAGATTTAATATTTGCTAAATAACGAGAACGTTTTTCTTCGTCGCAGTGCATTCCGGGACCTACAGAAAGTGATCGAAGAGCTGATGGCGGCCGAGCCTCAATGGCGCAACAGCTTCTCCGCGCTGCGCAACCGCGAGCTGCTCAGTAGATGGCGGCGTCAAATCAAACGCCTGCACAGGTAACTTTACACTGCTCAAGTAGCTTTACAGGCTAGATGAAACATTTTAGATGTCTGCATAATAATAACACACGACAGTAATAAAATCGGCTACATCGGCCATCTTCGAGCGCCTCAACACCAAACTGACATTATCATAATTTGGCATATTTGGATGACCTGCTTAAAACACGTGTAATGAGATTTTGGATCTTTCATTTAGAATTTCAATTTAAAGCTTTCAAAATTTAATCGTGCCGTTTTATCCACTAGCTTTGCTGTATGAAATATGCGTTTGCGCAGGTCTAAGAAGTGGGCAGAGATAGCGTGGCATTTGTCTCCTTCCATTCTCTAGTTAAGACTAAGATCAAGTCGTGTATGTCGACGAGAAATCGTGAACTCCATGAGTTTATAATATAACACGTGAGATTCTAATCTTACTGCGTCATTTTATAATCTGACGGAAATTAAAATCTTAGGTTTCTAATTTGTCGGCGCGGCAGCGGCATGACATCTGCATACGCGGTACCGAAAGCTTACCTAGCGCCTATATTTCAATGAAGCGAATTCAGAAAACGCCCTTACGGTGACATGTGTTAACTATCCATTTCCGTTTTTGCTCTCGCTCTCATCGAATGGTGATGCTTTGCGATAGAACGAGACGGCATGACCGGCAATGGGCAGTAACTGTTACCGATAGTACATTGGCACGCTCTCAGGTCGAAGCAGTGCGCGGAGACAGCGCTGTTGGACGGCGACGTGATGCGGCGCAGCATGCAGTTCTACGCGAGCGCGTGCGCACTTCTGACCGCGCAGTTGGAGGCGGCGCGCGTCGGCACGGGCCCGCGCGCCGGCGCCTTCCGCGCCACGCCCGAGTGGTACGTCGAGGACATCGCCGAGTTCATGCTGTTCGCCGTCCAGTGAGTCTACTCTTTTTCTTTTTTGATGATGTTGGCAATACGCGTCGAGGTCGACTTGATTTGTGCCATTTTCAAGTATACAGGGTGTTAGGTAGGGTATATGAGCCGACACTAGCCCATGTTAACATGGTCACAGAAAATTGATGTCTTCATTTTAATTATTTTAATTTTCATACAAATCGCATTTTATAAAATTTATTTTGTATGAAAATTAAAAAAATTAAAATGATGATATCAAATTTCTGACTTCACCATACCATTTATATGACCATGTTAACATGGGCTAGTGTCGTCTCATATACCCATTTACCTAACACCCTGTATAAGTGATACGAGTTACAAAATAATATCAAGTAATGATATTATGAAGGATGATAGATGATACCCCTTCCCACCCTTTGAGTCTCAGTAAAGTTGTGGTGCTTCACTGAGACTTCCTATGGACAACTTGAGAGAACCAGAAGAATCACGATGCACTGTTTTGCTTCACTTGCCCACACTCATGCACGTTCACGAACACTCAATGGTTAATAATCCACCATTATTACACATTAATAGTCGCCCACACACAAATTTGAGGAAATAAAACAAAACCGCTAACATGACGCTTCAGATTCCCGCCAAGAAGTCCGCGAGTCAACTCATTTGGCATTTGTTTTTATTTTTATTTTATTGTAGCTTCGTGCGGTTTGCACAATGGCCAGTGTCAAGTACATGGTTAGGCATGTCGACATGTTTGAGGAGACCTTTGTGTAAAGCCCGGTCTGTGAGCACGTAGAATTTTGTCCAATGACCCCAAGCTACCCATCCTTATCGCTCGCGCGTAATTATATTACTGTCGCGACTGTGCGACGGGCAGCCGCAGTGAGTGTGCAAGCCAGACTATAGCTTCGTGCAGTTTGCACAATGGCCAGTGTCAAATACATAGTTAAGACATCTCGACACGTTTTGAGGAGGCCTTTGTTTAAGAGTGGAAGTCCTGAGCAATGATGATGAATACTACAAATCCAGTTGGGATTTAGGATCAACAGTAGTAACTGCAGTAAGGCAATCGTGACCGTTCGCTCTGAGGCTCGGACTGCAAGCAATTCTCCAAATTTGAATCGATTTATCATCACTAAACATCGTTAATTTTTGACGTTAGTTTTTGATTCTACATATCAATTAATCGTTATTTCTTACTTCCTTATATCTTATTTTTAATCTGCTTCATCATTTACTAATGTACGTCATAATGTTTTAAATTACTTTATCATTATACAATATTATGAAAATTATGTGTAATCGAATCTATCAGATAAAAAAATTATATCATTTTGTTATCTATTTTTATCTAACTAATAAGGAAAAAAGCTAGCGCATTCATCTCACCTTTGTCTAACTATTACCACACATACACACTACCATATAAAGCGAAACTAACTCGATTCAAACTCAAGATTCAAGTCTGTGATCTGTTGAAACAATGTTTGGACCTATCATAGGCTCGAATCTATTCTTAATACAGTAAATACTATAATACTGACATTAATCGGCAAGCAGGCATGCTACATGTACGCATCTTGTCTCGCTTCGCACCCTTCGCTCGGGCCGTCGGTGACTCGCTTGGCTTGTCTGTTCTCACTCGCTACACTCAGCATCTAAATCGGTCTACGTAGAATACGATTCAATGTTTCGTGTTTAGGTAGTCACTAATCTGCCAGAACAAGCTTTCGAAATATGCACAATGGGTACTAATATAATAATTATAACATAACATTAATTATGCTTCAAAGTCATGCTAAAGAATAACAAGACTAACACATCATCCTATTACGCGACTTGAATTTTTTTAGAAATAAACTAGGATTCATGTTATGCCTAGTGAGTTATGCAAAATATCTTTTCACATTCGATTATGCGATGCAAAAGTCCTGGGGTCTAAAATTGGGGTTCTGTAAGCTCGTCCGTGGTCCGAATGCATGCTGTCCGAGCCTCAAGGCACGCCCCTAATCGCGCGACAGATATGAGATGCAGATCCATTCGCGGTTTTGCGTGGGACTCACGTACTACATGGAGGCGATATCCGGCCAGCAGTGGTACACCCAAGATCTCTTCGAATTCATGCTCTTTTGCGCCGAGTGAGTCCACTTTATTTCTCCGAGGAAAAGGTGCATCACTTAGTTAGACAAGCTTCGTCAATGCATCGGAAAGAAATTTATATTCGTCACCATTCAATCAGTGTACATTATTATTCGTTTCCATCTCATACCTCGCTGGGAACCAATAATAATTACAATGTACTTACTATGCATGCGATGCAATGAGATCGCTGTTCTCTGGGTCATGTCAATTGCTGATAATTTGATCTCCATTTGAGCCGCATCTTTTCTAAATTTAATGACTTGAATCCAGTTTAAACGCTAGTTTAAGATATCAGTCAATTTGTAACGCACTATAAACGGGTTTCGTCATTTGCAGATACGTCCCACGGATAGTAGCAGACTACATTGAGGACCCGATCATAACGTGGCTGCTCAGCGCCATCTGCAACTCTCACTTGATCAAAAACCCGTATCTGGTAGCGAAGATAGTTGAGGTGTTGTTCGTGATCAACCTGTCGCTGCCGTTGAAGCTGAAGAACGTCTATGAGAAGTTCATGGACCACCCCATGTCGCAGACGGCGCTGCCGAGCGCGCTCATGAAGTTCTACACAGACATCGAGACCACCGGCCAGAGCACGGAGTTTTACGACAAGTTCACGATCCGATTCCACATCAGCATCATCCTGAAGGGCATGTGGGAGCGGCCTATTCATAAACAGGTCAGTTTTTATTGCGTGACTGTATTTAGACCTAGAATGTGCGCCAGGATAATGTGCGCCAGGATATCAAAACGCAACAATTAACCTAGAAATTAGCACGGCACTAAAGAAATTTATTCAAAACTGCCACGCGGTCTCGTGCTAGATGGGCGTCTTAAAGGCCACCTTCTATTAGAGCGCGTGGTAAGTAACTTGCTTCTGAATGTATGTAACTTCCTACTTTTTTATTTTTAAACCGGCAGACAGTGGTGACTGAGTTTGTTGCGGCGCTTCTTCTCAGCACTTGCCAAATGTTTGTCTCGAAGCGCTGGTAGGGCAAAAAAAGAATGAGACATGTATAGGCTCCTTAAGAGCATTTGACGATTTGCAAGAACTAATTTAATTAGTCTAAACAAATAAAGATAATTTTGATTTTTTGATTTTGAGCGATTTTATCGCGACATTTTATCGATTTTGTACGAAAAGCCCATACATTTGTCGTCTAAAATTTTCAATAAGATTTTATCATGGTGCGCATCCTAGGCCCTAGCCCAGCTGGTTTGTATTTTTACTTGATAATTCCAATGTTTAATTAGTAAATCTATTCACATGTATTTGAATTGAATGAAAAAGGGTTTTATGACACTAGTTTGCGTATATTCCAGGCTATCGTGAAGGAGTCGCGCTCGGGCCGCCAGTTCGTGAAGTTTATCAACATGCTCATGAATGACACCACATTCCTATTAGATGAATGCCTTACGGTAAGTTTATTGTTTTAGTGTTTGCATTTTGCCCATCCATTCTAAGCCTGATCATCACTTTCCATCAGGTAAAATCAGTCATCATCAGTTATGTTATGATCAGTCAGTGCTTGAGGTATGTGAACGATACCACAGAATAATAATAAGTACTACGTACAGAAGTTTTACTTCGCGAAGGTATTTAAAAAAAATTATGCTCAATGTTTTTAACAATATGGTGTAATTTGGCCTGTCTCAAGAGTCAAGCACCACTTTGTTGACAAACGTCAGTGATCGGCACTGCGCCGAAGCTATAGGGCTGACTACGGTAAAATGATGTGACGTGAGGTGCCAAACTGCGGAAAATGGCGGAGGAAATACATGATTTAGCATGAATTATTATCATGATAATATTAACTACTTATTTACCTCTCAGTGTCTTGAGGCAACTTAAAAAAAGTACATTTTGTGTTTTTATTATTATTTAGGCAGTTAAATACTGCACAGTATTTAGTACACCATTTTCTTTATTTTCTTCTATCATACACAAGAATACGCGTGCGTGAGTCAATGTTCGCTCGTATGTGTGGCCTTGTCGAATAGTATCCCGTAGGTGGGCCATCGTGCGTGTTTTGTTTTCGATGTAAACTCGCGGAGATGAACAGGCCTGGCGATACGGGAAGGGTGACATTGACATATTACAATGTGACAGAGCATATAAATCTGGAGCACATTTGAAGTCTCGCTCGTCGTCCCAAAAACACCCTCACATGCCGCTCCCATACCTCAGGCATTAATTTGAGTTAAGCGCTACTGCGCTAAACCTATAGCGCAGTACGAGTGCGTAAAGCGTGCTGTAGGGCCATTCTTACCAAATTGGTTAACAGATGTCACTAAGCTAGTGCAGTACGTTAAGCGTGCTGTAGGGCCATTCTTACCAAATTGGTTAACAGATGTCACTAAGCTAGTGCAGTACGTTAAGCGTGCTGTAGGGCCATTCTTACCAAATTGGTTAACAGATGTCACTAAGCTAGTGCAGTACGTTAAGCGTGCTGTAGGGCCATTCTTACCAAATTGGTTAACAGATGTCACTAAGCTAGTGCAGTACGTTAAGCGTGCTGTAGGGCCATTCTTACCAAATTGGTTAACAGATGTCACTAAGCTAGTGCAGTACGTTAAGCGCGCTGTAGGGCCATTCTTACCAAATTGGTTAACAGATGTCACTAAGCTGAGGTTTCAACTAGTTTATTTTTGTCCTTAGTACCTGAAACGCATCCACGAGGCGCAGGAAGGCACCGCGGCGGGCGCGAGCGGCGCCACGGCCGAGGCGCGCGCGCGGGCGCTGGCGCAGGACGAGCGCCAGTGCCGCTCCTACCTCACGCTCGCCAGGTCAGTCGAGAACAGGGATGTTGCTAATATCCGCATCCGCAAATGCGGAGCATCCGCACGAACTTGGACATCTGTATTCGCATCCGCAATGATCAATGCGGATTTTTATGCAGATGCGGATGTAAGAGCAGGGTCGAAGAATGGCGCGTTTATTGCATTTCATTGCATTGGTTAATGTCAATGTGAACGAAAAAAATCGGTGACAAGATTCAATGCGTTTGATGTGATCTATCATTTGTTTCTTGTAAATAAATCATTAAACGTGTTTGCGCCATGATGCCCTAAGCGATCCACACCTGTGTTCCTCCCACCATGGTGAGCTACTATGAAATATTTACAACCTATTTATTACACATTTAAATGCGACTTCCAACTTTTACGGGTATTGAATTCGCGAAAAAGACTTTTTATGTGCTAGCAATTTGGGGTTCTTTTTGGTGTGACATGGAAATATTTTGAGCCAATGATAAGGCTGATTGTTAAATAAAATATCCAATAAAAGCTACTCTCACAATTTCTTATGCGACTAATATACTTTCTATATGTGAGCTTTCAAAAATCCGCATCCGCAGATGTAAAAAAATCGGCATCCGCAACATCCCGCAGGAAGGCACCGCGGCGGACGCGAGCGGCGCCACATACTGTTGAGATCAACAACATTGCTATATTATTATTAATAAGCAAGATTGCTTACCTTCGTTACTGTACCCGCAGGGAGACGGTGGACATGCTGGAGTACCTGACGGTGGAGATCAAGGAGCCGTTCCTGCGCGCCGAGCTGGTGGACCGGCTCGCCTCCATGCTCAACTTCAACCTGCAGCAGCTCTGCGGGCCCAAGTGCAAGAACCTCAAGGTGAGCGCTGGATAACGGTGTAGGTATTGGCCTGGCCGATTCGAGATCCGAGGACCGCTGGTCCGAACCTCGTCACAGTTTCAATGTCCAACTGGTCGATTCGAGATCCGACGACCGCTGGTCTGAACCTCGTCACGGTTTCAATGTCAAACTGGCCTATTCGAGATCCGAGGACCGCTGGTCCGAAGCTCGTCATGGTTTCAATGTCCAACTGGCCGATTCGAGATCCGAGGACCGCTGGTCCGAAGCTCGTCACGGTTTCAATATCAAACTGGCCGATTCGAGATCGAAGGACTGCTGGTCCAAAGCTAGTCATAGTTTCAATGTCCAACTGGCCGATTCGAGATCCGAGAAACGCTGATCCGAACCTCGTCTCGTCCGAGTCTTTGTATTAAAATACCCACTTATGATGTTGCTGATGCTCAAAAGCTGTGTCCCCATTAGCGAACTATGAGCTTGACTCTAATTGGTCGCTAAGACATTTAAGACAATGACAAGTTCGCAGCTACATTTAACCGTCCATCAGGCCTAAGAAAATATATTTTCATTGGTTTTCAAGTTTCGACCATATCTTCACAGCATAAGTTAAAATTTTGGTGTGGAGTACATTTAATTAATGATTAGTCGAGGGACCATACCCTCGATATAAGCTGCGAATCAGCGGCTCACACACAAATACGTAACAAGCAAATCACGTGCAACTGTCTACGCTGTATGGATGGACACTGCATTAAAAAGACATTGGAAGGCGAACTAGAAAGACAGAATGAATTTTCTGTTTTTTTTTCCAGGTCCGCCGGCCAGAGAAATACGGGTGGGAACCGAGGCGGCTGCTCAGCCAGCTGGTCGACATCTACCTGCACCTCGACACGCCGCAGTTCCACGCTGCGCTCGCCGCGGATGAGGTAAATACCACCTTATCGCCCACATTTTACGATCCTAAGTGACACATTTCCAAAATATATTAGGTTTTTTAATCTTTGAGTGAAGTAATGCTTCAACCACACCAACGCGTGCAAATTGCCAATGACAGGTCGCGCGACCCGTGACAGTTCACGCGACCTGTCATTTCCCTTTGATCGCGCCGGCGATGGTGATCTGCATGCGTTGCCGCGTTGGTGTATTTGAAGCTTTAAACACCTGTTTCATTTGTTGGATTAAGCTATGATTAGATTATGGTTATCCTTTTGACACGCGACGAAATGTAACAGATGACATTGTAGTTTAATCTCTTTCAGTAAAACTTGTTTTTTTTTTATTATAGAGATCCTTCCGCAAAGAATTATTTGAAGAGGCCGCTATGAGGTTGTCCAAATCCTGTATCAAGACAACCACCGAGATCGAGCGCTTCAAGGCGCTCGCTGACAATGCATATCAAATCGCAGGTAATTAATTATGTAGATTTAGAAAGAAACTCCTTAATTATTTATTTAAAACGACTGCTGAACACAATGTAAAAAAATACTGTTCTGCAGGAACTTGAATACCTAGATGTCTTAAAATCTTATATCATCTCATTGTGCAAATTGTATTTAGATCTCTAAATATGACTAAGTGAAACCAACATTTTATTTTTTGCAGTATCTAACCAGCAGAAGAGCGACGAATACGCCGACGCCCCTGAGGAGTTCAGGGATCCGTTGATGGACACACTAATGACTGATCCTGTATTATTGCCATCTGGAAAGGTATTACCTTTATATATTATAAATATTATCTTTCAATAAACAAGTAGGACTGTTTCTTGGCTTCTTACTATAAAATTCGCCTTATTATCGCTCGCGGTGTCACTGGGGACGTCAATAACTTTACGAATCGTGACAAATAAATCAATAATAATGACATGCAAGTATTTTGTATGAACTCAGAATTATTTTAGATTATGATCAGCAATCTCAATCTCAAGTCATTTTTTCTGAAATCATTGTATGTATTTTTTATTCGGTTGCAAGGACTGATGACTAAGTTAGAACGTTTTACGGTATTAATTAACGGTTCAGTATAATGAATTTGATCGTGTGATGGCAGGTCATGGACCGGTCGGTGATCCTGCGGCACCTACTCAACAGCGCCACGGACCCTTTCAACCGGCAGCCGCTCTCGGAAGACCAACTGCGTCCAGGTAACATGTTCAAACTATTACAACGCTGTAATTTAAAGTGCACTTTATCTTCTAGTGCATTGAGTGTCATTCTGTCTTGCTTAAATAAAGATTTTATTATTATTATTATTTGGTAGTTTAATTATTAATTGATTTCTCTCTTTACTTTGCAGCGACCGAACTGAAAGAGAGGATCAGTCAATGGCAACGTGAAAAGAGGGGATCGACATCATAAACACTAAGCCAACGATTAAGTCTGATGTATATAGTCTAGAACATATATAAAGACTAAAATCTGGATATATCCAGCATTTTAAATGGACTATTGTCCACGCGCATGAATGTGAGATTATTCTAAGTATGTTGTAGTGTGCAGTTGAAAACGAAGGTTACGAGGCGATCCGTAACAAAGCATGACTCGAAGATACTAATCGTTTGTTCCCCGCGTGTTGGTTCACATAGCTGCACAGTGCCGCCGATCCGCCTTACTTTAAAAACTCTTTAAATTATTAATGTTATTATGCATAACACTCAATTTTTCTGTGATGTTATAATTTTAGCGTTCATTTGGCAGCATTTTAATCCACACTTGAAATCAAAATTATCACATTTCAATGTATAAAAGAAATATCTTACATAAAAGTAAGAACTCTATTTTCGACATCACAACAAGTAATAATGAAGTGGCCTAAATGTAAGATTGCCCGTGATTAGGTGCTCGTAAAGAAGATTGACCCCAAATGAACACCATCTACATACGTGATGACACGGAACATTGTCTTCTTGCATTTGATATTCTCTCTGCGGTAATCGCACGCAAGTCATCTGTTGTAGCTGTAGCCCCGCATTAGTTTAACTAATGGTATACTTTAAACATTTAGGTGTTTATGGAATGTTTTAGACATTTTATTTTTGTGCAAAATGGAAAGAGTAGATAAATGAATTTATTTTATGAATTTGATAAACTATTCACATATATAGTGATATTATGTTTAGAATACTTTAGCCAACATTATTTTAATAACTATACATTACATATTATCGATTATGTGATTTGTTCCTTTATGTTAGTTCATTTAAAATATTTTGTTTCTCACTTGTTAGCTGAAATTAATATCGAAATAATAATTGTATTATCATTAGCATAATCACAATTATATTGTAATTAATTATAAAGTCTCTGCATTACCAAATCTCAATTATTAAAATTTATCCAGTCACTGCCAAGTCTGTCAACATATTGAATTAGTACAGGCATTCCTAAATAAGTCCATTTCTTTAAAATTACATGGTCTCACTTGTATAGTATAATTTGACTTGTATTTATCTTTATATTATGAAGATTATATGCTAGAGGTCTCTTATGTTAATATGTCAATAAAAAGTAATAATATTAATGGAGTTATTTCTATTTAATTACTTATCTAATTATATCCCCAGCATTACCGCACATAGCTGTTGTATGATATATTTCTTAATAGACTTATCTTACTTATCTGTTATATTATACTTATCTAGAATGAGTTCATATAGGCACAGTCAATGATAAATAATAACGTACTTTTAGGGCAGTTTAAATAAAAATATGGAATATAAATATTAAATATATATTTGCTTTAAACCAATGTAAACACTTAAAATAAATTATTGTCAATTCATCCATACTTATATCCAGATTCAATCAAATGTGCGCAATATATCACGAACAAGTCATTTTTCATGTGAAACTTTCTTCCCTTAACAATATAATCTTAAACTTAAAATAGGAGGTAGTTATTGTATCCATGTGTAGAATTTTCGTAACCAGATTCAAATCAGGTTACTGAACTATTTGCTACTGTAAAGCAATGAACATAAGACACATTTCTATATTTTATGCTTTACATGAGTATAAAAGGCTATCAGCAGCTGCCTATCAATACCTCAACTACACATGAATAATGTTAATACAAGTCAAGCTAACAAGAACATTAACACAAAACTAAATTATTTATGCTCTCTATTCACCATTGATATGTTTGGTACACGCCTTAAAAAATATAATGTATGATGACTTATCCTTAATTTGTATTCAATACATAAATCTAGAATACTCTATTTTTTATGGAATACTCGATTTAAATAGAAAACCCCCTTACATAATTAGATGAATAAAGCACAACCATAAAAAAGAGAGAAAGGACACTATTTTAGAAATAGTCAAGCTCATACTAAACAATTATGTGCACACATACACCATATAGCAATATTTGAGATTCCACCAGCCTCAAAAGACAACTAATACAATCATTATGCAACAATTATTTCGTAAGTACAGATTGCCACAACTTACAATTTACTTTTACCGTAGAAGAAATGGAAGCCTGCTACCAAAAAGACATGAAATTACATACAGCATTCCAAAGTAAAAGTTGAGCCTAGCAGTTTGTCTTGGAACACATCTCATTGTATCAGGGCTTCTAAACCTTCTTTCAATTTCAAAAGCTCTAGGTAATGTCAACATTGGAAGTAAAAACCAAAATGAACAACGCACAGATGCAACTACAAACATTATGTATGGAGTGAATAGTAAAAATGCATACAGTAAATAGGAAGATGTTCTTCCAATCAATATTGCTAAAGTAACTATTTCAGCTTTACAATCAGTTTCCAAATCCCTCGTGTTGTTGCTGTGTAAAATTGCTTCCGTGTTTAATGCCAATGGTATAGCATAGTAGATTATTGGCCAATCTACTCTTCCAGTTTGAACCAAAAACGCAAACACTACAGACACAGGTCCAAATATTACAAGCACTAGAATGTCTCCGAGGGCTATATATTTCAATCCAATGCCACCTGTGTAAAGAAAAGAAGATGATAACCCACCAAAGTACACTAAAGCCAAATGTTCCATTCGTGCCGGAGAAAGCATCACTAGCGGAACAAAAAACACGCATCCGCCCAAGTACAATATTGCGCCCAACGAAACCACTTCATCAATACTGAGTATGTGATCAACTAAAGTTCTATCGTCCGATTTGCGGTTATCAATTCCTTTGACGAAGTCGAAGTATGTGTTGACGACGTTTCCCGCGCCGTGCACAGGGATGACGGTGCACAGCGTGAGCAGCAGCGCGGGCCAGCTGAAGGCGCTGTCGCCCGGCAGCCGGTACGCCAGCGCCGCGCCCAGCAGCGTCGGCAGCAGGCTCGCGCTCAGCGACCACGGCCGCAACGCCAGCACGTACGTCCGCATCTTAATTAGTGGGTTACGGACTGGAATTGTCTCCTCCTTAGGTTGCTCCAACAGATTTCCTTCCGCAGCTGGAATATCCATTATACCGACACCTAATGTACGTTGGTTCACAAATTTATATTCTTAATAGATAAAGAACAGCTTCGAGGTTCGGTTTGAATATTATAACGGTGTCATTTTAAGTAAAAAGAGGAGAATTAATTAAATCATCACGTAGATAAAATTCCAACTTGAAGTTACTTTGACAGTTATGTCATATGTCAAAAATGACAATCAGCTGTTTATAGATGACCCACGCTGAACTGTCCCACCAAACTCAATGACAGGGGGGCGCTACCATCGTTCAACTATATGGTTTCCAACACAGTTTCCAACATGGCAAAAATCTGAACCAGCGATCCGGTATTGACGGTGGCGCCCCACTGTCAATGTCATCGACAGGACAGTCCAGTATTTTGGAACTATACTGAAAGGTGATCCACAGATGTTATAATCTAATTGATCAATATGATTGAACACGCGGAAAAAAAATTTTTTTTTCGAGAATTTCTTTTTATCTAGGTTTATTTAAAAATGTTTGAATGATGATAGCTTTTCTCTGTCTACGGCTAAATGATAAACTTTATAGCCGGGTCTCTAGCGCGTGTTTTGTCTCACACTAGCAACAAAAACATGCCAACATTCAACATTTTTTGTAAGCAATATTTCACCGAAAATACCGAAATGCGATTTCCGTAGCGTATGTCGGAATGTGTGCATTTACCCTATAACTTCAGTAATCAAAATTCTTCTCCGTCTCCTTCTCACTCCTACAGATTATATTATCTACGGTCTCATTGTTTTGATTGTTGAATGTGTTGATTGATTTGATTATCTGTGAATAACCTAACCAAAACCAAAAAATAACCTCAAAACCACAGCTCAAAACCATAAAATAATAACATTGGTTGAAAACTTGAAGAAGTAGTATTAGTAGTATTACTAATTATTTACTAAAATAAAGGGTAAGTAAAATTTGTTTGTAATTGTTATGTACGTCAAAAGAATACTTTTAATCATAGTTGAATAATTTTAATATTCTTGTGTGCTAATAAGCAATCATTAATCTTTTTCTGCACTGCATTAAGTTAAAAATTATCAACAGTTTAATTTTGTACTTACCTCTATCTTACCAAGGCAGTCACTATGCACTATTTTAATTAATTAAAACAAGTGGCAGATTAATGTAACATACCTACAGGCAGGTGGCAACTTATTCTTTGACTTAATTTTTTTTAGCATTGTGCCAATACTAATATTTTATAACCTTTCCCTAAAAGCTAAATTCATCGGAGTAAAATAAATAAAATAGAAATTAAACTAATAAAATATTTCATAATGTTAGTATAATATGGCTATATTAACGTTTATATATATCACAAATGATATAAGTAGATAAAAGTGCTTACATGGTACCGATTAAAAAAGCTTTTTTAAAGCTCAAGTCATTGGTCTACATTCATATAATTGATTTTATATCTCACTTCCTCTGAGCAGTCCCATCCCATGTGAATCTTATGTATCATGCTTGTTTGTTTTCAATGACTCCTGACCTAATATCTTATGTTTTTTAATGATTTTCATTAATATGTTGGTCACAACTATTTTATAGTTTTTTTAAAGCCTATGCATATCATCAATTTTATAACTACTAATGTATTGGATAACAATAACAATAAAATCTATAACCTACTTACCTAATCCTTAACTCTTACTTTGAAATATTATTGTGTGGTAAAGGCAGCCTAATGGTTTGTGAATTGACAAGTTCCACAATGGGGTCATTCCATGACAAATGTTACCGAGGGTGAAAAACTAAATATCGATACCTCTGGGCTCAAAGGTCGTAAAGGACAAAATACCGAAAATGAGTTATTTATACAGTTTTACTCAGAATTTAATTCTCTATCGATCTGTATATTTAGTTTGTCGAAATTCCCAAAAAAAGTGCCTTTACGACCCATCATATTTGATAAGCTAAACAGAATTCATCGTGAAAATTGGGATGTAAATACCATTTGATTTTTTAAGTAAACACAAATTTTTGGGCGTATAATGTACATGTAGTATATCTATTGTCCTATACAACCTTACATTTTCATATCCAAGTCTGAATAATTTGTCCTTTACGCCCTTAGATTATCTAAACAAATATTTTAAAAATATACACAGTGAGGATATTAAAATAACTGTGAAGGTAAATTTTATAGACGTTTCTTATAGCATTTAAGTATGTGCGTTTGGAACAAACGAAAGAACCTAAAAAATCATCAAAAATATATAATAAAACTATTTTAGAGTGTAACATTTATGTGATTTGTACATATAAAATGATGAAATCTACCCACATCGGGTAAAGTAATGTTGCTTTTTATTATTTCTCATATTTGAAGAAACTAGGTATTTGTCAGGTAAAAGATAATTATTAAAAGATGATTTAAGAAAATAAAAACATGCTATAAATTAATAACGTATTACCTAATTAAGTTAGGATAGTCATCAAATTTCAATTTCATCAAAAATTGAAAAAATGAAAAAGCTATAAAGAGAAAAAACTTCACCTTACTGTAGTCCTTAGGTGTCATTATTTTGTATGCACAAATCACACAAATACTACACTTTACAATTATTTTTAATGACTTCCTAGTAATTTTGACTAACGCCTTGGTCAAAACCACTTTTGAATTTTGAGTGTTACAATAATTAGGTATAATAAATTAGTATAGTCTCTAAAGTACATACGTACGTACAAGTGGTAGGGTTAATATTGGGACGTGTAAAAGCGCTTTTTTAAAGCCTATTTGCAAAAATAAATGAATTTTATGAATTTTAATTTTTTAGTTATTTGGATCAGCTAATAAAGAATAACTAGTAGGAAAAATATTTACACAACATGGGAAAATATAATAATATGTTGAGACTTAATCTACTAAAAAGCGTGAATGTAGTTTTTTTCGAAGTTATATTATTTTTATATTAAAAATAATTGGCTTTTAAAATCGGTATTGTGTAGGAGTAAAGTAAGTGGATTTACTTTACTGGAATGAAAACCTTCCTACTTATCTTACTTACCTAACTTTTTTACTTTTATACCAAGTACAGTGACATAATTTTAAGCTACTATGAATTAATAATGTTAATTTTTTTTAGAATTTAGAATAATTATAGTTTGGTTTTCGTTTGTCCTTAATAATTATAATTCTATTTGCATTATCATAAGGTCAACTGGTGGACAGACTGCCCTATGGAATTAAGTCCGCTATTTGTAATTTTTCGAAACAATAATAATGATTAAATAAAAAAATAAAATTAAATTGGTTTCGGTTTTTCCTATAAAGTAGATATTTATGAAGTTTCATTTAAAAGCGTCATAATATTTATTTTCTAAATTCGCTTTTATATCGGAAATAGTTTCTTCTAGTTCGAAGATATCAAAACTTCTACTTAAATAGTTTCATAAATTGTGTGCATTAAATTATGAAGCTACGGAAAATCATTTTATTTCATTTAAAATACCATAATTCATTAAAAATGTGTGAAGGAATGGTATATTACATATGAAATACCATAAAATATAGGGTCCTTCTAAATCAGCTACGTTCCGTTTAATGGGAGCATGTATACGTCACACTGAATACGTTCCCAAAGTTTGAGCCAAAAATTCAGGCTAGTTTCCGAGATAATTAAGGAAACAACTTCATTTCTTATCAACCCAATACAACACCCTGTTCAGCTGATTCACTACTACACCGACAAAAACGCACGCACACGAGCTTACGTAATGGCCGCCATTGCGCTTGTGCTGCCGTTGGGCCACTGGCCGCGAACACAAGAGTGCCGCCGGACGACGGATCGGGCGCCACACAAGCTATTCTAGGGCTACTACTAGTTATTTGAGGAATTAAATTAAGCAGAAAATTAAAGTTTATTTATTTTTGGTAACATAAAAAAATCTTAGGTGGTAAGTACTTATTTAGTGGCCTTAATGGAATGATGTTTATTCAAAAGTTCGTTAAAATACTTTTGCGCTTGTAAAAATCTTTCATTTCAAACGTAGCAACGAAACGAAGCAAAAAAGTTAGTTGCCGAAATCAATGACTTATTTTTATGCCATACACAAATGGGATAGTTACCATGACTATGAAATTTAGAATTACGGTTATTATTACGATAAAGCAGGCACATTTTTCATGTTAATTTTAATCGCTTAATATCCCCTTAGCAAATTAAATAAAAATGTGATTCGTAATTGACTCGATCATAGCAGAAACTAAACGCTACTATCGAATTATCTACCTGTGATTATCGGCAGTCTTTAGTGTTCCGAAGTAAATAAGTAAATAATTGTTCCCAACTATCAATTTTAAACTGAAATAATAATCATTAAAATCATCGTAGAAACAAAAAAAAATTTTCAAATACTAACTAATATCTGAGCATGATACTAATTTAGTATGTTTCTTTCTTGATTAAAAACTGTAACACCCGAAACGTTTCGGGTATTACATTTTTATTTAATGTCGATAATGTGTGTATATTGCTTGGAGAAGTCAAAAAGTATTACTGTGAGGGTTCTTCGACCTCCCACTAGCGCTGGCGTCGGAAAAGGAGTCATATTTCTCTATTTAAGACATTTTTGAAATGTCGACTTAACACTAAAATTAAGGTATTGCTAAAAAGTCGGTGTTTGACATTTCCATTAAATATCGTAATAAGAAATTAAAGTAATGCTATTTCAAGCCAAAAACAATAGAAAAAGCTATATTCTGAGGAAAAATTAAACTTGAACTTTGTATATTTTTTAAGACAAGCTGCTTCCTAATTTCAAACCAGAATTCGCTCTATTTGTGTTTATTTGTTGTACTCCTTATTTTGTAGTACCTAGAGATTAGTCTCTAGGTACTACAAAATAAGGAGTATAAAGTTTTATTAGTAAAACACCGATTATATCGATAAAACGCATTGAATTTTCGTACTCGTAACACCCGAAACAGAACCATTGTAACACCCGAAACAAAGAAAAAAATTATAAAAAAATAGTAAAACGTTTTATGTAACAGTGATTGTATGTTACATGGTTTGCAAATTTCATACTTTCATAGTCCTGTAAGTTTTAGGTATGATTCCTTAAGAAAATTCGCTAAATTTCGAGTAAATGCAGCAACAGTCAGAACATAGAGGCAAAATCTCGTAACGCCCGAAACGCACACTTTTCGACTCATACTTTCGTTATCCTACATTCTAAGCTGCACAAACTTTATTATTTAGATAAAACAACTAAAAACGGACAGATTAAGGCACTAATATTATTAAAATACTATTTCAAAATACAAGAAATTGTTGAATATGTGTGTACGAACGTAACACCCGAAACGATGGAATGACCCATGGTAACGTTTTATCTTATTTAAATTAAAAGTAGGTAGGTACTTATTTAATTGGGCTTGTGCTTGTCTATGCACTAGGTACAATATTTCTTATTCTGTGTTCATTTTGCTGCTAAGTTATGCAACTGCTATAGCAGCTCCTTTAGCAGCATCACCTCCTGAAGTGAATTCTAGAGGTAAACTGTAGTAATGTTCTACAGCTCTTTGTAAAACCGGATTTCTGGACAATCCTGAGCCATTCCCAACAATCCTTTTAATTTTAGCATTGTTTAGAATTTCTTTTGGCATCATAACATGTAGATTTTCAATTAAACCATCACAGAGAGCCCTGAATACATGACCTAACTGAATATTAGATAAGTCTATATTTTCCACTGCTGCCTTAGCAGTTGGGCTATGTCTTTCGCCTAACAAATGAGGAATAATTCTCATAGTTGATGTTGGTGGTGCTTCTAAACCTAATGCAATAAGTTTTTCCCATACTTTGGATTGAGGAATAGGAAAACTGAACTCCAGCATCCATTGCTGTAACATTTTTACGAATGTAGCCAGCACATTCCCGCCGTTTATAGAGGCAGCTACCACTAAATTGTTATTATTAAAATACGGTAAATGTTCGACAGTGGCACACCCTAAATCTGTAATTCCCTTAACCACGAACGCAAGTTGTGCTGAGGTTGAAATATTTAATACGGCATCTTGTTGGTTCTCTAAAGTAGCTAAAATCGAACACTGAAGGTCGCCGAGTGCGGCACCAACTGGTGTACCCTCTGGTATGCCATTCCAAGAACTGCTAAGTTTTCCAGCTAATTGGCCACTTTTGACAACATTTGGAAGAAGTCCGACAGGAAAGTCAATTGACTGTAATATTTCGCTGTTCCACTTATTATCCTCAGTATTAAAATACCCCCAACTAGCAGCATTTTGGTCAGACATTATTGGTGTTTCCAAATCGCAAAGCATAGCCACCACAAAGTCTTGAACTGTTCCAGCATAGTTAAAGTTCTTCAGTTTGTCTGGCTTGTGCTTAAGCATCCACAACAATGTAGCACATCCATAACCAGAATAACATTTCAGGTGTGAATTGGGTTTTGGTAAAGAATCTAGAAACTCTGGCTTGCATCTTGTATCTTGCCATGTGTAAAGTGCTGACATATTTTCTCTTGTAGCTTCAAAACGAATTACAACATTTTCTTTTTCAACTTTCTCCCATGCTCTGAAAAAAATAGTAAAAATAAACAATACTATGTGCAGCTGCTTTTTCATAGCTAATAAATTAACTTATAAAAATATCGTATTAATCGGTTTTATCAATCAAGTATTTATCATGTATTTTTATTTACATTACCTGTTTTTCCATAGCAAAACTCCGTGCATTTGACCACAAACACCAATTTTTGTAACATGTCGTAGGACATCTCTCGGAAGTCTTGAGACACAATAGTGGACTGCTGATACTATTTTTGGAACATCCTGCTTGTTACCCTCGATGCCCTGATCACTTGGTATATTAGCTGCCGTATCCTTATTTTGTTTTGCCACCAACTCTTTTGTAGATGGATCATAAACACATACTTTTACCGAAGTAGTGCCAATGTCCATGCCCAAGATATATTGTTTTTCTGCCATGTTGCACACTTATCAAAGTTTAGTCCGTAGCAATCTATTTTACTCGTTGAAAGATAAACGACGCGACGTGCGGCGTCCGGTAAGCCAGTCTAGCGCGGTGTATATGTATTATACACAGAATGATTTCAATTAGACTGCGGAGTGCGGTTGTTGGCTGCGTCAGTAGTGGGTGGCGGGCGGGTGGCCCGACGTAGGTATGTCGAATAGAGCGCTATCCGAGAGCGCGCGGGCCGACCTCGATTATTACGTAAAGATAGGTTTGTTTTTCCTATCTATATGAGTAGCCACTGCTTAAACAATCGACTGATATAGTGCTAATAAATAACTTTCAATAATGTAGGTACACAATGATAAACAACCGATAGTCGATAGCCATTTTATGAAAATATTGTTTCGATAGGTACTGTCTGTCTGATAAAATCTAAACACCAATAATGTGTGCTAATAAAAAAAGCTTGGACGTGAAGATATTAAAATAAAAATATTGACCTCGTAACTGTCAAGAGTCTGTCTCAGAAACACGTCTCTTTACGAGCTTTTTCCGATTTTACGAGCATCAAGTTGTTTAATTATAAATTTACTAGGCTGTTAGGTACAAATGTTAAAATTAGATGGACATGAAGACAAACATGAAAGTAGGAATCAAAGATTATGATCGTCTTCTCTAATTAGTAAAGTTTTAAAGGCAACAGCTAACAGATTTCTTTGTGATTAACGTTTCCTCTTATAGATCGACTGTGTATTTTGTAACTATTTAATGACTAGCTTTCTTGAAATTTGTCTGTCACAGAAAAACAATATCGAGCGCGTATTTGCTCACCGTTTAGACCTACCCTGGACTACGACAAACATTTTAAAACCAAAATCAGCTCAATCGGCCCAGCCGTTCTCGAGTTATAATCAGACTAACGTACATCAATTCATTTTTATTTATATAGATATATAGGTAGTTGGTCAAGTATTAACCTTGACCAACTACTTATTAACTTGACCAACTACCTATTAATTAATATTTCGTTGAAACTTAAAAGAATTACTCTTCAGAAGAAATCTAAATCTCATTTTAATTATTTCCGTAATCAATTTAGCTGGTAAAACAAAAAGGAATGCAGAAAATATTACACAAGTTTATTAGTCTTTAATTTGCAATGAACTTGGTTGCATAATATATCGTGCACGGGAGTTACTGAAGGGGCGTTGTCAGAAAGTTCAAAGAGACTTCGCAGATACAAGATAACTTATTTATATGTTGGGTTTTTATATTTATGGTGTGTGTAAAAATTAGGGCTATAAAATCCAATAAGTTTACAAACTAACGAATCCTAGTATAAAATTACGACTGGTATTATCCGTAATAATTTAAGTATTAATATCTGTTTTAGAAAAGCAAAAAGACACTGTCGCGGTGATAAAAGTCACCCATGCGCGCGCGCCGATATTATTTCTTTAGCTAAATTAAGATAAAGACTATGACATAGTGTGTATTGATTAGCCTCGTGGTCACATACTTATTTAAATGAAGATGGTAGGGAGGGGCAATGCTTTTAATAATTTAATAATTGAATGGATTCTCCCAATGTTAAGGCTACCATCATTATTATTAGTATTATCACAGAATAATAATAAGTACTGGTATTATTATTCATCTACTTATTTATGTTTTAGGAGAATGGGTAAAAGAGGAAAGAAAAGCAGTCTTCCGGAGGAACATCATAAGAAAAAGAAGTCTGATGCGAATATACTAGATACATGCAACAATGAAACTGTGCCAGAAGAAGTCTGCAAGAATGTAAAAAAAGCTAAAAAAGAACATTTAAATGAAATTGAAAGCACCGAAGATATTTGTGTAAGCGAAACGACACAAAATGAAGACAACCAGAACACAAATAGGAAAAGAAATAAAAGTAAAAACAAATTAAAAAAAAGTGTTGAAGTTACAGATGATATAAAATCAGTTGCGCAGGAAAAAACTATTTCTATAAAACCAACAAAAATAAGATTTGTTGATGATGCACCACAAGTGGTTGCTAGTGGATCTGAACAACCAACCAAGAAAACTAAAAAATCCAAGAAGCAAAATACACAAGAAAATGATGAAGAACAAATTAACGAAGAAGATATTGATAACTTTTGTGACGAACTAACGGAAGAAGATAATGTGCAATTTGATAACTGGGTTAAATTAATAGAAGCTAAGTTACACGCTAAAAAATAATTTTAAAAATTAATTTTATTTTTTATTTAGTGATTATCCAAATGTCAAACTAATAGTATAGGGTAAATGCTCACTTTGTGGTCACTGAACCTTTTTTGGCCACTTAAGACAAAATAAAATGATTTCTTATATTAATAGTCAGATGAATCAACACGAGATAATTTATAATTTTTTTTTTAAATTTCATAATATGCTGCATATTAATTAAAATGTAAAGTGGTAAAATAGAGGGGTGTAAAAATAATAAAGATAATCAAAACTGGTACATCTGCCCTATCAGCTTAAATCCACCTCCTCTTGAAAATGTTTTGTTTCTGACGTTCTTAGGTGGCACCTTAGAATAAAAAAATAATCTAAGGGTGCCACCAGTGCTGGTCTAAAATTGAATAAAATATTTTTGATTTTGACCGACTCATAAATTCGGCGTGGCGCGGTATAATCTCTATTTTATTGAATCATCTTTGCCATAATCTTTGCTAATCTGCGGATTAATATCGCAATGTTTTGTGGCTGCCACCAATTACGGACTACGGTAACTTTTAACGTTTCCAATCCAGACACGCTTCTCGATTCTGCGATACGATTGGTCGTTCAACAGCGTACGTCAGCTGTTTTGACCAATCGTATCGCAGAATCAGAAACGCGTCTGGATTGTAGACGTTAAAAGTTACCGTAATCGGGGCTCGCAAAATATTTGCAATTTACATCAGCGATCCTCTATGACAGCAACACCTATTATTTGAGAACAAAGTATGAACAAAGAGACAGCCACTTCCGCGTAAAATTGCAAGTTGTCTTAAATTAATTTAAATAAAATTAACGACCTACGTTAAACTTGTAACTTTCTATGTAAAGTAAATTTAAAAAAAAATGTTGAATTATTATTTATTAAATTCACTTGTAAAGGTGCGGCGAACGTAGGTATATTTTTGGTCCTTTTGGTATAAGTACTATACTCTATGGTCTTATACTATCTTTGGAAGTAAAGTGTTTACTTGTCAATGTCAACATGTCATTGTCAAAAGTGTCACAAACGGCATGTATGTCATTGAAGAGGTTATGATGTTGTGAAATTAATTTCATGTAGACATTTTTCAGTGTAACAAAGTATATTAACTTAATTTTGAAAGACATTTAAGTTTTAAAACTATGACTCGCTTTGCTCGTGCAAAAGGTTCCAAGTCCTCTAATGAAAAAGCCCCTGAAGACAGCACGCCATGGGAGGTGATGAAGGAACAGTTGTTACAATCCAAAAAAGAAAACGAAGAAAGCAAAAAGCGAGCAGAGGTACATAATCTTCAAATGTCTATTTGTTTAGTCTGTATTTACTAGACAATGTCTATTTGCTAGTAAGTTTACTTAAAAATCTTCTTAATTAAGTTTCAGACTACATACATTCCTATTCAATTAATTTTGTTTTAATTTTAGGCTGAAAATCAACGAATAGAAAACTATCAAAACTTCCTGAAAGAACAAAAAGTTCAAAAGAAAAAGGCCACATGGTGTGACTTTCCAGATGCACCTAAAAACCAACAAACCGATCAACCTCCAAGGAAGAAGAAAAAGGTAGAAGCGCTCCAAACAACATTAAATGATGGTGCTGATACAGTTGTTAGCAAGCCTTCACAGAAGAAGAAAAAAAAGAATAAACCTAATAACCAAGCAGATTCTGCTACAGTAAATCAGGATATTAATACTGAGATACAATCTAGTGATATCACAAGTGGAAAAGAAGTGCCTACTCCACCAAAGAAGAAAAAAAATAAGAAAAAGAATTCCAAAGAGCAAGATAATACAGAAAATACAGTTAAAAATGAATCCTCAGAGACAAATGCTGCCAATGAAGACAACTTACAGACTAACAATAAGCTTTCAAGTAAAAAGAAAAATAAAAAAAATAAAACTGCCCCAAGTAATAAACCAGATGAATTACAAAACAACCAAACTAAATCTCCTATTCAGAGTCAGAAGGGCCCTGTCCCCAACAATCAACACAACATGAAACAACAAAAAAAGAAAAAGCCCAAAAATCTTGTCAATGGTAAACCAGTCAGGAGGAAAGAAATTAATGACCACAGTTTCCAACTTATCATCAATGGAAAAGAAGTTGAATTGGTTAGATTCGATGGCTTTCCTGTCATGAAGAAGGACGCTGAACGTTTGCAAGAGTTGAAAAAGAATATGATAAATAAAGGAATACCTAAGAGTGAAGTTCAAAGGACTATGAAATTAGAAAGGAGACGGGCTGAGAAAGCTCTTGCTAGGATGAAGAGAGAAGTGTGTTATAACTGCAGGAAAGGAGGACACAATCTGTCAGACTGTCCCGAGTTGAAATCTAAAATACCTGGGGTGGATGCACCAGAAGGAGTTTGCTTTAAGTGTGGCTCCACAGAGCACAAGCAGTTTGACTGCAAAGTGCATAAAGATACAGAATTTAAGTTTGCTACCTGTTTCATTTGTAAAGAACCAGTAAGTATTTGGCAACTGATGTTTTGATTACATCATTGATCTATATTTTTCTAAATATTTATAAAACTTTTTTTTTCAGGGCCATATTGCAAGGCAGTGTCCTGACAATCCCAAAGGTTTATACCCTAATGGAGGTAGCTGTAAATTGTGTGGAGATGTAACACATCTGAGGAAGGACTGTCCAACTGTAAGTTTGTTGATAATGTTCCATAAAATTAGGTTCAAGTTTTAGGATCTATCAAAGTTATAATTTCATTCTTTTCTTTTCAGGTTAAAGATAAAAAAGAAGATTCATCTATAAAACTGCACACATTGGAAGATAGCAATATTGAAGATATTGGAGTGCAAACGAAAACATCAACAATTGAATCAGTAAAAAAACCCAAGAAAATAAAGTTTTAGTCATAGCTATAAGCAGTGGGATTGTGAAATATCATCTTGATATGTATTTATATTGTACAAAAGAAAATAAATCAAATTACATACATATTTTATTTTAATAAATAATATCAATTAAAGTTCCATATTATAAGGTCACAGAGATCATAATTTACATAATTGTCTTTTTAGATAGAGATACTGTAAGTAATTTATTTCATTGATTGACACAAATTAATTGTTGATCAAGTCAGTCTGCTAGTCTACATTCTACAATGCGTTATAGGAAACTTGCGATATTTGGAACAGTCTGTCTTTCATTTGCTTAAAATGCCAGTTTCCAAAAATCAGAAATAAAAGCTTATTACATTAACCAAAATTATATTAATTGCAGTCGCAAAATATTGAGAAGGGTCTAGCAATATGTCCTTAAAGTCTGTAACCCGTTGAAAAAGAGGCTGACAATATTTATTTATTTATACTTCAATGCCAAAAATATTAACATTAGGCGAACTTAATGCCATAAGGCAATAGTGACCGAGTTTCTTGCGCTGCTTCTCAGCACTGGCCCATTTATTTTCCTGAAGCAGTGGTAGGGTTAATACTGGGACTTGTAAAAGTGCTTTAATAAATTAGTTTTTTATGACTACAGCGAGTCGAGGCTCGCTAGCAGCTGCTCCATAGACTGTTGCGCGATCTGTCCGGTGATGCCCTCGGGGCTGGCGGGGTCCTCGCGCGCCAGGATGCGTGCCGCCTCGCGCAGGCAGCGCACGGGCTCCTGCAGCTTGTCCTTCAGCTGATCCTGCGTGATCAGCCCCGCGCTGAACTCGCTGCGGGCGAGGAACATCAGCGGCGCGTGCAGCTCGTATAGCATCATGCCTGGGGAAACGATTTGAGTTGTCTTGTTGGTCTTTTGAAAGGGAATGGAGAACAGATATCAGCAGCAGATATCTGTTCTCCATTACCTATTAGACCGGATTTATTGCCAGAAGACATTCTCCACCAGTCAACTGTTGATAATTATTTTTATTGGTCACAGAAAATAAAGTTACAGTTGGGTCTCTCACGAGATAGCGCGATGAATAGGTACGTTACGACGAATCATCAACGTCGTACTTATCATAGCTTTCCACAGTCGGCAGCAGTACACGCTGGAAGACTGAATTGATTAAATTCATGTGCATCTCACCCCTCATCCTGGTCTCGCCGGGCGTGATGACGTCAAGCGTGCTGAGCACGAGGCGGCAGAAGGCAGTTTTGCACTCCAGCACGATCGGGTAGGTCGTCGAGCGCGTATACGCGTTCATACAGCTGTATTAGCGAGTGCCTTATCGACAGCAGCAGCGAGTGCCTACACTCACCCCTCATCCTGGTCTCCCCAGGTGTGATGACGTCAAGCGTGCTCAATACTAAGCGGCAGAAGTCGGCCTTGCGCTCCAGCACGAGGTCGGGCAGGTCGTCGAGCGCGTTCCCCTCCACGCGTCCATACAGCTATATTAGCGAGTGCCTACACTCACCCCTCATCCTGGTCTCCCCAGGTGTGATGACGTCAAGCGTGCTGAGCACGAGGCGGCAGAAGTCGGCCTTGCGCTCCAGCACGAGGTCGGGCTGGTCGTCGCGTTCCCCTCCATGCGTCCATACAGCTGTATTAGCGAGTGCCTTATCGACAGCAGCAGCGAGTGCCTACACTCACCCCTCATCCTGGTCTCCCCAGGTGTGATGACGTCAAGCGTGCTCAATACTAAGCGGCAGAAGTCAGCCTTGCGTTCCAGCACGAGATCGGGCAGGTCGTCTAGCGCGTAGCCCTCAACGCGCCCATACGTTACAGCTATATTAGCGAGTGCCTCACTCACCCCTCATCCTGGTCTCCCCAGGTGTGATGACGTCAAGCGTGCTGAGCACGAGGCGGCAGAAGTCGGCCTTGCGCTCCAACACGAGGTCGGGCAGGTCGTCGAGCGCGTTCCCCTCCACGCGTCCATACAGCTGTATTAGCGAGTGCCTTATCGACAGCAGCAGCGAGTGCCTACACTCACCCCTCATCCTGGTCTCCCCAGGTGTGATGACGTCAAACGTGCTGAGCACGAGGCGGCAGAAGTCGGCCTTGCGTTCCAGCACGAGGTCGGGCAGGTCGTCGAGCGCGTACCCCTCCACGCGCCCATACAACTGCGCCAGAGAATGCTTCAGAGATAGCAGCAGCGCGTGTCGCGGGTGGAACACCGACTTGTACTGGAAACAATATCAAGAAGAATATAATTTCGCCACCTGGGCTGTGTTTGAATGTCAAATGTTTGTTCCTTTAAAATAACTTTTGCCGGAAGCATCTCCTAAGCGTGGCACTCCATCGTAAGTACCTACCTACATGTAGGTACTTATGCGTCGCCAAAAAGATCTTAAAAAAAGACAGAGCCTAGGATTAAGTACACTTGAGGTTTTTGCCTCAAGTGTAATGTTAGTTGTAAGTTCTTTTTAGAACCTTGATGAATCCTCAAGTCCTCAACTAATTTAAACAGGAAATGGTCGTAGAAAATGGATCGATCGTACGCATAGGCGATGAGGTAGTCACTTAGCTCCTAAGTAAGTAGGTACGTGAGGAAAAACAAAGAGAGAAGTGAATCTTCGTTTCGTGAAGCTCAATACCCACCGCAATGGATAATCATTTGGACATATTTCCCATCTGGAGACCATAGAGTGTGAGTTAGTTCAATAAGCCTAAGTTTCGTCTCTGTGGTTACACAAAATAGAAATGGAGTGCTTATACGCCTGTGTGTTTTTTGTTTGTTTACTCTTGTATGATTGCTCTGTTTTTCTTCTTCTTTTCCTGTACATTGCGCCCCCCTGCTGACAACAGAGGGCCCCCGCTGAAAATCAGTTTCGAGACATGCCCTGGCGCGGTCTTGATGTATGCTGACCGGGTGCCTTTTTGTCAGAGCTTAGGGGCACAAGCAGATCTGTACATTAATTTGTGTATCTCCTTCATTGTGTATCTATCTATGTTTTTCCTGCTTGTATGTCTTTCTTTCAAATAAAAAAAATATTCTATTCTATTCTATTCTATTCTGTACCTTATTGAGAGTAGCCTCGCGCTGCTCGATGGCCTGCGGGCCGGGTTCTAGCGCGTCCAGCTGGTCCAGCTCGGCCTGCACCACGCCCAGCAGCTTGCGCATCGCCGCGCTCGACGTCTTGAACTGGCACTTCTTGTCCGAACATGTCCAAGGTGCTTCGTCGTCTGAAACGGAGATGACATGGTGGTTAAGTTTTACCGCAAGTTCTTTAGATCCTCTTTATAAAGTTTACAAACTTGACTAAGTGTGTCGCTCTTCATCATGGCTATACTTAGCTACAAGCAACAATTACGTTAACTCCGCATCTAGGTAGGTATGATAAAATGTTTGCAGACAAAGCAAAGTCAGACTCGGGCAGTTTAGTTGTTAGACTGTGTTCATTTCGGTGTCTAAAGATTGGCGCAGCGCGGGCGCTCAAGATAGGTGGAAGAGAAGAAAGCCTCTAAGTAGGTACTAAATGGAAATTACGCGGCGCCGTAATTGCTAACTTTTGGAACAAAGATTAGGTTCTTACCTAATGGATTGCTCGCCATAATAACCCCATTATCACACTTTTGACATTTCAACGTGCTGAGGTGGGTTCCGAGCTCAGAGGGGTCGGCGCAGCGCGCGCATTCGCAGCTGAAGAACTTGGACTCCAGCAGATAGTCGCGCCGCACGATCGTGGGGGATAGCGCGTGGGTGTAGCACAGGTGCAGCGTCTCTCCTGACTTGATGGGAACTGCTGATCTCACTAGGACCCTGCGGAAGACACATGAAAAGACTTTGAGGCTTTTGATCTGGTGGTTTTCGAACCCAGTCACATGAGGCGTCAGGGACTGGAACCAGTTCCCGATGGCTGGCTTAATGTGTAGAATGGGACCATCCTGTATATGGGACTATCATTATGGGATCACCCATTTAATTAATTTTGTTACTTACTGGTAATCATTCTGTAAGATGGTGTGGACAATGTTTGGCACGCAACTGTGCGCGGAGATAGCGAGCCGAGGGTAGATGGCGCGAACGCTGAAACCCACACGGGACGGGACTTCCACAGAGTTCACCTAAAGAACAAACTTTTATTAGGAACGAATCCTGGATATTGCCAGACACCCATAAACCAAAGTAATTCATGTCCATCGTAAATTGATGATCATTACCATAAGGTGAGTAGAAAAACTAATAGGCTAGTTTTCGTTTCATCAATCAATAAAAAGTGAATCAAATGGACACAAAAGTCTTCAGGGTTTACATACTTCAAGGATCCCACAGACGCGCTGCACCAGGTCCTTTTCAAAGCGGCTGCCGAGCTTGCAGTGGTCCACCAGGAAGTCGGCGATGTTGACCTGGTCGGCCGCCCACGTGGGCCGCTGCTGGCGCGCCGCAGTGTGCGTTTCCATCGCGGCTAGCTCGCGCTCCCAACGGTCGGGGTCGTTCTCTTTTGCCAGAAGCAACCTGGGAAGTACGCGATTGTAAGGAGGTAAATGTAACCCATCTTACTTTGTACGCCTAGAGCAGTAGACTAGGCAATAACAACATTTATTAATGTATAGGGAGATCTGTAGTCACACAGTCACAAAAACGCCTAGTGTGACTAGGCGTTTTTGTGATCGTTTGCCGTAGGTGTGCTAAAAGCACATGACTTTCCTCATAGCACAGGACTTCTTCGGATCTTTACAAACAACGATAAGCCTATGTAAAAATACTGAACACGTACGTAATAATAGGTAAAGCCACCTAGCTGCAGCAATGATCAATCTTGGTTGGGCAAGGTGGCAAGGACAGTAGTGCCGCCCTGTTCCGACGGACTCCAGGCTACAGGCGGTCAACCGCATGATATTGTCACGGGCACCCAAGCTACGTCCTCCACGAGAGAGATATTTTATGAGTTGTCTGCACGAATAAGTTCGCATAAGGTATACCTACCTCAATGGTGTGATGCAGTCCAGCTGCGGCGCGGCTGCGGTCCAGTCCTCGACGGGCTGGAAGCGCACCTTGGCGGCGGCGAACAGCGCGCACTCGGCCCGGTGCGCGGGCGCCGCCTCGCACTCCGCGCCGCACACGGGCCAGCCGCACCGGGAACACACAGTGTTCTCCACCGGGATGTAGCAGCCGAGGCATAGTGGAGGGGTGTCTGGACAATGAGTTAGACTTTTCTCAGTTTTCTCAGTTACTATATCAGATCACTAAGGAGGTCTTACTCCATAGCTCATTAAACGCAAAGTAGTAAAATTAACTTTATACTTGTCCTAGGCTAGCTTAGGAACTCGTACGCTGGAAATTCATTCACAAAAATTCCCAAGTCTTTATTCACAATACTCGTTAGAAAAAATTGGCGTGGAACTGTGATTATAAAAGACGAGTGCGAGAAAGTTAAAATAAATAAAATTATTCACCCAGTATTATTATTATCAGACTCATGTTATCATATCAGGTCACTAAGGAGGTAGGTGGTACCACCTACCTAATCCATAGCTTATAGTAAAACTTATACTTGTCCTAGGCTAGCTTAGGAACTCGTACGCTGGAAATTCATTCACAAAAATTCCCAAATCTTTATTCACAATACTCGTTAAAAAAAATTGGCGTGGAACTGTGATTATAAAAGACGAGTGCGAGAAAGTTAAAATAAATAAAATTATTCACCCAGTATCAGCCACTATTAATTTAGACAAAAATTTATCATCTGTCCAGAGTCTGAAAGTGCTACATTTTTTAATTTTTAGGGTTCCGTAGCAACTAGGTACATGTTTTTCAGAATACACGGAACAAACAAGTAGGTAGTGTAGGTACAACGACTTATAATTTTTGGTATTCCGAGTAGGTATTTCCGAGACGGGAATAACTAAAAGTCTAGGTGTAGTGTACCTACGAGTACTACATAATTCAAATGAAGGGCTCTAATTTTGTTAGCAAAATAATAACGCAACTTAAAGAATTTAAGAAATTTTCAGGCTGTGTCCCTTTACACAAAGCTAGTGTACCTACTTACCTACTTTAACTTACATAATAAGACACAAATCATGTGCGATTAATGTACGAAACTCATAGATTATCGAATGCAACTCGCACTTGACCGGATTTTATTATGACATGTGGCGGAAAATATAAATTACCGCCGCCGCTAATAATCTTTAAGTTTGTAATAGTTTCAAAACTTTATGTTGTGTTCTCGTAAAAGGATTAATGACTTACCGGGCTTTGGGCCGACAGCGAACGGTGTGTCCGTAAATATTAATTCACCACTTTCTAAATCCTTATTTGCCACCAAATAACGTCCGTATTTGTCGTTTTGGAGAACATCGTAGTGGCTGGGCGTCTCTGTAGCCATCACTCGTCAGTGGTGTACCAGGCTCATGAAAACAAATGATGCTGTGTTGCGGGACTGACGCGGCGCTTGCCGACTGAATAAAATTAGCGGCTATAATAAGACGCAGACCATTCGAGAATTGGGCCGACGGATCAGGAATCTGCATACATATGTAACATTAAATCCCTTATTGAACTGCAGTGACAAAAATATATTATAAGAGTTAGCCGGAAAAATATTTTTTTATTACAAAAATTGTCGCATAATTTAAGGGCATCAAAGGGCATCAAGGGTTCCATATTCTATAACGTCAGTATTCTCCTAAATTAGCTGAAAAGTTAAAATTAGAGCAATTTCTAAACTTTCATAATTATTAAGCGCACTTTAGTAAAACTTTATCGCCCTGTTTCACGGATATTTCAGGTAAGTATTTTGGTATAACCCTAGTAACTGAAAAGAAAAACACGACCAGTGTTTACTAGTTAAGTGCGATCACCCTGTTACCTAATTTATTTACTATCTTATTATACTTAAACATTGTTTATTTACTATACTTATTAGCATCGTTACGTAATTTAATTGATTATCTAATTGTAGTTAACTTCACTATCAATAAACAGACAAAAGAAAGCATTAATTATTGTCTGGCTGAATTGGAAACTCGCCAACTTTTTACGAGAAAATTCTTGAAAACTACTGTACTACGCCGCTGAAAGTTCAAGACGACCGCGGGGCTCTGACTCCATTTATTTGATAAATGTGTTGAAAGATACCATAATTTAATATTTTTCTATAGTGATGTTAAGTTAAATTTTACAATATGTTGGTTGTCAACCGGACCAGAGAATAGAACCCGGAGCATTATTATCACGCAACTTCACAGTACCTAAGTACCTACTTATTTTAATTTTGCGTGGGGGCAACGATAATTTTTCCGCATAGTATGTAATAATATCACCGTAAGTAGGCTTAGAACGATTAAATAGGTTAATATTGTGTCAATGCAAAGCCTTATAGATCAAATAAGATTGTTTTTGAAAAATCTACATGGATTCTCTTGCCATTTATTTTTCTCCGTTTTGCCGTAATTAATCAATGCTTTTTTCCTAATTATGTCAGTTTTTGAAAGTGTATTTAACAATGTTGATGCAATTTGGGGATATTTTCAAATTCCTACAGTAAAGGCAGCAATCTCTAAAGAAATCGTACCTTGTGTGCGGTCGGTAAGTTTGATTCATAATCATATCTGCAACGTGATAATAAAGTTTTGGAAAGTTATTGTATTGGCTAAACCTACTACTTAGTTTATTAGCACACCCTGATGATCTAGGTTCTGTTAAAAACATCCATATGAGTAAACTTTTGACCCCTAGTTACTACAACCTCTACCTCAAAAGTTCTATTATTAAGTAGATAAGACAATGGCGAGTTTTGTTTTAATTTGAATATGTATCTAATCTTTAAATTTTTATGAAAATAGGACGGATCATTGGCAGAAAAAGTTATCTGTAAAGACGAAGAAGGAAATAGAGTCCAGTGTCCGCGCGACTGTCATGATGATGATTCGGAAGACTATGAATATAGTTTTGAAGATATGAATCACACTGTAAGTATTAATTAAAATAATATAAATGAACTATACTATAAGTTCATAAAGTTTCGAAAGGGATATTTAATTTGTTTACTGTTTGTGTTTCATGTTTGCCCGTTTGTTGGTCCCGCGCTTGTAGAGCTGCGAATAACACAGGAAGTTGTTATATTTGTACCTTCCATAGCAATACAATCAAAAGACTTCGATAAAATATTATACAATAATTTAAAAAATCTGATTATTTCTTTTATATGAAATGTGAAAAAAAGCATGTATATTTTACAATTATTTAGAAAATATGTTAGTTGACTAGACTTTTTAGCTTCTTAGTGACGTCACTGTGTCATTGACGTCACAATTCAGCTGATGAACTTTTTGTTTTAATGTGTGCTAACAGGGTGAAAAACTAGGAAAAATAAGTAGTTAGTGCATTTAAAAATATAAATATGGTCTCAATTGTCCTGATTAATTTGCCTTGAGCTTTTCGGGTATTAAAAGTGCTTATTTGTAAATTTATCAATATGACGTTTTCCGGCAAAGTGAAGTGAAGTTGCGCCGTCTGGTGGCGATCAGTGTCAACCTAAAATTGTCTTGTGGTACGGTGCGGAGGTCTGCTTGGCAATTTTATTGCCTGAAAATCACAAGTTTGCTAGGTTCAATTTGTGAAATAATTTATTAAGATGTAAGTAATATTTTTGCCTTTCATTTCACCCGATTCGAGGCATAATCATAAGGTCATAAAAGCTTTTCTTACGTGGTTAGGTTAACTAGGATGGAGCCGGTTTTAGTCACAAAATTTTGGCTTTACATCTTTATTCCAGCTTGTTTTCGTATTTTAATTGACTATATTCATGACCCTAGTTCTGTACTTGATGTATGGCAATCTTAATTCATGGCTTATCCGCTTCGATTGATTGGGATCATCCGATCGAAACGTCACTGGGTCTGTCGACGCATGTGATTTCTTCATGGCTATCGGATTCGGCACCCAAGAGCGAAGGTCAAGTTTAGGGTCACCGCCTTGTGCGTTACTGCTCCTCATCGTAATGTGTTACGTTAACTGTAAGAACGAAAGTGGCCAGTCATAATATCTGCATGTTATGTAATACCTCTAGGTACTGCAAATGGCTTGTAAATAAGTGTCTATAGCAAGCTCTATTCCGACCCTGACACAGCTGGCACTCGATGCTGAATAGTCATTTTGCTGTTATGTCTTTTTGCAATACAACACATTAGATTGAGCATTCCCTATTTACTCAGCTATAAACTACTTTTGCTAAGCTACTGTGTTACTGCATTACCCAATGTATGCTTTGGATAGGTATTTATTTATCAATGTTTGCAGAAAATGGCTCCCCCATACTATGCTGATCTCGGAAAGAAGGCCAACGATGTGTTTGGCAAGGGCTACCACTTTGGTGTATTCAAACTTGACCTGAAGACTAAGAGCGAGTCTGGAGTTGAGTTCACCAGCAGTATCACCTCCAACCAGGAGAGCGGAAAGGTAAGATCCCATGAACTCATTTATATTAAAGTATTTTATCAATACATGTAAAATCCAGAAGTAATAAACTTAAGAATTAATTAATTTCCTAAATAAATACTGGATATTTAGATCGAACAAATATTTTATTATATTTTCAGTATGAAAGTTAACCTTTTGTATTTCTTACTCTTTTAGCTATACTAAAATCAAATATGCATGTCAGACTTATCTTAAGATCTCTTATTTTGAATATTTCTTTGATGTATGAATCAGATTTAACTTTGAACACCTGTGTACCATTAAATTTATTTGCAATTGTTATGACAGGTGTTTGGCAGCCTTTCCTCAAAGTATGCCGTGAAAGACTACGGCCTAACGTTTACAGAAAGGTGGAACACTGACAACACACTCGCCACCGACATCACTATCCAAGACAAGATCGCCGCTGGCCTCAAGGTTACCCTGGAAGGAACCTTCGCACCACAGACTGGGTGAGTCCGGCAAGAATTATTTACATTACCATAAAAATATATTTCTGACAGATTACTCATTACTCGTTTTATCAAAACATCTACAAAACAATAACATGTTTATGAATATGTAAATTTTTAGGAGCAAGACTGGCAAGTTGAAGACCTCATACGCCAATGACACAGTAGCTGTGAACACAAACTTGGACCTGGACTTGGCCGGGCCCATCGTCGACGTGGCGGCCGTGCTGTCGTACCAGGGCTGGCTCGCGGGAGCCGTCACACAGTTCGACTCACAGAAGGCCAAGTTCGCCAAGAACAACTTCGCTCTTGGCTACCAGACCAACGACTTCGCCCTCCACACCAATGTGTGAGTACCAATTTACACAATGCCACATAAAACCACTCAGTCATGAAATATTCAAGTGCAGCCCGGTGATATTGATTTTATAGGATTACATAAGCCTAGTTGAGATTTGCAAGGATGTCGCTTGTCCTCTCTGCTAATGTAAGCCAGTTATGTCTAGTCTTGTGTGACATTGGATTCAATTTACTAGTTACTTTTGTTCATACATCATTATGGATGGCAGTTGTTGATTATAATGTTACATGTTCATTTATTATTCATGTTAATTTATGTTATGTTATCTTGCACCTGATTAGCATATTTTAAGCATTGTTTAGTTTTTGAGATAAAAACTAATAATATGGCAACATAATTAGTATTTCACTTATTCAATTCATTGTTATCCCATATTAATTTTTGTCTACAAATATTTATATTGTTTGTTTTGCCTACAACTCCTCAACTACCATATCTTCGATATATCGGCTCTCTCTTTCTTACTCATAACACTATAAATGTTTGACTGTAATTAAAAGATTTTATGATTTTTTATCCAACAATCTGTACAGACCAAATAACTCTGTGCCAAATAACTCAATTTTTAATATGTCCTAACACTAAATTTCAATGTATACTATGTCAAATATTTATATCGTAAGAAATGTTATGAAACCTCTAAATGAAAAATGTTTGATCCAGTGACAACGGCAAGGACTTCGGCGGGTCCATCTACCAGAAGGTGTCGGACAAGCTGGACTGCGGCGTCAGCATGAAATGGACGTCGGGCTCCGCCGACACGCTGTTCGGCGTCGGCGCCAAGTACGCGCTCGACCAGGACGCCTCGCTGCACGCCAAGGTCAACAACAAGTCGCTCATCGGCCTCGGCTACCAGCAGAAGCTGCGCCCAGGTGAGGCCCCGCCTTCATACACATGTTGACACCACCAATCAATGAGGGCTATCGTTTTTATACTTAACAGTTGGCACCCCTGGCGATTGACAGGACCTTACTCTACAGTGGCGCCATCTTGATGAGTGCAAATGCGATAGTCCTCCTACCACTTTAGCGCTCACCAGTTGGTGCCACTGTCTTCGCTACTAGCAAGTGACAGGACCTTACTCTACAGTGGCGCTAACTGGTGAGCGCTAAAACTATAGCCCTCAATGACGTACTTTTTAAGACTGTCAAAACGAAACTCTCCCATAGATTTTGTATGACACTACAAGCAAGTGACGTCACTATTTTAAACTACTTTTTTCAATTACAATGCGACCAAAAATCGTAATTTACAGGTAATTTAAAATTAATTAAATTTTTAAGACCAGAATGAAGTGTCTTTTTAGAAAAGTTGTGATTTCGAATTATTGGGGAATGGTGTCAAATTGTCTATTCTGCGTCATTATCAGATTTACTAGTCGACTGAGACTTATTGAGAGTTGTAACTGAGACTTATTAGGAGTCACCCGCATGTAATAAACTCGCTTTTCGGGCTCGGATACTAGTAGAAGTTACGCCTAAGTAAAACGAGACCTTGATCCTACTTCTATCGACTGAGACTTACCGGGAGCGACCGGCATGTAAGTTACGCATAAAAATACATTTAAATGAGCACTCGCACTCAATAATCGTAAAAAGTCTTAGATTTTATGAACTTAAACAAGCTACAAGTTTGGCTTATCATGTAAAGAGGAAACCCACATGCTTGTATCAGCATTGTAAACTAAATCTTCTGCATTTGAATCTGAAACATGCAAAATACATATTATTTGGTATCTGCTTGCCTGATTTTGAACTAAATAGAAATATGAACGTGTACATGTGAGAAGTAACTACTATAGATACATTTTACACTTACTGGTCAACTATGTTTAACACAAACACTGGTATATTTATTTATCCCTTGCAGTTTTAGAACCCCCTGTAATGTTTTGGTGGTTATGTGGATAGTAACAACTAGATAAGGCTCTTAAGTGCCGATTCATGTTGCTATTATCAATCCAAATATGTCAATATCACATGTATGTATATCTTAAAAAAATGGTCATCAATCAACGTCGCATCTGACGTTGAAATAACTAAAACACGCTAGGCCTACCGAAAATAGAACACAATCAATTCACATCCCAGAGAAAGAGAAATCACGCGTGATCTTTCGTTTCCGCTAGGACGGATTCGCTTATCTGTTTCGCGATAGCACAGAGCAAATAATGATTACGAAATCTCGTGACTTGCAGGCGTGACGCTGACGCTGTCGGCCGCCATCGACGGCCAGAACTTCAACGCCGGCGGACACAAGGTGGGCGTGGCCCTGGAGCTGGAGCCCTAGGCTGTAGACACACGATGCCACGTCTGTTATCATAGCAGAGAAGCGTATATAGCAGAATCAATTGAACCTGTACCTTTGTAATTCTAATTAGTGTAACTGTGAGCGTTTAACGCGACGATCGACTTCTCTTCATAGTTCACGCCTCTGTTTTGCTGTTTCCAAAATGGCGGACGATTTTCTTTTGAAAAGTTTAGCGGAGATCACGTATTTCCGGGCACGCGGCGTTTCGACCCTCATTTGCTACTTATATTATTGATTCCTGATTGAATTTAAACGTAACAATAATCGTCTTGTAAATAAGCACCTATGGTGTACTACAATATTGAATAAAAATGAATAGTCTGTTGCGATCAGCATTTATTTGTTTTATTAGCCATCCTGAAACATCCCTTCCCTAAACTTACGCGTCCGCCATGTTGTTCAGTGTATGTGGAAAGAGTGATATTTACGTTTGAATATGTATTTGTTGCCTTTATAATATTTTATTTTTGATTTCATTAAGATGTTTAATAAAGTATTTTTAAACATTTTCCTATTTTATCAATTAATAGTTTAGATTTCATTAATTTCATTACGTTAATATATCTACAAATTCATTTTGTTTGTATCTTTTTTGTCCAGGCCTAGCATACTCGTTCTCATAAAAAGATCTCTGTATGTCGTCTCACTAATACTATTTTGAAGGTGAAGGTTGACATTGGATGATTTCCAAAATATTCTAACTAGACACGCGTTGGCAATGCCTTGGGGTCGTCGTCACTAGGAAGGAGTCAATAACATTTCCGCAATAGCGATAGTTCAAAGTGGTAGATGGTAGCCATCAAGTTTTGAACTCTAGGTTCTTTTCATTTAACCTTTCAGCGCCACATCAAATACAAAAGCCATCACTCTGACTCTACGCTTGATAAATTATGATATCAATATAAAAATTGTACCTATTCATTATTATTCAGTTTACATAAATTACATAATACTCAATTAGCCTATTACTGACATCATTTTTCCATCCGTCGTTGGCTTTGAAAGGTTAATGGGTCATGTCCTGAATGGTATAAAGCCCCTAAGACAAAATCGAGTAAAAAAAAAATACAAATTCTGTACTGGACGCTGCGTCGGTCTAAAAACTCAACAGTAGGTTAAGTATTGAGTCCACACTTGCAGTTACGACTGACCAATTCGATTTGGCTTCGTGGAATAGAATGGAAAGTGTATTGATCGGAATTTCTCAGAAGAATAAAATATGAGACAGAGAACAAAAGCAAAAGTGATCGATATCTAGCGAAAAGAATTAACTGATTAGTGCAGTGATGCTAATTGATCATTATTATTCTGTCGTAATTGGGATAAGGTACGGCAAACTAAAAATCGGTGGTCTGCGCCTAGGCTTAACGAAATAAAACAATGAAGTAAAAAAAAGTTTTCATTTATTAGATTAATATACAGACTAAAGTAAAAACTGGGATTACTGTATCATTTCTTCCTCCATGATCTTGGCCATCCACTCGGGCTCGGCGGCGGCGATCTTCTCGATGAGGCTGTTCACTTGGTAACACAGGCTTTGGATCTGCTTGTCCCATTGGGGTAGGATTTCTCGAGCTGCAAAACGAAGAACGAATCAATGAAATGCTTAAGAACTCGCTGAATGCTTTAAACGTTAGCTCAGTGGTCCCTGGAGGCATTCCAAGTGGTCCACGAAGACATCGTAATAAACAAGTGAAAAGTGGTCCCTGACAAGACAGAAATTTGGTAAAATGGTGCGTTAGCTGAATCCGGAAACACGTTTTACTGCCCTTATTGGGGCAACTTGGAAAGTAGTTCAATCAATACAAATGCAGCTCAAGTTGAATCTGTGCCAAATTTAATCATGTCATCAAATTATTCCATCCGCGAAACTTTAAAGTACTGTACTTGTAATTTTGTAGTAATAAATAAATAGATGCAGTTTCTTTCTATGTGTCCTTTTACAAGTCATCTTATGATTTCCATAATATGTATTGTAAGGCTGATTTAAAAAAATTGCGCCGTAGCTTTGTTATGTTTACTTTATATGAAATGGCGCTGTTGAGTATGATCCAAACTTAGCCAACATTCAAGATAACGAATGACGCAGGTCTCAAAACAATAAACATCTATTTATAATCTACTTTCAATTTTATTGGAACAAACAAAATGGCAAGTGAATGGCTGTAAAAGTACTACGACTATCTAGTTTATAATAATGTTCCACTGTTTATAATGCATAATTGCAGACTACTAGCACAGGAGGGAATCTTACTAGAGCCTACTAACTGATGCGAGCTCAATCTCAATGAGTTATGCAGTGACCGATTCGTAATACGCGGTAGATAATAAATTTAGAAAAAACAGCTCTGATTATATATTTTTTTGCATGGACTCATCGCACCACTATACATGTATCGTCTTCGACAGTAATGTTGCTTGCTGCTGAATGAACTTGCTGGGCAGCGGATATGCAAGGGGCCTAAACAAAGTTATACCAGTGCTCGTCGGGTTCATCCAGTGTCTAGTAGCTCAGTTGGAAGAGCAGTCGCCCGGCAAGCGGAGGGTCGTGGGTTCAATTTCCGCCTTAGGCAGTTCGATTTTTTAAGTTATTTATAATTTTCAAATTAGTTTGAGATGCGACTCTTACAAGTTAAAAATTAAATAACTATACCAGTGCTGCAGTGTAACGTGTTCTGGGGGCTATACACAAGGCATTGGATGTAGGTCGCTACCAACCAACCAATCTAGAACCAGCCAGTGCTCATTGGGGGAGGCCTATGTTTAACAGTGGACGTCCTGTGGCTGAAATGAAATGATGATACGGCCTTGGTGGGCGGCGCCTCTGTTGTCGCTGGCCGCTTGAGAGCTCGCTGTGTACAGCAGTAGGTACTCACTTTCAAAGTGCACTCGCGCGCTGATCTGGTCGATGTAGCCGTTCATGCGTCCCTCGCTGATCATGTGGGACGCGATGCGCTCGGCCTTGGCGGGCGGCGTCTCTGTTGTCGCTGGCCGCTTGAAGTTAGCTCGCTGTGTACAGCAGTACTAAGTTACTCACTCTCAAAGTGCACTCGCGCGCTGATCTGGTCGATGTAGCCGTTCATTCGTCCCTCGATCATGTGGGACGCATTGCGCTCGGCCTTGGCGGGCGGCGTCTCTTTTGTCGCTGGCCGCTTGCGAGAGCTCGCTGTGTACAGCAGTACTCAGTTACTCACTCTCAAAGTGCACTCGCGCGCTGATCTGGTCAATGTAGCCGTTCATGCGTCCCTCGCTGATCATGTGGGACGCGATGCGCTCGGCCTTGGCGGGCGGCGTCTCTGTTGTCGCTGGCCGCTTGAAGTTAGCTCGCTGTGTACAGCAGTACTAAGTTACTCACTCTCAAAGTGCACTCGCGCGCTGATCTGGTCGATGTAGCCGTTCATTCGTCCCTCGATCATGTGGGACGCATTGCGCTCGGCCTTGGCGGGCGGCGTCTCTTTTGTCGCTGGCCGCTTGCGAGAGCTCGCTGTGTACAGCAGTACTCAGTTACTCACTCTCAAAGTGCACTCGCGCGCTGATCTGGTCAATGTAGCCGTTCATGCGTCCCTCGCTGATCATGTGGGAGGCGATGCGCTCGGCCTTGGCGGGCAGCGCCTCTGTTGTCGCTGGCCGCTTGCGAGAGCTCGCTGTGTACAGCAGTACTCAGTTACTCACTCTCAAAGTGCACTTGCGCGCTGATCTGGTCGATGTAGCCGTTCATGCGTCTCTCGCTGATCATGTGCGAGGCGATGCGCTCGGCCTTGGCGGGCGGCGTCTCTGTTATCGCTGGCCGCTTGTGAGACCTCGCTGTGTACAGCAGTAGGTACTCACTTTCAAAATGCACGCGCGCGCTGATCTGGTCAATGTAGCCGTTCATGCGTCCCTCGCTGATCATATGGGACGCGATACGCTCGGCCTTGGCGGGCGGCGTCTCCAGTAACGCGCCCAGCTCCTCGAACGTGATGTTGTTGTACAGCTTGCTGGCCGACAGCAGGTTGTGCTCGAACACGGCGCGGTCCAGGATCGTGGACCCGTCCGACATCACCGCCTGGAGGACAGTGTGGTAACAATGTGGGTCATTTTCAACTACTATCCGTTTAAGTTTGCCGCTGGCGATATGACGTCACTCGAAGGGAAGCGTTTTTTTTAATTATTTTTTTATGCATAACAAGGCAGGGATTTGACCACAATCGCACCTGATGTTAAGTGGGATGCAGTCTAGGATGGTACATATCTGCCCTGTAAGTGCTTATTCACTCTCGCCTTGAAGAGGCCCGGATTATAGTTTTCGGGTTTATAACTATAACAAACTATTATTGATAAAAATTGTGTATTTGCGTAAAATAAGACACATTAATTGCGTTTAATCGCGGTTGGGGAAGGGGACGCGCATTCCACGGACCAGCAAACTTAGCACGAACGGGTTGCTGCACCTTCGTCACCGACGTCACCGCGCGCGCTCCTCTATATCGTTTACTTTCCTACCAATAACTGTTTAACATAGTCTTTTATTAAACCTTAACAATACAATACAGTCCACTGCACTCATTTCATCATTCCCGGTCGAGGCCCCTACAAATACAACTACTCAAAGGATGCATGTTGGAAATGTAGTTGACATTAACTTTATCAAGTTCTTGAAGGACATTTTCAGATTGAGACAACAGAAATATTTGAAAATAGACAGTGTTCAGCAACAAGGAGTTGCAGTTGCAGCAGTAGTGACGAGAGGAGGGAATAGTAGTGACTGCAATGTCATTTCTCTCAGTAATATTATTTGAATGTTTTTCTTCTCATCTCAATTTGTTGGTATTAAAATTCTGTGGTTGGTAAAAGTAATTTTAGATGACTAAACAAAAACATACTCAACTATAGTATGGTTTGTGGCATACACTATTTTGGCACAAATATTTTAGCATCATTCTGAGATTCTGGCTTACTTGAGTATAATATAACCAAAAGTTCGACGTTAGGGACGACTTACTTTCTGATGCGTCTGCATTAAGGCTTCAAATTCATGTAGCTCAGATCGGCGAATTATACGGTCGAGGTACATTTTTTCTAGGATTGAGTAAGCAGGCAGTTGTTGGCACCTTTCGTCTTTGAACAGAGTGGCTAGCATTCTGGATCTCTGTTGACCTTAGGAAATAAAAAGGAAAGTTTATTTATCATACAAAATGTATATTGTGTTTGCACTTTGCAGAAACTAAGTTTAATCTATTTCGTTTTTTGTCAAAGAGCAATTACATAAAATATTTCAATATTGCTACTTGTAATAATCATATGTATTAGCTAACTATCTTACCAGCTGAGGCTAAAACTGTGCAAATGAGAGCATTTCTGAGGCATGTCATTCTTTCATCTTCATGAATTATGTTTCTGTATGATAATTCATTGTACCTTTGTGCAGCTTCAATAAACTTCCTAAAAGATATTTAAAAAATGTAGGAAATTCTAAGAATTATATTATTATACAAAAAAATATTAAATATTGGAGGCAGATTTATTTGTAAGAAGCCTGAAGGCAATGAACAATCAATTTTCTCCTGAACTTTTATCACCATTCGCTACACAAATTCAAATATTAATTGAATATCTCATACCTGCGGTAATCCAGTACCCTAGCATAGCAGACTTTATAGTATATCTGTAGTTGTTCATTAGTGGTCTCAGCTTGCAGCAAGGAGGCTCTGTTGACGAAGGCTTCGGCCTGCACAGGGTCATCCACCTCGAGGTACAGGCGGGCAATCTTCAGATAGGTCTCCAATTTGTAGTCTACAGAATATTGCCTGAAATGACACAAGGATATATTGATATAATCTAAAGCACCTTGATTATGAATCATTAACTTTTTGAAATAAAATTTTCATTGGAACCGTCATGTTAACTTTATTTACAATAAACAGATTTTTTTTAAACTAAGGCAAACCTAACTCTAAACATAATTTTCATTGAAATAGCAAATTGGAAAAAAAAATTATAATAAGTTTTACAGAGAAATACATACTTTTGGCCAGTTTCAAGTGGTATTCCAACAAGAACATTAGCAGCTTCCTTCCAGTTTTGATTGCGCTCATAAATGTCAGCTAAATGTTGTCTGATACTTGCCACCTGAAAATTAGAATAAAAACCTGGATTGAATAATAATAAATTAATACAAAGAATGCAGACCTATATTATTAGTAAAATATATTTCAAAGAATTTCTTATCAATTTACACTAAATTAAAACACTTAGGTAAAGCAATATAAATAAGTATTACCTGTTCCTCAAATGAAATCACCCTAGGTTGTATAACGTCCAGCGCAAAATGAGAGACTTCCCGAGAAACATTGTCATTCAGCAACGCCAGGTGCGTGCTGACATCCGTGAGCAGTTGCCGAGATATCACCAAGCTCACATTTTCATTCACAACTGAAAAGATTGTAGACATTCATGTTAAAATACATAAAAATTATAGCAAACATAAATTTTATCGCATTTTTGGCAATTTTATTTTAAAGGTATAGTTTGATTTCCTTTGATATGTTACTCACTTGCTTCAACAAATGCTTTTAATGTCTCAGCTAACTCTCCCTCAGGATTTTTCAGGATCTCCATGAGAACATTACGGTACCTGAAATGTTTATTATCTTTTACATTAAATACTTAAACCGGGGATCATTCAGAATGGTGGTTCTCCGAGGCTCAAATCTAGCAGAGGATTGCTGATACGATAAGGATCAATGCTTTCAGTAGAGATGTCTCCAATGCAAAAACAATAGCGAACTAACAATATTGGTTAGGTCTACCTGATAAATCAGTTGCTTGTACTTTAAGCATAGTTTGCAACTGCTAATTTGTTATTATAAGCCAATATAAGTACTAAATAATGTGATATTGTTCTAGATTTATATTTTTAAGGTAGTTTTCTTTACCCACTTTTCAGCTTGGTCTTTGTGTAAGCCTCCGGAATTTCTCAGTTCACTGAGATATTGTCTAACTCCTTGCAAATTAAACGGCATTTTGTTTTTCTTAAACTTCTTAATTATTTATTTATAATTTAACGTTAAATACGTTGAATTTTTTCCGAAGAAAAACAAAAATTATTTGTTTTTTCTCCGGTTTTTTTTTGTCAGTCAGAATTTTGACTTTATATTTTTTTAATTTACTGCATTGGATTGAAGGTATTTAGCCAAACTTACAGTTCCTAAAAGTGAGGTCCAACAAAATATTTTAATAAATTACCGGTTTTCTCTATGGATTAATGTTATGGTTATAAAACCGACGAATGTTCGTCATGCGTCTTCTTAATACACAGTTCCCTCCCATGCGAATGCGATAGCTATGTGGGCCTAGCTATAATGTGCATGGGTAAATTGCAGTATTTATATTTGTGTTGTAAACTAGCCCTACACTATATACCTACCTTTCCTATAGCTATTGCATACTACCTTTGGTTTTGGTACGTGAAGCAAGACGAATTACTTTAAAACTAAAAGTACTGTACGCTAAATATCACAGTGGGTCTAGACAAAGTGCAAATTATAATCGCAAACCAGTCGATAAGTGGTCGAAAAGCCCCTTTTTTGTATGGAGTTTTGACGGATTCGATTTTCGATTCGATCAAAAAGTGCGTTTTGTCTAGGGGGGCAGCCCCCCGAATCCGTCAAAACTCCATACAAAAAAGGGGCTTTTCGACCACTTTTCGACTGGTTTGCGATTATAATTTGCACTTTGTCTAGACCCACTGATATGGATAGATGCAGCATGTGTCAAAAATTGTATGAAGCCGAGCGTGCCACTTTTTAAACGTCATTAGTGTCATTTTAGCGAATTTTAGTGATTGCCGCAACGTAAAAGTAGTCGTATCATCGTACTGCATTCGCAAAGTCATCGAATGATATCGTGTGACTCGATTCAAAAATTAATTAATTCCGATAAAACTGATATTTTGTTAAATTTATAGCTAGTCTGACTGTGGATTAAAATAATTTTGTAGCGGTAGACGTTATTCTACAATTCTACATTATTAATTTGCAAATAATATTTTTGTTGTGCCTAATGTTTATGAAAGTAATGATCGTTATTCCATTATATTAAATAGTACTACTAGTAATTCATACTTAATTCCATACTTTTAAATATCCTAGTAAGTAAATGACCTAGTTTCATAAAATAAAGACTATTTTACTCAAGCTTTTTATTTTTAATAAATGTAAAAATGCGTAGTTTTGCCAATACGTTTTCTTTCATAAAGCTAAGTCAGGTACCTAGTTTTGAAGATATTTCTAAACGACAAAATCTCGGGCGTCGCGTCGTTTACATAGACTAGTAATAGTGTATACTGCGATCACTGACCTAACTTCTTGATTTGTATATTTCGACGTTATACAGTGCACTCTGTCTTCCACGCTCACTGATCTAACTTGTTTTATAATTCTTCTACTGCTACTTTATTCTAATTAATTACATATTTGTTACTCGTTGCTGTTAATTACAATTTTATTCTCAATCCGTAAATAATTTCTTCTCTCTACCGTGTTTGTACTACAGTCCTCGTAAAATCATCGTATCCGATTGTTGTAATCGAATTACATGAACATCACTCGACCATGTATGTCCATTTGGACATATCGGAATGGCACGCTTTGACTAGCAACTTGCTGTATCTACTCTAATCCATATCTGTGCTAAATATACTAGGCAAAGTAGTAACAGTTTGTGTAACAGTCGTCGCGTCGGTTTTATATCCGTAGCATTAAAAAATGACAGATCATGAACACAACTTTAATTTCTTCATGTTGGTAAAAGTTAATTTGACATTTGACATCAAAATTGAAAGAAGCGCCATCGAGTTGCAGGCGATTTTTCTTTAAAAAGTCAAAAGAAAATGCATTGCATTCGTCAAAATAGCTTTGATTGCGTAGTTCTATTAATTCTTCATTATTTAAAAGAGTTTTAGACTTAATTATACGTGCTGTTTTATCAGATAACATTGTTATTTCATTTGCTAAATTTGTTTTCAACCGTGGCGACTTTTACAATGTACTCTTGGAGGGATTTGACAAGCTAAAATGGCGGCGTCTTTTAAACTTAAAAATGTTTTGAGTTTTTCGCCATTTAAGTGAAGTAATTTTATGCATCAAGTGTGTTTAAATAATTGAGTGAAGTGCGAAGTATAAACTTTTCAAAATGGATCACAATTTGGAAGATTCCTTGAACCTTGACAGTGCCATGGGAGTGAGTACACTTATGTTATTTTTGTAGAATTATACTTATTTTGTTGCCAATAGTGCCTATTTCGTACATCAAATCTATAAAATACATTACCTGATAACTTTTGGCTATTATTATTGAAAGTTTACCGTAGTTTTTATGATTTCTTGGTATGTTTGTTGGAGAATTGTTTATGTTGTGTTTGTCAGATGGACTTTGAGAACGTGGGCGATGTGGTGGTGAGCCAGGCGGACATCAGCCTGGACGCCAGCGCGTGCAGCGACGGCGGCATGCAGATGGAGTTCCAGCACATGGAGGAGCAGTCGGTGTTGATGGACACCGGACACGAGGAAATCATTGGTAATCAAAGTTTACTCAAATTACTTGAAAGAAGTCAAATATGTTACTTCATTTCTTAAAATTATGCTGTATCTTTCTTTATGCTCCTAAACTTAACAGTTTTTAATGTATGAACAATGTTGATTACATTACAAACAGGTATAACAATAAATATTTACAGATTTCATGGGTGATCAGTTTGCTCTTCAAGAATACTCAGTGCAGGATGACCAGACTACGTCAGCTACTACCACAGAAGAATCTAATGTAAGTTATGTAAGCATAAACATTATCTATTTTTGTGTCAGCATTTATTATGCAATGTTTGAAATGTTTGTTTTGTAGCATTCCTATAAAGAAATTATTATGTGACACAAATGTATTTTTTTGCAGCAAAATATTCTAACACAATCTGATCCTCTGCTGGACTTACAGTTTGAAACACAAACTGTGGCACCAATGAAACAAGCCCAACCAAAATTCATCCCATTGAAGGTAATAGGCTAGTTGCCTAAAAAAATTTTTTTAGTCCGTAATGTTTAATATCAAAAAATATTGGACACATATATTTTTATTTGTCAATCTAACAAATAATTACATAGTTATGGTGCGTTGAAGTTGCGCACGACGTCACAACGTGCGGCATTTTTAAGCAAGCGTTGACGTCACGGGCCTCTTCTTATGAACTTTGGGGCGCTTTATCTCTTTAAATTTTCATTAGTTTGAAAAAGTGAAAAATACGTGTAGAGTATTTTTTTATAATTTAACTGACGGACTAATTAAAACTCTTGCTTTTTGACCCAGGCAACATCCCCATTGATATTATTATATAATTTTGGATTGTCTTTGTTGGAGTACCTGTATCGTATTCACAAACGATGATTGCTTAAGTGAAGCAGCAACGCTATGCGGAGTCCAATGCACAGCGTTGAATAAAGCTTTGTGAATGGTTTGTGTGTGTCACTCTGTCACACAAGTATTGTCTGTAAATAGGTTTTTGGGATCCTGTGTGTCCACACGCACTGTGGGACCTCATGGTAATGTTTGAATATGGGTGTGAATATCTTGTAATTTTTTACTTTGTTTTTATTACACATCTTTTAGAAAAATACTTACACCAGAAAACATGAGCCTTAACTAGTACACCTAGGGTTCCCAATCCTCCCGGATTGCCCGGGAGACTCCGGAAATAATGGTTAACCTCCCGACCTCCCGGAGAGCAATATTTTCTCCGGTATTTCTAAAAATGAAATGCATCCATTGCTGCTCGTACTTGTTTATAAATTTTATCTTTAAAAGAACCAATCACATGGACCAGCATTACTAAACTCCAGGAATTATTAAATATTGACATAGATAGTGACAAATTGTACGATGAGTTTGGACTTTTGCGTGAAGAGCAACCACATCTTATTGAAGAAAATCGAGTGGATTTACGCTGGGTTGACTTCTTTACGAAATCGAAAGACAGAAATCCCTGTCCTGAATTAAAAAAAATGGTCACGTTTGTTCTTTCCATTCCTGTCTCTATTAATGCTTCATTCGAGCGCGTATTCAGCGTGATGGAGCAACTATGGAGCAAGCCCCCCCCCCCACAATTCTCCCGGGTTGGTCCTTTCAAGAGTTGGCAACCCTAAGTACACCTCTTATAATAAAATATGCTGCTTCTATGCTAAAACATGATTATGATATAGAAGTCCTAAAATCAATAATCGGTCAAGAACTCTGTAGTACAAAAATTCAATTATTTTCTTGACTTTTATGTTATGTAATTTAGGGCTGATTTTTCAATCATCAGATAACTTTTATCTGAAGAATAAACTTATCATTTTGACATATTTCCCATATTGAAACTATCAATGTGTCAAACTTATTCTTCGGTTAAGCCTAAACCACCGATTTTTAGTTGGCGGATAGTTGGGCCCGATTTTAATTTGTACGAAGAATCAGCCAAATCAAATCGGTGTAATGTGCGCACTTCCATACATGCCCATACTGATCAACTGCCTGACTAAACTATCGGCCGACGAATCGATGGTCTGCGCCTAGGCTCTAGGTTCGACTTCGATTGAAAAATTAGCCCTTAGAGTAGGCGCACACCGTTGATTTTTCGTCGGCCGATAGTTTAGTCGGGCAGTTGATCAGTATGGGCATGTATGGGAGTGCGCACACTACGCCGATTCGATTTGGCCGACTCTTCATACAAATTAAAATCGGGCACAACTATCGGCCAACTAAAAATCGGTGGTCTAGGCTTAAAGGAAGAATAAGTTTGACACATTGATAGTTTCAATATGGGAAATATGTCAAAATGACAAGTTTATTCTTCAGATAAAAGTTATCTGACGATTGAAAAATCAGCCCTTAATATATTTACCAGCAGGCGACGGGCTTACGCGCGTCTTCTAGCGAAGCTAGCCCGATCAGCGCGGGCGCGGTGGCGGCGCCGCGCGCGGTGGCCATCGCGCCCAAGCCGGCGCGCGCCGTGGCCATCGCGCCGCGCCCCGTGGCGCTCGTGTCCAACAAGAGCTTGGTCAAGAAGCTGCCGCTGGCCGGCGTCATCAACGCTGGCACCCGCGGCAACACCGTGCTGGGTATGACTCATTAGCATTTGGCCCGGTTTCCTTCCACCAAGCCGGCGCGCGCCGTGGCCATCGCGCCGCGCCCCGTGGCGCTCGTTTCCAACAAGAGCCTGGTCAAGAAGCTGCCGTTGGCCGGCGTCATCAACGCTGGCACCCGCGGCAACACCGTGCTGGGTATGATTCATTAGCATTTGGCCTGGTTTCCACTGAGTGCTCCTGCACACGATGCCGCTGCAATGTGTTACTAAACAGTATAGTGGACCGGTAAAATTATGCTTTGACGGCGCGGGAGCGGCGCGGTAGCGGTGCGGTGGCGTGCTTCACGCGGCGCGTATCTACAAAGCAAAGGTGCGGGGGCGGCGTCGTGTGCAGGAAAGCTAATGCGGAGCGGAGAAATATTTTGAATAACGGATCAGATTTCAATCTGTCAATTTCATTAAATCTGAATGAGATCTGATTGGTTGATCAAAACATTTCTCTTCTCCACCTTGGTCGAAACCGGGCCTTAGACAGAATATAGATGAAGATCTCTCGAAATTCATGATTTTTTAAAAATAGCATTCCCAAAACCAAAACTGATTGTTGTGACATCGTCAATGGTCATTATCAATATTTAGAAATACTATGTAACTCGTTTTAAAAATAAATAAATAAAAATTCAACTTGGAAGATTAATGGTGTATGAGAGCATTAACAACTTTGACCTTGAAATATAACTAGTTGTGCTAGCAAGTAATACTTTATTTATGTGGAGATTAAAATTGAATTTAGGAACAACTATATGTACATATGTATATACATATTTTTTTTTTGATAAATGTATTTATTAATTTATTTCCAGCTCAAATAGGGAAGCAGCTGGTGATGATGCCTCACAACACTCCGAAGATAAAGCTGGTCACATCGGGCAGTTCAGGAGTGCCAAACTTCCAGTACATCAAAGCCAACACCAGTCAGGTACATTATTCGACCATTATAGATCGTTTCATCCCCTCCCCACACTTCCCTCGACAAAAATTGGTTGGGCGCGTCTTCGAGGATGAAACGATCTATACTTGAGCCGTAAAGTAAAGACATCAGTAAACAGCGTATTAATAACTCAAATTTAAAATTCACAGGCACAAGTTATAAATACAAAAAACGTAACCAGTGTGCAGAGTGGGAAACAGATAATGGCCAAAGTGATCGTACAAGGTATGCAACAAATTCCTCACATTTTTCTTACTGTAGGCCTAGGATGCGCGTCGCGATAAGCTTTTATCGCGCCATTTTATCGATTTTACGCGATAAGCCCATATGTTTGTCTTTTTTTTTATCCACTACGGGAAGCTCTTGGCCTGTATCTCACCTGATGGTAAGTGATGATCAGGCCGAAGGTGGAAGCGAGCTTCACCCGGAATCCTCAACCACGGAGGAACTGGCTATCTTACCTCTAACTGCCGAAACACAACAATGCTGTTAACACTGTTGTTATGGCGACAGACTTAGGTAAAATGGTGGTAGCTAGCCAGGCGGACTTAGAACAAGCCCTACCACCAACCAAACCGAACAGAAAAATCTGCCCCCACTGGGAATCGAACCCGGGACCTCTGCGTCTGAAACAGGTGATCTTACCACTAGACCACAGTGGCGGTAATCGTCTAAAATCATCGATAAGATTTTATCACGGTGCGCATCCTAGCCCGGCAGGTTTTTAAGTTCTATGGAGTAATCCTACATTTTTCTTCTTATAGGTCAATCGAGTGCGGATCAATCCAATCAACAGACGATAATCACTAAAATATTACCCGCCACCAATATGCCTGGGTCCTGTGGTGCGGCGCGCTACGTCATGCAGCAGAAAACTGTGCCTATTTCATTAGGGAATAAGGTCTGTAAAATAATTGTGTTTAAAAAAAGATACAATTAACAACTTTCGATTTTCTTTGTCGCTAACACGAACAGCGTTTTTATCCCAGTGCGTTCAGAGAACTTATGAATAAACCATCAATTTACGTGAAACATTCACGTAACGGAAAATTAGCACTTATTTAATATTATTTATTTATTTACCTTAATTAAATGCAAGTGAGCTTCAGATAGATTCAAAACGCTCACATTGCCTTGACTTTAACAGTCATAAGCATCAGGTCATTTTAGTCTCCACTGAAATTATTATTTTTGACCGTATTACTTATTTTCGCAGGTATTACTAGCCTCTCCCACGAAGCAAGGCCCAAAGTTTACGAAGAAGCAGCAAGTCATATCGGTCAAGTCGCCCACGCCCAAACTGATGCCGGCACCGCTAGGTATGAAACACTTTCTTTTATTTATAAAGCCTGGTCCGTGAGCACGTAGAATCCCGTCCAATGACCCCAAGCTACCCATCCCTATCGCTCGCGCGTAATTATGTTGCTGTCGCGACTGTGCGACGGGCGCCCGCAGTGAGTGTGCGAGCGCGAATAAACTAATATTTGAATGTTATCGGTACACGCAAAATTATCCATGAGTGCACACGCACAATACAATAATGACGCTCGGATTGCTCAGATCAAACTCCCCGCACCCCGCGCGACCGAGACCAAAAATTGGTGGGGCACGTCTGCGATGAAACGATCTATATTATTCATGCCCGGCTCCAATGGTAATATACTATAATAAATTGTTTGTTTGTAGGTGCAACCAAGAAGGCAATAACTAATGTAACTATATCTTCAAACCCCTTGCGCAATGTGATATTGAAAACCACAGCGCCACCAAAAACGGCACAAGTAAGTTCATCATAAAGTAATACTGAGTGATCGTAGTAAGTGTCACGTTGTAGGATATTATTAATTAGATTAACATAACATCAGACTATACATTTATTAATTTGTAGGGCTATATCACTTATTAAAACTATGTGTGACAATCGTATTGTTTATATTGCTTAGCTTGATGTTTACATAACAATATGATTGGTTTCAGATCACTAAAGATGGGAAGGTTGTAGTGCAAGGACAAAGATCGCAAATACATCAAATCAATGTTCCTGGGAAAGGCGTAAGTTGATTTTTAATTGCAGATGACGTCATTAAATATCAAATAGCACAAGTTAAAGTTTTTTCAACAATCCTATGTTTACAGATTCAATACATAAGATTGATTACAAATCCAACAGCATCAACAACCAAATCGGCAAGCAAAACGTCAGTACAATCTCACTCGGCGCAACCTAAATCTTTCGTTCTCACTGATGCTAAAGGTAAGTTTCAAAACAATATGGTGCAATTTATTTGTTGCCTTTCGAATTAATTTTTATAGTAAGCGATGTCCTAACATTTCATATTATCTACATAACATCTTTCATTCTATTATTTCTAATTCTTCTCGCTTTTCATTATTACAAAATTTGTCTAGAATAGTATTCATGTGTGTTTGTTCATAATTATTTTATTACAAAAATAAATACATTGTAAAATGGTTCACCAAAATAGCCCGGTATGCAAACCGCCGCCGCCGCCGAAAACCATCTAATATTTTCATTCATCATTGTAGTTAGTAAACATAATGTTAAACTTGTAGGTAAATTAATCCAGATGTCGTCAGAGAAGTCAGTCAGTAGCCAGCCACCGCCCCTCAGCTTCACTGTCAGCAGTGGCAACACTGCCAAGCCATCTCCTAAATGTAAATATACAAGGTCGCGCAGCGAAAGTTGAAGCTAACACAGTACCGCGCACCGAATATCTGTAAACATATACAGGAACACAACATATTCAAATAATAATATGAATAAATTAGCTGTCTAAAACGAATCTGTGCAAGCGAGATAGAAAGCGCTTGTCTCATGTCTGTCAGACTACGTATGACGTCAGCGCGGCGAGCGTGTACAGATAGATAAACACACACACCTTTGCTTGTGTTGATCGCCTTAACTCTCGCTGCGTGACCCTAAATACACTGGATTTATTGCAGTGGTTGCTTCATTATGTTTTCACGCTGGCTTTCTTTTTTCCTCACATGCATCAAATATTTATAGTATTTATTATCTCTATGCTGAACTTTATGATTCACAATGGATGACGCAACGAAAACTCATAAATGGAAAGAATTTTGAATTTTTAAACTTAAAAATGACATGGCTTATTTAAATTTGCGTTTTCTCTATTTGAAAAATTATAACTTTGGAACATGGAAAAGTTTGAAAATTTTAAGACAGTTTGTCAAAGAGCGGGCTTCAGTGAGTTTCGTGTGGAGCGTCGTAATAATAAATCGTTATTTTACTCGAAGGGCAACAGAAGTTCGTGAGGATCGCCTCGGCGCCGGCGGCAGCCAAGAACACAACAGCTACGGTAAGAATAACATTCAATCTTTTACACTTATTGTGAGTGCTGTTATAGAAAGTTTTGTTAAGTGACGGTGAATTCTTGCTGCATTGATAGTGCGATTAGAAGTGAATTCGCAAACAACACAATTATTCCAATATTGAACTCTATTTGTGCGTGGTACCTTACACGTGTTTTCGTGTGTAGTATCTAGCCAACTGTAGGTAGCGAATAAGCTCTCTTTTTTAAATATAGGGTGTAGTTGTTGTGTACTTATACTAGAATGAATACTATAATCCGGCAACTTGATGCGTGACCGTCCTGCGGGGTAACACACGGTTGCGGGGACGAGGTATCGAGATATCAACATGTAGTGGATGGTGTAGTGGGGAAGGGCATATTATTTTTGAATAGTAGTTTATTGTATATTTTTGTAAAATCATAACCGAAACTGTTGGGCACAGACGTCGTCCGCCCGCTCGAGCCAGAGCCTGCTAGCGCCACTGTCACCGCTTGCCGTCAAGCTGGAGGAGACCAGCTCCGACTGCCCCGCCCCGGACCAGGCGCCCGAGTCGCAAGTGAGTGACGTCATTTGACATTAGCCGACCAGACACTATTATGAATTAATCAAGCGACGATAGTCGAACGGAGGAGTAGGACTGGCCAACTTCTGATTTGAGGAACGCGAGTTCGATCTGGTGATCACTCTCGTAACTCGAGCACGTAGGAGTCGCTGTCGCCGTCGGCCGTCAAATCGAGCGGATGTATTTATTTTTGAAGTATTAACGTTTACAATGTCGCACAAACCATCCACATGTACCATCCTAGACTGCATCTCACTTAACACCAGGTGAGATTGTCAAATACCTGCCTATTTTCGAGCTATGTGCCCCGCCCACTGCCACTTGATTTTAGCGACTCTGCGGGATTCTGGGGCAGGAAAGTTCTTGAGTGGCGACCACGAGCTGGAAGACGTAGCGTGGGCAGGCCTCCCACTAGGTGGACCGACGATCTGGTGAAGGTCGCGGGAGGTACCTGGATGCAAGCGGCGCAGGACCGGTCTTTGTGGAAATCCTTGGGGGAGGTCTTTTTCCAGCAGTGGACGTCTTTCGGCTGAAACGAACGAACGAACCTGCCTATTTATGCATAATAAACCCTAGAGGAAATTCAATAATCTACTACACACCCTGTATTACTTGTACACTCGCAGGGCTCGTCGGAGTCTGAGTCGGAGTCGGAGCCCGCTGCGGCGGACCCGAAGGCGTCGCTGCGCACGCTCATCGCCGACGCCGTCGGGCCTACCGCTGACGAGGAGGCCTACAGCGCCGACCAGCAGGTGAACACAAGTTATAATCATACCTTAATTCTTTAGAAATTTCCTTAAATGTAAACAAACACTTCTGCACACAATTACACCATAATCACTTACATGTTCATAATATCATACACATTATTACACAAGCCCATGAAACCAACTTTATTCTCACGATTATACAAGTTTGGAATCAATCTTTAAACAAATTATTTTAGCAAAATATGTGAACGATGAAAATTTGTGAGACTTGTCAAATTGACTTGAAGTTTAAAATTATGTGTTATCTCCATGTTGTCTCTGACACATCAGTGTTGTAACCTGTAAGTCATAGACAATAATCGGTAAATTTATTCGATTTTATTTCAATTATTCAATCATTTTTATTACTGATTGCATTTAAATAGATTTAAATATGGTCTTAATCAACAATGTATTTTTTATTCATTGAATGTACTACTAATTGTTTAATGCATTGCTTTATAAAACATTATAAATTATTTCTATAGGTACGTAAGTACTACAATAATTTCAATACGCGATTAACGAGAGGTTTTGTCGTCTCACTAGGGCACAGATTAAAAATGTTTTAATGTCGGTTGGCCATATTTGTTTACATTAAGGGAAATTTCTAAAGAATCCGACTTTACGTAAACACGTATGTAGCGCAGCGTAGGACGTCTGACCGAGCGGTCGACCGACGACCTCATAAAGGTAGCAGGAAGGCGCTGGACGCAGGCCGCTACCAACCGGCCTTTGTGGAAATCATTGGGGGAGGCCTATGTTCAGCAGTGGACGTCCTAGGACTGAAATGATGAAGCATGTTATACATGGGAGCATAATCGTTAGCCGAAGTTTCGAATGTTGCATACCAGCATGAGCGACGGTGACAGATAGACTCGGAACTGCGTTAATAGTTTTGCAGGTCTCCAGTCCGGCCAGTGTCGGACCAAATTTGGTAATTACCAAAGAACTTTCACAGTTGGAAAAAATAAACCTACATTAAGTCAATTCACTGTTTGTTGATCTCGAAACAAATCGAAACTTGTTTTTATTTACGTTATTATAACGTAATTGATGTCGAACAATATATTTCAGGACTCCGTCCAAGGAGAACAAACAGACAGCGTGGATCCGGAAAGCCAGGGCCAGGAGGAGCACCCGCTTATCGTCATCCCCGCCAACTACATTAAGCCCGACCCAGCCGCCGACGAATACGCGCCGCAGGCCGCGGTACGAACCGCGGTTAGTACACGACTCTTATTGGTGCAGATTTTTTTTAAACCAAAGAAAATTTTAAAAGAACAGCAGAAGCTAAAGTCCGGTCGTCGAGCACGTAGAATTTCGTCCAATGACCCCAAGCTACCCATCCTTATCGCTCTTGTGTGTATATTATCATATATTGCTGTCGCGCTTGCACACTCACTGCAGCCGCCAGTTGCACAGTCGCGATGAGGTCATTGAACGAAATTCTACGTGCTCGGCGGCCGGACTTTAGTAAGAATACATAGGTACTCTAAATTCGATCTTATATTATCATATTTATATGACACAGTATTTGACTCCATTTCTTATGTAAAATGAATCTCATCATCATCATCATCATCTCAGCCATAGGCATAGGACGTCCACTGCTGAACATAGGCCTCCCCCAATACTTTCCATGTTGCCTGGTTGGTAGCGGCCTGCGTCCAGCGCCTTCCTGCTACTTTTATGATGTCGTCGGTCCACCTTGTGGGTGGACGTCCCACGCTGCGTATTCCGGTACGCGGCCTCCACTCCAGAACCTTGCTGCCCCATCGGGCATAAAAATGAATCTATTACTCTACATAAGATGCAGTACCACAGACCGCAGTCTGTGGAGGAACACTATGTCTATCTGTGGTCGCGATCCTCATAAGTGAGGGACCGAGGAAGAAGAAGAAGATGCAGTAGTATAATATAAATTGTAATTTACAGGATAACTCTGGAATGATGATGTTAGACGAAGAAGCGGCGAACTCTCTCCAAGAACCCACTACACCACCGACGGGATCTGAATATGGTAAGTTTCAGGAGAAAAGTCTTGAGATGTTTCACTATTTACATTTTCCTACACGATGAACATAAATTCCGTACCACGCGCTATGATGCATCTTTTATAATCGCTCTGATAAGAAGATTCTGTGTTCCCGAAATCATTAACCCTAAGGCCTTCAAGGTACAAGGACATTAAAAGTCCGAACTTATTTTGAAACTTAAATTACTCAAAAACAACATATTCCTGAAGCTTTTGACTTGCCTTTGAGAAAAAGTAGCTTTCTATCAGCTTTTACGTAAAGGCGCAGTTGCGCTTCGTTTACGTTTCAGCTTCATAATCCCATCCTATCGCTCGCGCGTAATTATGTTGCTGTCGCGCTCGCACACTAACTGCGGCCACCCGTTGACCCGTCGCACAGTCGCGACAGCAATATAATTACGCGCGAGTGATAAGGATGGGTAGCTTGCTTGGGGTCATTGGACGAAATTCTACGTGCTCGGCGACCGGCCTTTAGCTGTGAAAACGATACCGCGATATGGATTGGTCAAAAAGCTGAATTTCGTTAGTCGTCCAATCGCGTTGCAGTTGAAATTTTTTAGCGCAAACGGGGTCGAATACATTTATATACATTACTAACTACAAAGCTCTCGTAGGTTCATTTAAATGTATTGTTCTTTCTAGACGTGACAATCAAATCGGACTTCATGCGGCCACGTCGTGCATGCAACTGCACCAAATCTCAATGCCTCAAGTTGTACTGCGACTGTTTCGCCAACGGAGAGTTTTGCAACCGCTGCAACTGCAACAACTGTTATAACAACCTGAATTATGAAGAGCTCAGGCAGAAGGCTATAAGGGCGTGTCTGGAAAGGAACCCGAATGCTTTCAGGTATGTTGAGAATGTTGAGATAGACCAAAGGTCCCTAAACTTTTTAGTCTCATCAAATCATGTACCGCTTACGTATTATGTTTTTTAGTTTTTGTTGCACTCGCTGGATGCCAGCATTTTGACACCTACGCGTATTTACGCGTTGAAACTTTATTTTACAATCATGGACTTTATCGGAAAGTTCTGAAACTGTAATAAATATTAATCTAGGAATCATTTTATGAAAGTTCTTATTACTTCAATAAAATTTATTTGGTTTGTTATAGGCCCAAAATAGGCAAAACAAAAGCTGGAGGTCCAGAAATAATACGAAGACATAACAAAGGCTGTAACTGTAAAAGAAGTGGATGTCTCAAAAACTATTGCGAATGCTATGAGGTAAGTCTAATTTATTTACAACTTTACTACAAAATTTTTGGTGAACTGTTACGATTTTATATGGTTTTCTTTATGTTAGTTGAGCAGTGGATTTATTTGTTACTTTGTTCTCGTCTGACATTTCCTATTAAGGTCATAGCGTGGGATCGCTCCGCGGTTTAAATTTTTTATGGTTTCTAAACTTGCAAGGCAAGTCAATAACTTTAATGCTTTTGGATTTCTGTAGTGTACCAACTAAGAGTGCTAAGGAAAGAGCCCTAAGGTCTAAACATGATGTTCGGTACGCAGGCGAAGATCGCATTATTGTCGATGTGCATGCTTTACCTTTTATATCTAGAAATGCAATAAAAAAAGAGCCTTAACGCTTAACCACATTTGGTCTAAAATCAAGTGCACATCGATTTCCAAACGCTTACTTTTTATCTATAGAAGTGCAATCGAAAAAGAGCTTACGCCTAACAAAATGTTCCCCTCACAGCCAAAATCGCGTGCACATCTATAATGCAAATGTTTACTCTATACCTAGAAGTGCACAGAAAAAGAGCCTTAAAGCCTAACAAAATGTTCCCCCCACAGGCGAAAATCGCGTGCACATCAATGTGCAAGTGCTTACTCTTTATCTAGAAGTGTAATAAGGAAATAGAACCTTATCATCTGACATAATGTTCCCCCCACAGGCGAAAATCGCGTGCACGGCGATGTGCAAGTGCTTCGGCTGCCGCAACGTGGAGGAGACGCTACACCGGCGCCGCCAGCAGCACGCGCTGTACCGGCCGCCGCCGCTCGCCGACCTCAAGTCAGTACCTCGTACACGGCATAAGCACACTGTAGATAGGTACTATAGATTTGTAATAGTGTGGTAAAGCCCGGTCCGTGAGCACGTAGAATTTTGTCCAATGACCCCGAGCTACCTTTATCGCTAGCGCGTAATGAGGGCTATCGTTTTAGCGCTCACCAGTTAGCGCCACTGTAGAGTAAGGTCCTGTCACTTGCTAATAGCGAAGACAGTGGCGCCAACTGGTGAGCGCTAAAGTGGTACGAGGACTATCGCATTTGCACTCATCAAGATGGCGCCACTGTAGAGTAAGGTCCTGTCAATCGCCAGGGGTGCCAACTGTTAAGTATAAAAACGATAATCCTCATTATATTGCTGTCGCGACTGTGCGACGGGCGCCCGTAGTGAGTGTGCGAGCGCAACAGCAACATAATTACGCGCGAGCGATAAGGATGGGTAGCTTGGGGTCATTGGACAAAATTCTACGTGCTCGCGGACCAAGCTTTAGTAACCGTACAGTCCTATCAACTTAAGCTGAGAATTGCATTTGTGTGAGTGATCGCCAAAAGTACCGTTAGTAAAACACATACAAATAAAATTAATGTTTTATTAAAAGGAAGTCTATAAAACACTTGCTACCAATTGGGCCGATGCAATGTAACGACACTTGACACATCCTTTTAAATAAATACATAAATAAAAACAGGTCCTCGCTCAGCATATGCCAAGGCACGAAGTACCTCGACGCTGATATTCTGCGAGCACCGTTTATAGAAAGGGCGTACAGCCAGCCTTACAAAATACAACAAAAAGACAAACTTTATAAAATTACAAAATAAAAACAGACTAAAAACTTTTCGTTCACATCTTTAAAATACGTATTCAATTTGCATAAAATTTCTTTCACTTGGCTGCTTAATGGATTTCGTACAGGAAATTCACTTACAGTAGGAGCCATTTCACTAATATTTGGAACACAATTACATAAAATTACACGTATCTGCTACCAGTACCGGGGGTGAAGTGAAGTATGAAGCGGTGCGTGGCGGACGCGCCGCGCTTCAGGCCGCTTGCTATAAATAAACCGGTTTAAACCATGCGCGGGACGCGCGCCGCGCTTCAAGCCGATTGACACTCTACACTATCGGTGTGCACTCACACAAATGCAATTCTCAGCTTAAGTTGAGAGGACTGTAACATTGTCATTGAATGATCCTAACATTTCAGTTTTTTTATGCACAACACTATTGGATGTTGGTATAAGTCGGTATCAAGCCATTCTGATTTCATCCAATTAGGCCCGGTTTCCACTAAGGCGGAGCAGAGCGGAGCGTAAAGTTTTTTGAATAACCAACCAGATTTCATTATTTCCACTTCTCCGCTCTGACGTAAGCCGCCGCTGTAAAATCCTATAGAAAAATTTGACGGCCCGACACTTCTCCGCTCCCCGTTATTGGAAACCGGGCCTGAGTCTTTTACGGGATGTATACCTTAAGTGTGTTCTACAACTCGATCACGCTAACTGCGCATTTTGTAGGAATGAGACTCTCGCACTCACCCGCGTTCGCCTCTTTCGTACCAAAACGTCGATGTGACGTCACGGCTGCCATATGCGCAGTTAGTCGATCGAGTTGTACGATTTTTACGTATTTCTTTTTAGTTTTTATGCCTTAACCGCCTAATCAAGTCACAAACACAGTCTTATTTAGCTAGTACCTGCACGTAATCCTCTTTTTGACCATTCACAGACAACCGTGCAGCTTCATGACGACAGAAGTGATCGAGGCGGTGTGCCAGTGCCTATTGGCGGCATCAGTAGAGGGCGGCGGCGGCGAAGTGGTCGCTGGTGATGACGCAGTCAGTCTGGTGCTGGACGAGTTCTCGCGATGTCTGCAGGACATCATCAGCGCTTCACATCACGCGCCGTCAAGAGATGACGTAAGTTCTTTGAAATGCTACAAGTGCTCGGACTAGTAGACTACTCTTTAGCTGGAAACTACGGTGGAGTCTGTGAAGGGTGGGTCGGGAAGGTGGATGCAGGTGATGACGCAGTCAGCCTGGTGCTGCACGAATTCTCGCGCTGTCTACAGGACATCATCAGCGCTTCGCACCACGCGCCGTCACGGGATGACGTAAGTTAACCTTTTGTTTGCCATAAGTACTCGGTCTTAACGACTCTTTAGCCGTGGCTTAACATTGAAACTACGGCGGCATCAATAGAGGGCGGCGGCGGCGAAATGGTCGCTGGTGATGACGCAGTCAGCCTCGTGCTGGACGAATTCTCGCGCTGTCTGCAGGACATCATCAGCGCTTCACATCACGCGCCGTCAAGAGATGACGTAAGTTCTTTGAAATGCTACAAGTGCTCGGACTAGACTACCCCCGGACACGGCCTGAGCCGAGGTCCGAGCCTACCGTGGCGCCCTCAGGCCGCGTCCGTAGTCCCCTCGATCGGGCCCACTAGAGTGAGCCCGCCGTAGGCTGGACTTTGGTCCAACACCGCGGTGGGCAACCCTCTAGTTGGGTTCGCCACTGATCGGGCGCCTTATGCGCTCGATACGGCCCGATCGCGAACGTCGGTCTGCGACCGACGCGGACGAGCCTGGGCTTAAGCCCACACTCGGCCTCGTCGGCACGCGCACCGACGATCGCCAAACGGCTAGAGTACCTTCTGTACTCGCCACTCTGCCCGGTGAAGCTGGAAAAGCTCCTCAAGCTACCAGCGCGAGTCCCTTCAAAAAAAAAAAAACTATTATTTAGCTTGAAACTACGGTGGAGTCTGTGAAGGGTGGGTCGGGAAGGTGGATGCAGGTGATGACGCAGTCAGTCTTGAGATGAACGAGTTCTCGCGATGTCTGCAAGACATCATCAGCGCTTCGCACCACGCGCCGTCAAGAGATGACGTAAGTTCTTTGAAATGCTACAAGTGCTCGGACTAGACTATTATTTAGCTTGAAACTACGGTGGAGTCTGTGAAGGTTGGGGTCGGGAAGGTTGTCGCGGGAGATGACGCAGTCAGCCTGGTGCTGGACGAGTTCACGCGCTGTCTCCAGGACATCATTAGCGCTAGCGACGTAAGTTAACGTTTGAAATGGCTCGGAGTCTTTACTCCGGAGTATCGTATATCGGAGTAGACCACTCTTTAGCGCGACTTGACCTTGGAACTGCGTTAAAGCATTAGGTGCCTACATGATCTGTGACTAGGTCTAACCTTCTTTTTTTGTGCATAGCTATTGTAGGACTTGTCGCTATTTTCTTGCATGTCCCGAGTTGCTGACTTTAAATACTTTTTTTTATTTTACATTTTTTAATTAAACTTTGTTACAATTTTTGAAGGAAAGATTCCATTGATTGTGTTCCAATGTCACAGGGATCCTGCACCGCAATAAAACCAGTCGTTTAATGTAGAATATTTCTCATTACAGGGACATTCGTGATATTCGAAGAAAAGGGTGACGAAATAGCACCCGGGCACCAAAAATCTGTTAATATATTTTCTAAAACCGTATTCCATTTAACCATTATAGACTTTGTAACGTATTTAAGAGTATATTGGACCTCACTTTTCATTATGGCAATATTATAATTCTCATAATAGTAATAGATATTTTCTGGTATGAGTATAATATGATATATTTTGCTCTTAGTGGCGCTATGTAGCAAGCACTAAATACCAATGATCTTATATCCTTATCGTCTTATTTAGATCATATTTCTATAGTGTTGACAATCTCAAAAAGTTGATTTAATGGAGCTTATTCAATTGTGGATGAAAGTATAAGCAATAAGACTAAATATGTATTAGGTTTAGGTTTCTCCGATATGGGATCAAAAGCTTTGTTTTCTCAATGGCAAGTCTCAGTTTGAAAAATTATAGTGAGATGAATGACACAGACAATACATTAGTTTGATGTCTTGATTTTCTTGTATCATGATATTTTTTGGTAAATTAAGTCCATTTTTATACTTACATGTATTGTCATCTCAAAATGTAGTTGTAGTTTATGACAGAGCGAGCATACCCACCAAACTTCTCACTTGTGCCTTGAAGACCTATAGGTATATTCTATGTATGAATTTGGTAAACAGATATGGACGGGTAAAATTCTTTGGCAGGGTGTGGTAAAAATAATGTAGCTAATGGTTTATTAAGAAAATGGCATGAGGAAATGTCTTGTTCAACAATGTTCATGGGTGTAAAAGGGGATTTATACGGTATATGTTTATAGGGGTCTCCAGACTATAAAGAGCCCCATAAACAGTAGCCCAGGAGTCCAGAGAACTCTCGGTTTCAACTTAGACAGTGGGCAAGCGTAATTTTTATTGCAAGTTAAGTCTATCCCGCGCTAAGGCCGTTTATAAAAACGTTTAGTTATGAGTCTAGCTCAGGATGGTGTATATTTTTGCTCCCGTGCATTTTATTTATTCATAGAGAAAGCAAGTAAACGTTGACATCTCAAGTACATAACAGTAACATTTCAAAAAATCTCTGATTCTAAACTTTAGTAAAAAAACGGATCGTTATTTTTGACAGGTTCATCCGCTGGCAAAGGTACCTAACGAAGTACTAATGATTTCGAACGCTAGTATCTGCTTCAGAACAAGCGCTCGATATGGATAAAAAGCAATAGTATATTTTTATATATTTTAATAGGATTTTTTATGGGGTAGTACGAAAGATATTTAGAGTAATTTGTCCTAGACTGTTATTTTAAAATTGACTCTCTGATTTCCATTATTATAATGAAATGCCTAAAGGAAGCCATTTATGAATTTGATCAAAACTGTAAATAATGTTAGTAAGTCAGATGTTTACGATTTGTTTAAATGCTACGTGCTTATTGTGAATATATCAAAGCGTGTAAATATTTTTGTAAAATACATTTAACTAGTCATAAGAACAGCATACCTTTAGACTAAGGTAAAACTTGTAAATAACAGCCATATTAAATGCAATTATTATTTGTAGACTTTTTTGTTTCATTACTGAACAAAATCCCTTAGAACTGAGTTTTCGTAGAAACGTATTTCTTATACAAGTTAGTTATAATTTTTCTTCATGAATATAGCAAAACTTAATACTTTTATTTATTCCATCAAAAGTTCCTCTTACACACGAGTAGATAGGTACACCGGAATTATTATTCTACCTGCAATGAAGGGATACGCAACAATCGTACAACAAAGAAATAGAACAGAAAACATGTTTTTAGGATTATTCATGCATTTGGATTCCATTCCAACTCCTATTCACTTTGAAATCCCTTGTTGAGTAGGATTCAATTTTATATCATCAAGTAACTTTGAAGTTCTATCTAGTAATGGATACTACAATAAGAAATACTTGACTGCACAATTTAACAATAGGCTCCTACCCCCCGGAAGAAATTCTTCGGCTGAACCTGCCGTGCTATGTGGATATGTTAGCAGGTCAGCACTCCGCCCGTGCGCGCGAGAAATGGCGCTAAAAATACCGCACTGTGGACTTCTAAAAATACTCGGGTAATACGCGCAGTCGCACGCCGAGTCCGATGCAGGACGCTATCCGGAAGATATAACGCGATTTTATTAATTGGAAAGGTGAAAATTAACTGAAACAATGAACCCTCGATATGAGATAAAGAAATCTGAGCAGCTTGGAAGGTGCGTCTAACATTTTAATTTTTTTTTACCTCCTTTATTGTATTTTGAGTAGGTATGATCTTCCTACACGACCATACATATTTTGAATTTCGTGTTTTTAAATAATATTGGTAAATAAAGTTTGACAACTTTATAGATATTTAGCAGCAGCTAGAGACTTGAAGGCTGGTGAGAGTATCCTGACAGACGAGCCGTATGCATTAGGCCCGAACAGCGACACGTCACTCGTCTGCTTCAACTGCTACCTGCCGCTGATCAGCAAGTTCCTTGTCTGCAAGAACTGTGCTGTCGCGCCCGTCTGCCCGGGAGATGGATGCCCGGAGGAACTGCCCAAAAGTAAGTCTTGTAGGTAGAATTACCCTCTTTTAAAAGTAGGGAAGTCTTCCCTTTTTACTGGCCTTTTGCTGACGCAAAGTTGGACTGTGGACAGGTAAACTAAAAGGATTGACCACACAGCCTTTTCGAGACTTTCGTAACTCATAATGTTCGTATACCTGTGTAAATAACAACCACTATTTTTTACTTTCAGAATGGCACAGCAGTTCAGAATGCGAATTCTTCAGAAACCTAAAACTGACAAAAGGTTTAAGCCCCATGACGATGGTGCAAAATGTGGGATCTCTATTGGTCCTGCGCGCGATCCTCAAGAAAGAGACTGATCCTGTAGCGTGGGAAGAGTTTATGAGCCTGGAGACTCACTTGGATAAGAGGAAGAATTCCAGTGTTTGGGAATACAACGAAAACAGTGTGAAGGTTTGTTGTATTAAACTATGTAGGTAATGTAAAGGCGCACGCGCATGAGTGACTTGTCACCGTGACAGTATGTCTCATGACAGATTACACGCGCCATGTGTTTTGGTAGAAATTATAACTTGGGAAAATAATATCACGTTCTGTTTGAAGTAAGCTTGTGGTATAGGCACATCTTTATAACTGTCTTTTGTTCCAGTTCATCAAATCATTAGGCCTCCTAGACACCGTATCCGACGAGGACTTAGTTCAAAAGGTGTGCGCTGCTATAGACGTCAACAGCTTCGAAGTCCGCGGGCCTCCCATCCCCGCCATAGGCTGTTCCGAGGTGCTCCGCGGGGTGTACCTCAAGGCAGCACTGTTGGCCCACGACTGTGTGGGCAACACGCACATGTCTATAAATGATAATAATGTGCTGGTGTGCCACGCTAGCACCGATATAAAGAAGGGGGAGACGATTTATTATAATTATACTGATCCTTTGAAGGTGAGCATTATTTTATCTGTAACTATCAGTTTCATCACACTGTTATTGAAAGACTATAACTGATCATTACGTCTCTCGCATTAAAGATGTGCCCTTATTTATTACACTCTATCTATACGATAAAAGCGGGACTATTTCCACCTCTCGTTCTCACTGCTGCAACTCCTGTGTAGCTGGGTTCTCAGTCTTCTCAGCTTGACCGCCAATAAAAACCCAACCAGTGAAGGTCAAGTTTCTCCCGGAGGAATGTAAAATTTACCATACGATAAAAGAAGAATCATCCCGAAAATCTTTAAAACATCATATTGCAGGGCACAGCACTCCGTCAACAGCACCTGCTCGTCGGCAAATACTTCCAGTGTACTTGCAGCCGCTGCAAGGACACCACAGAACTCGGCACACACATGAGCTCGGCTCTATGTCCTGACTGCAAGACGGGCTTCGTGTCCCGTTCAGAGGCCGGTGACTGGGCTTGCGAGGCTTGTAGCAAGAGATTCGAGCAAGCAAATATTGGACATAAGGTGCAGTGCTGCTCCGATAAGCTGGAGGTCATCAGTGAGTTTAACTTTTTCTTAGTTCGTTCGTTTCAAAAGGCATCCCTCGTGGTCGCTACTTGAGCCCCAACGCAACGGCCATTCTAGAAGCTATGTATTGCCCGCCCACTGTCACGTAATTTCGGCAATTCTGCGAGCTATTCTGTCGATCTCATTTCTGATTAGGTCACGCGGGGAAACTCTGAGCATAAACATACCTTAAGCCTTCTTATGAGGCCCTCGTTAGTTTTCATCTATTTCCTTGAGAAACAAGAATTGTTTTCTAAAAATCGAACTACACTGGTCATCACAAAAATAGACTCTCCCGCGACAAGCACTTTCAAACGTATGCATCCCCACTTCCCACCAATATTACTATACTATATTACCATTTAAAAGCCTAGTTCTAAACTTCATTTCATTAAAGGAAAGGTTTTTACCCCAAATGTGTGTCTGTAAAAGAATCCAGAGTCACTTCTTCATAAAATAGATAGTTTTAGACGCATGAGCCAACTTTTATGGCTATAAAACTGTTAAGTTGGGATTAATCGCTATCCATCTGTTAAAGAGTACACGTGAGATCATTATTTGGTTTTATAACCATAAAAATTGGTCTAATTGATCCCAGAGGTGAGCCCAAAGTGAGGTCTTTTTTCAAGTCACATTTATTGTATATCGCGTTTATTAAGAAAATAAATGTGGTTTTCTTTAAGGATATTTATTGGGCTTTCAAATAACACCAATATTGTTGGGGCACCATGATTGTGTCAGTAGAAACGAGTTTTCCTGTAAAACGTTGGTGGGCCGATTTTTGTGATGACCAGTATATTTGCTGATAATATCTATTTTCTTTCCCCCCAGACAAAAAAGATGAGAAAGAGTTAGAAGAGTACATCCGCCACGTGTCCAAAGTGCTGGCTCCGAACCACTACCTCCTGTTAGACGCCACACAACGCCTGGCCGGCGTGCTTCGAGACACAATCAACCGCGAGCCGCACCCCACCAAGAAGCTCATGCGCCGCAAGATACAGCTGTGCAAGGAGATACTGCCGGTGTTGGACAAGCTGTGCCCTGGCATATCGCGTACGAAAGGTAACAAACGACATTCTATAGAAGAAGAAGTCCGTATTTCAAGATACAGTTGTTCTGAGATCTTTTTTTGGTCATACGCAACTGGTATTTTGGACTATATTTTTTTATCAGAGTCCTGTTATAAAACGTACACTACACTTTTTTCCTTAGTTTGAGACCTTACATCGATCATGTCAGTTATCACAAACGTTAAAATGTTTTTTTTTTTGCTCCAGCAATTACTCTTTACGAACTGCACGCAACTACGGCGCAGTTGGCGAAGAAATTATTCGACAGTCGGGAAATTACCGGTACTGGATACATGGTACTAACCTAACCTATTTTGATTAGATTATGTTTTTTTTCTCTGCTTATGTGTGCTCTATCTCGCTCCTAAGCTAATTATGTGCTTGTGATCGAAATAGCGTTACTCAAATTGGCTATTGCCGCCATTTTAATTAACGTTTATTTTTAGGATGAACTGATGAACGCCGAGAAATTCCTGAAGCAGTCCTTGGAGATGCTCTTCATCGAACCCGGTAACTCTCCCGAAGGCGAGCTCTGCGCGAAGGCCCTGGAGGAATACCGGGCGCTCAAGGCGACTATGAATACTGTGCTGGATGGAATACACGCGGAGGGCAAGGCATACGTTAGCGCTGCGGAGAGGGACGACCCTTTGAACCAAGTCGAATAAAAGTTCATTTTTTAACAAAGTTTTTTGTTTCATTTAGTACATCTGGTGTAGGATGATCCACAATAAGCTAGAAGACAAACTCAGCCAATGGCAGTCTACTGCTGGATGTACTCTCCAGGAGTGAAGAAGAAATGAACAAGAAATTATTAATTCCTGTCTCGGTCCAATAGATTTCTCTATGTTATCGGTCCATCCATCGTTGACCGAGATATTTTTTTTTTATTAACCAAATAAAATTTCATTAACTATCGTTTTCATAGTGGCTGTACGTAACATGTTTTCATTGTCCGTCTACCGTATTAAAAAAAAGAATGTCAGATGTCACTTGTCAAATTTATAGACGAATTTCTTTCGAATTGCTAAAATACAATTTTATCGCTAATTACAAGGAAATCGACGATCTGTAATTAATATTTAATATTATATGGGCTCTAAATATTGTATAAACTCCAGCGCTTTGCTCTGAAGTATAATAATTAGTGCAGTAACACAGTTATTCATCATACCGCTATTTGTGAGTGTACACTTCGATTTGTGGAGGTGATTACTTATTGCCTTGGATTAGTGAGGTATACCGCGGTTTAGTGGGATTCTAAACGTTGTTAAATTGTTTTCGTGCAGGCCAGGCATGGCGGACCAGTCATCTGTATTGGCTATAGTGATCCTAGCAGTGGGAGTCACGGTCCACTTCTCGTTGCATAAAGTTGAAGAAGGGCATGTGGGAGTTTATTATCGTGTAAGTATATTGATAAAAAAGGAATAACCCTTCATTAGGTTTCGTTTGTGTTTGGTAGAATAATGTTTACCATAAGGAGCTATACTGTATGATCATTTACTGTTTTTGTTCTTAGGGAGGAGCTTTGCTCCCAGTGACGAGTCAGCCTGGTTTCCACATGATGATTCCCCTTTTGACATCATACAAAGCTATTCAGGTTAGTACAATTAATATTCTATAGTTCTTATTGAAGGAAACAAAGCTTATTTTTTTGTTGTTTAATTTCAGACGACACTTCAAACTGATGAAGTAAAAAATGTACCCTGTGGAACCAGTGGAGGAGTCATGATATATTTTGAAAGAATTGAAGTTGTTAACAAATTGGAACCAGCTAGTGGTATGTTTATTTTTATATTATTATTAACTTTAGGGTTTTAAGTGTATGATCTGATTGTATGTCTATTTTTCAGTGTTGGATATGGTACGAAACTTCACAGCTGAGTATGACAAAACCCTCATATTCAACAAGGTCCACCATGAATTGAATCAGTTCTGCAGTGCCCATACCTTACATGAGGTATACATAGACTTATTTGACCAGATTGATGAGAATTTGAGGACAGTAAGTAAACTAGTACAATAACTCGCCTTCTTTTGAAGTGTGTAATTTTTTCTAATCTTGTTTTTTTCTGTATCAGGCACTACAAAGAGATCTTGACGAAATGGCCCCAGGCCTAAGGGTGCAGGCGGTCAGGGTGACCAAACCAAAGATACCAGAGACAATCCGTAAAAACTATGAGCTTATGGAGGCTGAAAAGTCAAAGCTTTTGATTGCTGCTCAACATCAAAAGGTATCAGATTAATTTAGCATTGAAGTAAAAATAAAATTTCTATACAAAGTCTTATTTTTCTCATTAATCCAATATTTTTAGGTGGTTGAGAAAGAAGCTGAGACAGCCAGACGTAAAGCTGTAATTGAGGCAGAAAAAGAGGCCCAGGTTGCCAAAATTCAATATGAACAGAAGATCATGGAAAAGGAATCATTGCAGAAAATAGAACTCATTGAAGACAGTATCCACAAAGCTAAGCAACAAACCAAGGCTGAGGCAGATTATTACCATCTGAAGAAACAAGCTGAAGCAAATAAACTTCTGCTGACAAAAGAATATTTGGACTTGAAGAAGTATGAAGCTCTCTCTCAGAACAATAAGATCTATTTTGGAAGTGACATCCCTAATATGTTCCTTCAAGCTAGTGTTGGTGAGAGTGGAGTCAAAAGTGTTCAGGTTGAATGAGTAGTTGTTACTCTGACAAGACCTCTGCTAGTCATTGAGTAGTGTGCGAAGTATTTATACTTTTTCTAAGCAAATTGTGGGTCTCTATACATAATAATTGTCTTTTGATGAAAGATTCTGATATTGTGATATAACTTTGTATTTATTGTATACTCATTCATGCATTAGCATTTCTTAAAAGTTATTAATGTAAGGTCTAAACATTCGACTGACTTGACATAAAAGATCAATGTAAATATTTGTTTAAGTAAAATAAACAAACTAGAATTATTTAAATTGTTTTATTGAAAAGAAAATAAATTATGGCTTCATTTAGATTTTGTTGAAAGCAGCAATATCAACAGATTGGACAAAGTCTTCGAATTCCTGGATCTTTTCTGTAAGGAGGTCCACAGACACCTTATCGTCTTCAATCACACACATGATCTGAAGTTTGTTGATACCATAACCTACAGGGACAAGTTTGGAGGCACCCCACAAGAGACCATCCATCTCAATGGTGCGGACCTGGTTTTCCATTTCTTTCATGTCTGTTTCATCGTCCCAGGGCTTGACATCAAGGATGATTGAGGACTTGGCAATGAGGGCAGGTTTCTTGGATTTTTTGTCAGCATATGCCTTCAGACGCTCTTCACGAATTCTGGCTGCCTCTGCATCCTGTTGAATAAGAATAAATTAAATCTTAGCTGATTTCATTCAATTTAAATTTGGGGGTATACAACTAAACAATGTTGGTAAGTTACTGCAGAATAAGTTTTTTGTGTTAAGTGCCCTAGAAAGGGCCTATGTATTAAAGAAACTATTTGAATGAGGATCATTTCGATTTTTAGCTGTGAATGCAGGTTTATAGGGCTAAGAAATCCTTAATACACAGTGCAAAAATTTTTGTTCTACGACAAAAATTTACGAAGTTATGGCCAAATTACTAAAAAAGTTCACTGAACGCCCGGCGCGGGGACGATGACGTCATTATATCCGATCCGAACGCTGCCGGCGTACTGCGTGGATAGAAAATATTTTTTTCTAGCCAAATTATCAGTTTTAGAGAAAAACTTGTAATGACATTTATTCATCAGAATAAAGTAAGCTATCGATAGGTAATTTTTAAAAATGGAAATTGTGAAAAATAACGCAAAAAATCCATACGCTCATACGATTCAATGGCACGCAGAGACGCGATTGGGGTCTCCGCGGTGGTATATTTGGCGATTTATTCAAATAAAGTGTACATAGTATTATTATGTTCAATACAAACAATCATTAAGTTACACTCACCCCAACCGCGTCTCCGCATTGCATCGAATCCTATGAAAATGTGGTTTTTGGACATAGCAATACTTATTTTTCACAATTTTTATTTTTAAAAATTACTGGTCGATAGGTTACTTTATTTTGAAGAATAAATGTTATTAAAAGTTTTTTTCTAAAACTGATAGTTTAGCCGTAAAAAAATATTTTCCATCCCATTAGTACGCCGGCTGCGCTCGATTCGGATATAATGACGTCACGCGGCCTTGCGTACGTTGACTTTTAGCGGCAAAAACGGCCTATGTTTATTACTTAATATCTTCGTAAGTAATGGTCCGATTTGGATAATTCAAAAAGATATATCTTTCTTATGTCTTAAAGATTAACGTAGATTAGAGATGAAACGGATATCCGGCAACTATCCGGTAGGCCGGATATCCGGCCTAAATTTACTATCCGGCCGGATACCGGATAGTAGCTCACTATCCGGCCGGATACCGGATATTAAAAAACTACGGAAATTTCCTGTAATAAAATGAAACACATTAATCTTTGAGTTAAATATCAATTAAATGGCTTATAATAATGACGGTTTTTATCTAAAGTCCAAAAAGTTACAAAAAAGCCATATTAAGGCCTTTCAAAATTTCCTTTCTGGGCTATTCACTCTAATAACGAATACATAAATAGTAAATAATATATATTTTATTGTCGAAATATTGCCAAATAAAATAGGCGATCTTTTTTTCACTGATGGTCTGATCACATACAGGGTGACTTTGAAATTGTTGGCATCCTTTTATTAAAGACTACTCATGATACATAGTGCATTCCCCAAATATGAGACAAATCCAATGAGATTTTTTGTTATTATTTTAACTATGTATTTGTATTAGTGTGCTCTTAAAAAGAGTTTAAAACTATTGTCCAGTCAACAGCACATCATCCTATACATTTGGTTGCAAAATAACACTTCTTCATTTCAGCCATAGGACGTCCACTGCTGAACATAGACCTCCCCCGATGCTTTCCATGTTGATCGATTGGTAGCGGCCTGAGTCCAGCGCTTCCCTGCTACCTTTACGATGTCGTCGGTCCACCTTGTAGGTGGACGTCCCACGCTGCGTTTTCCGGTACGCGGCCTCCATTCCAGAACCTTTCTGCCCCATCGGCCGTCAGTTCTGCATACTATGTGCCCTGCCCATTGCCACTTCAGCTTGCTAATCCGTCGGGCTATGTCGGCGACTTTGGTTCGTTTACGGATCTCCTCATTTCTGTAGCACTTAATACATTGAAATAAGATGCCACAGTAATACAGTATGAAGATTGATGTGCTGTCTGTACAAGATTTCAAATATTGAAATTTTAATTCATTTGATATGACTCATATTTGGGGAATCATGAGTAAAATCTTATTTTAAAAAGAATGCCAACGATTTCAAAGTCACCCTGTATAATGTAGTTCAGTCAGATTACGCAGCAAGTAAACTAATTGAATTTTCGCTATTCAATCACATACTCACGATGGCAACCGAAATCGCCCGAATTGATCTGCCCCTTTAGACTAGTGGCAAAATCTGACATTCTATTCGAACGAATTCGATTTTAGAAAAGTGTGACTTGTCTTGTCTACTAGACCCACTGATCGCGTTAGAAGCACCTGTGCGGCGCTAAACTCGTTACGACATGCAACATGACAATGGGACAACTATCCGGCCGCCGGATATCCGGCTATCCGGCCTAGCAGCTCGCCGGATATCCGGTATCCGGTATCCGGCCAAACAAATATCCGTTTCATCTCTAACGTAGATACTAGTTTTATTGAATTTTCTACAACAGTACTGATCCTCATTAAGAAATTCTGACATGGAGATTTATTACATACCTCTTCCTCATCACCAGAGCCAAATAGGTCGACATCATCATCGTCGTCGTCCTTGGCGGCAGGTGCTGGAGCCGTGGTCTTGCCGCCGGCGGTCAGGGGGCTCACACAATCAGCCCAGGACTTGCGCTCGGCTGGTGTGTATGAGGCAATCTGGTTGTACCAGCGGAGGGCGTGTGGTAAGCTGGCGGCCGGCGCTTTGCCGACCTTCTCAAACACCTGTACATCACCTTGAGAAGGTGTGTAGCTGGAAAAACATTTGAACTGTGATAAAACCAACACTACGGAACATAGGAAACGCTAATGCTGGTTAAGGTTAGGGTTACAGTCGAGGTCGACGTGGTTCAATTTTACAACCTATGCTAATTTTCAAAGAGAGCTTACCCACACACATAGCTTCTTTCAGCCAAATAAGTGTTTAGGTCATTGAGTCCCTGGGCGGTTTTTACGTCTCCAATAGTCATTTTTGGATGGATTTTAAGGATTTTTGTACTGCTTTACCACACGGCCCGGTAGAAGACGAGCGAAAGAGAAAGAAATAGAAAAAAAAGAACTGAAGTTCTTTTTCTTAATGTTACCGGTTTAGACAATTCACAATTAAGCCAAGATTAATACAAACCATAGAGAAAACCGGTATTTTGCAAAAGTTTTTGTTGGACTGTATCCCACATTGACATTTGTTTGACAGTTCTTGTATCTGTCACCCATTTCTGAAATTTTTAGACAAAAATTGGTACGAAATTTTCAATAAATACGACGTAGATTATTTAAAAACTACTAAAATTATCCACAAAATTATAATCTAGATAATATAGAAACAGCTTAGGCTTGAAAGTATAAATATTTACATAGGTTAGCTGCCAATACTTATGTAACAACAACACAGTATTTAACCATATTTCGTCGGTATTAGTGACTTGTAATTGATAATATTGTGTGCTAATTGGTCCCTAACAACTGTTTAGTTAGTGAAATATATCCAAAGTGGATTAAAAGTATTAGTTTTGTGGTAATGCGTAATTTATGATTGGTGCATGTTTGCTGCAGAAAATGCTACGCCAGCCGCTGTCTCGGGCGCTTGCGTTGAGCTCGTCGGCGCGCGCGGCCCCTCTGGCGGCCCGCCAGTACTCGGTGCCAGCGCAGCCTGAGAAAGTAGAAGTCTTCATTGATGACCAACCTGTACATGTCCTACCAGGAACCACTGTTTTGCAGGTAATATTTTGTATTGGGTTTACAACGTAGATTATGTTTATAAACAAACAAGCAGCTCATATAATTTCAAAACTCCTAAGTTCTATTATGCTGAATGATGATGAGAAATATATGTTGTAGTTACTGTAAAGAAGATGAAAAGAATATTCATTTATTTTTTCTTACAAACAAAATTTTATTGAGCTATAGGTGCACTTCAGTAGACATTATAGGTAATACACACAGGAAATAACTTTTATATTGTAATAAATTGTAGTTCAATAATAAAATGTACTCTTTACAGGCAGCTGCTCAGGTCGGAGTAGAAATCCCAAGATTCTGTTACCATGAACGTTTGGCAGTTGCTGGCAACTGCCGAATGTGTCTGGTCGAGGTTGAGAAGTCACCCAAGCCCGTCGCAGCCTGCGCCATGCCCGTCATGAAAGGCATGAGGGTCAAAACCAACTCGGACCTGACCAGGAAGGCAAGAGAGGGTGTAATGGAGTTCCTTCTTGTGAATCATCCACTGGATTGTCCCATTTGCGACCAGGGAGGAGAGTGTGATCTGCAGGATCAGTCTATGGCTTTTGGATCAGACAGGAGCCGTTTCACTGACATACATTTCTCTGGTAAAAGGTTAGTGAGTGTTTCTAAATATTTTGTAATTTTTGAAAAAACCATACCAGTAATTTCTTATTAGAAAAAGTAGGGCTACTAGAATCAACAGTTACAAAAATTGTTGTGCCTCTTAAGCTCAATCTATTTGGTGATATTTATCCTCTACTAGCGGCCGCCCGCGACTTCGTACGCAAGGATCCTGTTTTACCCCCTTTTCCCGAATTTTCTTTGCTATAAACCTCACGGAGCCCGAGACCTTTCCAACGAATGCAAAACTGTGGAAATCGGTTCGTGCGTTCTGGAGTTATAGCGTCAGGGAGGAAAACCCGACTTATTTTTATATAGTAGATTACACATATTTTCCTGCTATCTTTACGATGTCGTCGGTCCACCTTGTAGGTGTACGTCCCACGCTGCGTTTTCCGGTACGCGGCCTCCATTCCAGAACCTTGCGCTGGACGCAGGCCGCTACCAATCGATCAACGTGGCCTATGTTCAGCACTGGACGTCCTATGGCTGAAATGATGATGATGATGATGACACATATTTTTTTTTTATAAATCAGGGCAGTAGAAGACAAAGACGTGGGCCCGCTCATCAAGACGATTATGACGCGATGCATCCACTGCACGCGCTGCATCCGGTTCGCTTCGGAAGTGGCTGGCGTTGACGATTTCGGCACCACTGGCAGAGGCACTGACATGCAGGTTACAAATCTTTGAAAAGTTCCTTTATCTTCTTTTTTCATTCGTCGGCCGTTTGGTGTAGTGGTTCGAAACGGACCACTATTCCGGAGGTAGCGGGTTCGATTCCCGCACAGTACAAACATTTGTGTGCATGAACATATTTGCTTGTATTAGACTGGGTGTTTTCTATGTATAATAAGTATGTATTTACAAAAAATAAAAGTATTTAAGTATGTTTATATCCATTGTCTAGTACCCATAGTACAAGCATTGCTTAGTTTGGGACTAGAAGCGCAGTGTAAATGTCCAAGGACATTTATTCATTTACTAGCGTCCGCCCGCGACTTCGTACGCGTGGATCTCGTTTTACCCCCCCTTCATCTTCTTACGCGGTTTAGATTTTTTCTTACAAATGTTTTTTCCCGCTAACTCCCGTTCCCGTGGGAATTTTGCAATATCCTGTTGTAACTAAGCTTTAAGTTTACTAAGGTACCTGCATGCAAAATTTCAAGAGTCTATCTTACGCGGTTTAGATTTTTTCATACAAATGTTTTTTCCCACTAACTCCCGTTCCCGTGGGAATTTTCCAATATCCTGTTGTAACTAAGCTTTAAGTTTACTAAGGTACCTCCATGCCAAATTTCCAGCGTCTAACTTAAGCGGTTTAGATTTTTCATACAAAAGTATTTTCCCGCTAAATCCCGTTCCCGTGGGAATTCCTAAGTATCCTATAACCTGCCCAGGAGTATGAAGAATAATTGTACCAAGTTTCGTTAAAATCCGTGGAGTAGTTTTTGTTTCTATAAGGAACATACAGACAGACAGACAGACAAAAATTTTACTGATTGCATTTTTGGCATCAGTATCGATCACTAATCACCCCCTGATAGTTATTTTGAAAATATATTTCATGTACAGAATTGACCTCTCTACAGATTTATTATAAGTTAAGATTTATTATTCATTTATGGCCAGGTCTGGGATATTATTAGGGCCCACAGAGTGACTTCACCAATGAATTCCAGCAAAGTCATGTTAATGACTCAAAAATTTAATTTCATTGTGTAGTACTTATACAGAAATTTTTTCAAGCTTCTCATTAATAGCTGTTTATATTTGAATAATATAAACAAAAGCATACTCATTATACAAATGCTTATCTCAAATTGGAATGTAGGCATGTTCTGAATAGGTTGTCTTATAGAGCTTATAATATTATCCAATTTTTTATTTAAGTCAATCAAAAATCATCATGGCTTTAGATTTACACAAGATTAGGCAAGATGTCTTAATTATATCTAACTAATTGTTTATTTCTAGGTTGGAACATATGTGGAGAAAATGTTCCTCTCAGAGTTGTCTGGCAACATCATTGACCTGTGCCCCGTGGGAGCCCTGACCTCGAAACCCTACAGCTTTGCTGCACGACCCTGGGAGACCAGGAGGGTAAGTGTTGTCAATAAGTTATTTCAGAATTAAAGAAAGAAAGAAAGAAAGAAACATTTATTGCCATGGACATCACAAAAGACAAAAGAGGTAAAATAAAAAAAAAAGCAAATAAGACAGAGGTGACATAAAACATACAATGAATGAGCAAGTAAACTAAGCAGTGCCACCCTGTCGCACAGCGATGCCCATCGCAATGGGACCCCACTCAGCATATGCCGTGGCCCCCGGTGAGGGAGGCCACGACGCTGGTTTTCAGTGTGCCCCATGCCGAGTGAGAGTCACGGACACTACGGAATTAGTTCTACCATAGTTAGCTTTACCATGTACACAATGTACCATAACAACAATGTCAACAGCATTGTTGTGTTCCAGCAGTTAGAGGTAAGATAGCCAGTTCCTCTGTGGTTGAGGATTCCGGGTGAAGCTCGCTTCCACTTTCGGTCTGATCATCACTTACCATCAGGTGAGATACAGGCCAAGAGCTTGCTCGTTGTGGATAAAAAAAAATGTAATCAGGATCAATTTCAACTAAAATAGAAGGACACGGGTCTTAAAGTGACATTTATGACTTGAGTTACATTATGTACTCACCTTTTGAAGTTTTGGCTGCTATGCTGCAGCCTTGGTCACTGGCAGACAGGATCAATTTATTGGTGAAATAATATTTATAGGACTACCTAGCTACCTACCATTTTTGAACATTTTCGATAGTAATTTTACTTGTATTTTTGCAAATTAGTTGTTTTATGATGAATATGTTTTTGCAGATTGACTCCGTCGACGTTTTGGACCCTCTGGGTAGCAATATCGTCGTCGCCACGCGCACCAATGAAGTGTTGCGTATTCTTCCTAGGACTAATGAGGTTTGTAAACGCTAATTCATCAACAGCCCTTTACAGTCCACTGCTGGACTCTGAGCCTCCTCCACTATAGTGGAGGGTTTTGCCATAATCGTTTGCCATAATAAAGCCGTGTGGTGACGGCAGAGTAGAATACATTTGTCACCAACCCCTACTCTTCCCGCGGGTGTCGTAAGAGGCGACTTAGGGACTACACATCAAACAGAGAATGGGCAGCAGCGCTCTCTGAAAAACATCAATCTTTTAAACTGCGATCTCCAACCCGCCTGCCAAGCGTGGAGATAATGGCAAAACGCTAATTATCCCTCCACAATACTTTTTGAGACTGTCGTAGCATTTCTTTTCGTTTATTGTATTGAAGAATTATATGTTTTAGTAGTTTTTTAATTGAGGTACCTAGTAATTTTAAAGCAGTCGATAGATGACACTAATACTAAAACAGACAATAGGCGAGAATCGCAATTTGGCCATTAAAATACACACATAACAGCTGCTTAACTCAAATAAAAACTGTTTGTTGTGCAGGAGATCAACGAGGAGTGGCTGTCTGACAAGTCTCGCTTCGCGTGCGACGGGCTCAAGCGGCAGAGACTGGTCACGCCCATGCTGAAAGACAGCCGCGGGAACCTCGTGCCGGCCGAGTGGGAAGACGCCATCGTGGCCGCCGCGAGAGCCCTACGCGACTGTCCGCCCGACAAGGTGAGAGCAGCCGAGTATAAATCACAGCAAACTAATAGACAGTTTGACACCATACCCCAATAATTCGAAACCACAACTGTTTTAATAATTACCTTTTTAAAAAAATAAAACCGACTTCAAATGCGTGAACACAAAAAAAAACTGAAAATTAAAAATATTGCGTATAAAAAAGTTCATCCCCAATTTTCCACCCTTGGGGGTTATTTTTTCTATTATTAAATTTAAATGGGACCACCCTTGAGGTATTACCTATACGCCGAAAAAAGATTTGTTCAAATCGGTTCATAATTGGCGGAGTTATCGCGTAACAAACATAGAAAAAATAAAAACATACGGGTCGAATTGATAACCTCCTTTTTTGAAGTCGGTTGAAAAGACCCTTCATTCTGGTCTTAAAAACTTTAATTTAAAATTACCTGTAAATTACGATTTTTGTTCGCATTGTAATTGAAAAAAGTAGTTTGATTGAGTTGACAAAATAGTGACGTCACTTGCTTGTAGTGCCATACAAAATCTATGGGAGAGTTTCGTTTTGACAGATTTAAAAAGTACGTCAATTGACTGGTGGTGTCAACATGTCTATTCCATCAGCCCCCTTCCATCATCGCGGAACCAGACGCAGGTTAGCGTACCATCCCTAGATTGTTGACATTCACCAGCTCGCACTAAGCGTTTCGATGACTCTTTTATAATGCGAACAGCTAGGGACTGGAATTCGCTGCCTACTGCTCTTTCCCGAAGACTATAATCCGGGCATTTTTTAAGGCGAGAGTGAATAGGCACTTACAGGGCAGATATGTACCAACCTAGACTGCATCCCACTTAACATCAGGTGCGATTGTGGTCAAATAACTGCCTTGTTATGCATAAGGAGGAATACACGGTAGCAGTCACGCGGCAGGAGTATTACGCCTATACTAATGGACAGCAGTGGCAATCTGGTCTCTACCGAATCAACTATTAAAGACAACTAAATGATGCCGTTGTGGAGGTCTAGCTCCATGCCTTTTTAGGCAAGCAGTGGGTGGATTGTCGTGGATTACAGACAGGAGTGGGATGCGGTAGCAAGTCATGGAATAAAACGCTGCAGTATTCAAGTTAGGGGTATGTCAGAAGCAGGAGTAAGATGTGGCTCAGTGCCACTCACATAATAGGCGTTGTAGCTGCTAAGAAGCACCAAGCCACTAAGTTGTTTTTAAAAGCTCCCTGGAGGTATTTGTCCAGCTGTCGTCCTTTGGTTGAAACGAACTCACAAATTAAAAGCTCCACGACAACCACCCTGTACTACAATCAACCGATAGGCGATTATCACACTGCGCCGCGCTCCGCCGCGGTACGCGGGACGACAGATTTATTCATTGTATGCAAGTATCTCAGTTTGTATAGAAAACACGCGCGGCAGAACACACTGACAACGCGTCTGCGCGCGGGATTTTTTATATGAAATCACGCGGACCGCGGCGTATCGCGGCGCAGTGTGATAATCGCCATACGGATACGATTTCCTTTCCTCATCATTCAACCAAAATGTTTCTTCCCCAGCTGCTAGCAGTAGGGGGCGGCATGGCAGACGCGGAATCCTTGGTGGCGCTGAAGGACCTGGTAAACCGCCTGGGCTCGGAGCAGGCCTGCACCGAACACTACTTCCCCATGCAGGGCGCCGGCACTGACCTCCGTTCCTCCTACCTGCTGAATACTAAGATTGCCAGTGAGTTTGTGTTTTATAGTCATCTTTTTGAGTAGCTACTGAAAAAAGTGGCAGAGCGCGTGTAAATCAAAATGTATTTAGACACCTGTAGCCTTCACAGTCCCCTCGCGCGGCGCACGTCAGAATGTGGCGAACGCGGACACAGGTGCGTATAAGGGCTCTTTCTATTTAGACGTTTCGTCTCGGACGTTTGTCGTGCGTTTGCAGGACCGTACGCGGTAAATTGTATGACAATAGGGATGTTTCCTGGGTCAAAAAGCAAGAGTTTTAATTAGTCCGTCAGTTAACTTATCAAAAAATACTCTACACGTATTTTTTACTTTTTCAAACTAATGAAAATTTAAAGAGATAAGCGCGCCAAAGTTCATAAGAAGAGACCCGTGACGTCAATGCGTGCATAAAAGTGCCGCACGTTGTGACGTCGTGCGGAACTTCAACGCACCATAACTATGTAATTATTTGTTAGATTGACAAATAAAAATATATGTGTCCAATAATTTTTGATATTAAACATGACGGACTAAAAAAATTTTTTTAGGAAACTAGCCTATTACCAATAATTAATGATATTGTAAACACGCAGGCTAAACGTCCGACACGTAACGTCTAAATTGAAAGCGCCTTAAGGCCGGGTAACAGAGAAAATGGCGAAAATGAGGTTTTCATTTTTCATTTTTGAGGTACTAAACAGTAAAATAAAAGGCTAAGATTTTTTTTGGGCATAGTTGAGGATATTTTCTAGGGCTATTAACGGATGGAAACACGATTTGATGAAGTTGACTCGATAGCATAAATTCCCAAAGTTACCTCTATTCGTTTTCTAATTATGGTTTTATTTNAATATATGTTCGATGATTACTATATATTTTTAAGCTTATTATATGAGCATAAATAATAGATACAGGACTTTGAAAATGAGTCTGCGGCAATTTTTCCGTAAAATGGTTGTGGGAGATGGGGCACTGTGAATTAAGCAACAGAGTTTTACTAAATCCGTTTCATTAATGGTCAACACCAAGGATTGACCTATCTTTCGCAGTTATTAAATAATCTCTGGGTGTTGCTTAAGATAGTAATTCATGCTTCCAAAATCTTAGAAATTCGCACGAAAATGTAAAATGGCTCTTAACCTGTAGGTAGGACCTATGATTGTAATAACTACAAGTAGATTACCACCTAGAACCACCTAGGACCTAAGTATTTGAAGTTGACCGCCATCCAATCCCTTTGTTGTTTTGTTTTGTAGGCTAAGGGAAAGTAGCACCTCCCTTCTATCTAAATGGGTATTTTTTATTCCTTTATAAATTGAATAAAGTACCTACCTAAGTAATAAACAGACAAGCGTACCCTAATCAGACCTAATTTACCTAGGAAGGTAATAACGTAGGTGTCTACCTCTCCTTTTGTAAAAATAGAATAGGAAGTCAACTTATGTTAAAATCGCTTAGATCCCAAAAACAAAACCGCATTGTAACAATGCAACCTAGTTAAGTGCGTAAAGGTAGAGTTGTTATGGATGTTTACTGTAACCACGCTGTATAAAAATAAATAGGTATGTAATCGTACGGTATATTACACGTAGGTACCTATAATACAATGCTATAGATAGGTGCTGTTACCACTCTATAGCTACTATAGGTACGCAAATCTATAGGTATATACAGAAAATTGCTATTACCCGACCATGACAAAACGGCGCAAGTCAGCACGCATTCTTATGACGGTAACCTACATCTCGAATAGACGCGTTTAGTTGCTTTTCGTGCGAACCCCGACGACGAAATCATTCCATCCAGCCGTCGAAGCCGTGTTCTCGGGGGTTTGGGATTGTGATTTTGTATAAATCTCTAAAGTTATGTGCCAACAACTATACAAAACAAAGGTATGTATCATAAAATAATACTTTTTAGATAGTAGTAGGCTTTGAAAAGGTTGACTATCGTTTTGAGCATTTATGGCATCGCTTTCTCAGGCGTATCTTTTGTCTCGCTCTAATAAGTTGAACGTCAGCAACATGCTTGATCTCCTGTCTCTTTCCCTCTAGTAATATAACACCGTTGTGCTCGGTCGTGTCACGTAAGAATTTTTTTGTATTTCTGCAAGCAAAATAGATGCTTTCTGTAAAAGTTTTATGTCCAATTTCTTTGATAAGTGTTTGTGTCTTTGTTACAATAATTCTTTTCCTAAATATCTGCTTCGTTTCTGTGATATGGGTCGTGCTAACTTTCACTCTAGATATAGATAGGTACTGTGGATGGTAGAGCATAGATATATATTATGTATACGAGTTTGTAGATATTCAACATCGAGTCGTCGAGACTCAAGGCCGAAATACACAAATACATAAGTAGATACCTACCTACCTGGTGTAAGAAAAGAATATTGGTTTTGATAGAAATGTGAAAATTGTGGAATCTTTTCGTCTTGGTCGGTGTGGCAGTAAGTACCTACTTGTGTATTGCGACGTTCATCGAATGGCGTACGGAGGAATCGCAGTCCCAGCTTTGATTTCAATCTTATTTATAAATGTTAATTATGTGTCCTTATCGCATCGACGCGGCGCAAATAATTTCATGATGATGCTATAGGTGCCTACGTATCGAGTGATATTTCTGTGTGTATCTATGTTGGTTGATGAACGTAGTCCTTGAGATAACCTCAAAAACAATATAAAATTTGTCTTTATCTGGAGCAGTTCAGTGTTTAGAAAGCTTGTCGATTATTTTATGTGACGCTACGGATTTCGGAATGGTTGTTATAATGGGATTTCTTTGTCCCTGTAGATAATCTGAAACGTACGAGCTGACTGCAAAGCTGCGAAGGATCTGCCGAGCCCGCATTATCTGTGATATACAGCTCAGCCTCTCGTCCGTCCTATAAGGTGAGCTACGTCCTACAATAGGTTTCCAACTGGCTGAAACACTATTTGACATAAACACACCCATTTCATGCCACCCTGTATGACCTATTTATATCTAGATATTGTAAGTTTCTTCAAGCCACTATCAGCACATTAATCAATATTATTATACTGATAAGTTATATCACAGTTAAAAATGCTTTAAAAATACATATTGTTTTTAAAATAAGTCATGAAATGTAGTTCTGGAAAAAATACTTAACTTAGATTAATTTCATTGTTTTCTCATTAGAAAATAACTTCATAAATGTCATGCAAGCTAAAATTATAATGCTTTTAATATTATGTTACTGTCATCATCACTAACACCATAATTTATGTGTGCTTTTGGTGTAATTATGGACAAGTTACTATAGAACCATAAAATAACATGGATTCTTTAGAGAATATAAATTAAATTCAAATTAATTTTCTTTCTGCTAAAACCACATCAAAAGTCTAATTTATCTTGGAATGAACATCCAAATACTTATTGATTTCTAATACTGATTTGCATGTTGTTATGGATTCTTTGTTTTCTCCAAATTCTGGTTTTTGATTGATTGGATTTATCCAAAAAGACCACCTTCCAAATACATATGAGTTTGCCTTGTTTCTATTTGTTAGCTGAAATCTTTGTTCTAGAGCTGATTGTTCAATCATCAGATAACTTAAACTTAACCTTATCTGAAGAATAAGTTGGCAGTTTCAGTATGGGAAAATTTCCATTGAAAAACCAGCCTAATCGAATGTAATTTTATTATATAGAACATGTAGTTTTGTTGGCTACCTTGTCATGTAACAGCTAGTAGGATGTATAATTTCTATACAGGATTTGTGAGCAGTTTGATGCATAGAGTAATGTGTTGTTCTAGGGCTGGGCCACTCGGGGCTAGGAGGCGTCCGCAGCAGCTTCCAGCGGTGATCTCACCCTGCCCTCTGCCATAGAGGCATTAAACACTGCTACCTGCTTAATTGACTGCATCACTACGAACCATTGTTACTTAGTCTATAATTGAAACAATATGCAATCTGTGAACATAAGTATAATACTAGGTGGATATTGTAGAAAATTATTCTATTTATAAATAATTGTCTGATGTCTAATGTTTCTGTAATATTATGTGTTCCACGTCTAATTAAGGATAATTGTTACTCCAATATTGATACTGTTACCGAACCAATGCAATGTAATAACTCCACCTCGACATTGGTGGTAAACACAAATAAATTTGGTGCTTTTGAGCGAGTCTATAAGAAGAATGAGAGTCAGCGAGTTAGTGTAAAAATGGTAGATAATAATATTTATAATGTAGAGTTTGTTGATAGTATCCAACAAAACCAAATGATTGGCGATACGCCTAACTACTGCATTCCTTTAAAGATTAACGCCATAACAGTCCAGGGTATCTCATACAGTGACCCATATTTCAGTAGCTTTAACTTAAAGTATAAGATGGCGTTTGGAGCGCCAGAGTATATGAACAAGTCTGATTACGCTTTTAAATCCTCAGTTTGTATTATACATGATGAGCCTTGCGAGACGCAACTATTGAACGAAAAGTCTGCTCGTGATATGATATGCAAAACGAAAACTCGAATGATTACTGACGACGACAAGTCTGCAAGAACATACCATGACAATAATGTTGGTTTTGGGGCCGCGAGCTCTGAGTCAGCTTTGAAAGTATTCGCAAACGGTGATCTCACTTTGGACGGGATGTTGGAACTCAGTAGACACGAGGGCGACCTGATGAAGACTTTGGGGGGCGCCGTAGACAGCTGGGGCGTGCCGCGCCGGCTCCGGCTATGCGGCGGCGGCGAGAGCTCGCTCAACGCAGCAACCGGCTGGGGCAGCCCGCCTGCTTCGAACAATAACGGTGACAACCCTATTTTGTTTTATTTACTTTTCGCTCTAATGAACCCCTGTGTTTTAAAAGTACACAATCATCCAGTTATCTTTGTAGAGTCATGTAAACTTGGGATTGTTAATATTTATTCTCAAATTACTTTCTTGATAACAAAGTTGGTAAACAAAGCATTTTTTTATTTGTAGGTGGTTTGTTTTTGACAAGAGTGACAACATTTTGTTTATTTTTTTTTGGTAGGTGGGAATTGGGGCGGCAACTCCAGTGGCCAAACTAACAGTGGATCGAACAATACTCAACAATGGAATAATACGGCCCAGCGGCCGCCTACTTCTCAAGCCGACAGTAAGTTCCTAAATCGAACAATTAACTCAGCTTAGTCATCATTAGAGAACATGTTTGTTAATGTTTATTACAAAGTTGCAATGGCATTTCGTAATTGATGATATTTGCATTTCGCCCAGGTATTTATGAGTGATAGGATTGTTTCTTGCAGTGAACAGCAACAAAGCGAACGGCAACCAGATGCCGCCTACCAGTGCTGCCTCAGGCCAGAACTGGCAGAGCTCTCCGCCTAATATGCCAAATTCACAGTCCAACAACAATGGTGCGCCTGCAAGCAATGGTACGTCATATCCAACTAATCACGTCATTTGTACAGTTTACGCCACATTGAGTAATGTTGTTTAATAATGACTACTGTTTTTAGGCACGAACAACTCTGGAAACGGGAATGGAGCGAACCCTTCCAATCCGGCTGCGAATTCTAACGGGCCTTCTGCTGGGAACGGAAACGGGAATAACGTCAACAGCACGTCCTCTGCCAAGATCGAGATCAACTCAATGAGGGAGGCTCTCTTCAGCCAAGATGGTTGGGGTGGAGTAAGTTCAAATCTATTTCGATATGATATCTTTGTTACTATAAAAACATGATAGTTGGCTAATATTACGAATTTAATTTATAGCAACACGTCAACCAAGACACCAACTGGGATGTACCCGGATCACCCGAGCCCGGCTCGAAGGTGGAGCCCACGGCCGGTGGACCTCCGGCATGGAAGCCGAGCATCAACAACGGCGCTTTCCTCGGAACCGATCTCTGGGAGGCGAACCTCAGGAACGGGGGCCAGCCGCCGCCGCAGCCCGCCGCGAAGACCCCCTGGGGGCACACGCCCACGACGAACATCGGGGGCACGTGGGGCGAGGACGACGACGCCGCCGACTCGGCCAACGTGTGGACCGGGCCGCCGCCGCCGCAGCAGTGGCCGGCGGGCCCGCCGCAGCACGCTCAGCAGTGGGGAGTGCCGAAAAAGGACGACTGGAACGCGTGGGGCGAGCCGCCGCGCGGCGGGGACCCGCGCCTCGACCCGCACGGCCGCTCCGCCGACCCGCGGCAGCAGCCCAACGACCCGCGCCACGACCTGCGCGGCGGCATCTCCGGCCGCCTCAACGGCGACATGTGGAGCCAGCACCACCAGCACACCGGGCCCAACAAGATGATGCCCAGCGGCGGCGTCAACCAGTGGGGCGCGCAGGTATTGTTGAACTTGATTCTCAGCAACGCGTACCGCTGAAATTAGTAAATAAGCTGCCCTGTGTGTTTTTTGTGAGTGAACGTAAGCGTCGATCGGCAGGGTCCCAAGGAATCGATCAAAGCGACCGGCTGGGAGGAGCCTTCGCCGCCGGCGGCTCGCCGCGCGGCGGGAGGCTTCGACGACGGGACGTCATTATGGGCGCAGCGCGGAGGTATGGGAGGCATGGCCGGCCGCGGCGCCACGCAGGGCCCGCCGGCCCCGCAGCGCATCCCGCCCACGCCAACGAAACCAGACGCGGTTTGGGGAGCCCACGCCCAGCGCAACGGCTCCTGGGAGGAGCCCCACGCACCTGGCTGGCCCGAGCGCGACGCTTCGGCTTGGCCCGACCAGTCCGGCCCTGCCCTGTGGCCCGTGCCCAAGCCTAAGCCCACCGGTCCCGGTGGTGGCTGGCCCGACGACATCGGCGAGTGGGGCGGCCCTAAGCCCCCGCAGGCCGGACCTCTCGGCAAGCAGCTGCCGAAGGAAGTCATCTGGAACAGCAAGCAGTTCAGGTTGGTAACATTTCTAGGTCAATTTCCCGTTAGACGCTCGATAGAGTTTATCTAAACGTAAAATTATGTTTAGGTTCTTGGTGGAGATGGGTTTCAAGAAAGAGGAGGCCGAAGCGGCGCTCCGCAGCCGCGATATGAATGCCGAAGAGGCATTTGAATTATTGTCGAACGGCGCTCGCGATGGATGGAGGCGCGACGAATTCCACCACCAGCCCTTCCAGCCGCCGCCGAATGTGCCAGCGGTGTCCCCCGCCGTGGCTCAGAAGCTTTTGAGCCAGCCGCCGCCGCAAACGGTGCAGCATCATCACTCGTACAACCCTAACAGGTAATTATTGTCCTTAGAGTCTAAGGTCTAAATAATTAATTTATATTGCCATTGGCTGTCGAGTAACTAGACAAAGAAATTTTTTTTAGTGTGGTTATGAATTTCAACATACCATGTCCTTAATTTCTATGACATTTTGTTCTTTTTAAGTATTATGAAAACTACATCAACTCTATCATTAGAGAGTGCTAGTAATTACAGGCTAAATAAAATTTAATAGAAAAAAGTCCTTCATAGAGTTTATTAGGTCATGCATTCAAAGCATAGATCAATATCAGTCGCCGAGCTATTTTTACCTCGCGTTATAGCCAATTTACGTTGTTCGAATAATAACAAACAATTACATATAAATTCTATGTTTGTCAGCAAACTATTGTCTTTCACAATCGCTACTATCAAATTTCGCTAAGATCGTCAATAAATGTTGTTTATTGAAAATGAAGTAGCGAAACTAGCAGACATTTTATTGACTTGCTGAAATCGAAAGTTGCGTCTATACAGACTTGGCGGCCATTTTGGCGCGATCGCCATAGCCTAGACAAGGGACAGACGCGACAAAATACAAAAGCGAAATGTGCAAATGTAAATATTCATCTTTTTTGTTAATACGTCAGCAACATCTTAAAATAACTAACAATACATTGACATTGTATTGAAAACAATTTTGTGCCAAATTGTTTACGCGATAATGAGCATTGTAAACTTTGGCGACAGCATCACCTGATGCTATGTTAACCAACCATTTTTGGATTTTTGGGCAGTATTAGGAATTAATAGGAAGAGCAATATAATTTATGATAATTTTAACAGCTTGAACAAAAACGAAAGATATGTAAATAAAAAAAATCTAAATCAATGACTAAAACAAAGAATATAGTGTTTTTTTTTTATTTCAATTTCGGCCCAACTCAACAGTTGTTTTTTTATACACAAAACTTATGATAGAGGAGAACTAAGCTCCCCGATTTTGCAATTCGGCCTAATTTGACTCTTGTTGTTAAAAAAAAAGACGACGAAAAGTAGCCTATAGTTAACTAACAAAAATGGCGCAGCGACCCAAAATGAGTCTTGGCCTCCGAAATTTTAATAACAATCTCCACTCTCAGTCTGTTCTGCGCCACCTCCCTCGAGTTATAGACGCTCTTCTATATTTAGCTTTTTTTTTCACAGTGGCACCGGCAACAGCGGTCAACCCAGTACAGCACAGCTTCGTATGCTGGTACAACAGATCCAGATGGCGGTGTCAGCAGGCTACCTCAACCACCAGATCCTCAACCAGCCGCTGGCCCCTCAGACGCTCGTGCTATTGAATCAGCTGCTGCAACAGGTAATAATAATATACAGTTTAAAATGTATGTACAGTCAGCGTCAAATAGTTCGTGACACCCGAAGTAAGCAGATATGTACCATCCTAAACTGCATCTCACTTACACCAGGTGCGATTGCGGTCAAATACCTGCCTTGTCTTGCATAAAAAAAAGCAAAAAGTTCGCAACCTGTCTTTGTTGTAATTGAAATAAGGTTGTGTGGTCAACTTTTTGGCCACTTTGGGTGTCATGAACTATTTGACGCTGACTGTAATACAGGCTAGTTACAGCACACCAGATTATTACATTTTTGGTGCAAAAGAGCACCATTTCCAGCTACTTATGGACACACTAGCTTTTGCCCGCGGCTTCACCCGCGTGAAATTTAGTGCCACAGATTGGCATAAATTATAGCCTATATGTTAATCTGGGTTACAAATAATAATACTGTAAAGTTTCAACAAAATCCGTTCAGTAGTTTTTGCGTGGAAGAGTAACAAACATCAACACAAACTTTCACCTTTATAATATTAGTAGGATGGGTTTTAGGGTGGATGGATGTTTGTTATTTATTAGTCCTTCACACAAGAACTGCTGGACGAGTTTTGATTAAACTTAACAATAGTGAAGCTTATCAAAGTAAAACAAAAACTTGATTGCTTTACACCAAAATTTACGCGGCAGAAGTCGCGGGTGAAAGCTAGTTAAAATTAAAAAAAGTCTATGTCAATAGTAAAACCGGTAAATATCATAAAGTTTCAACACTATTAAAACGTGTGGCGTTCCTTGGGGGAGCCAGCCTGCAGTGCACCATTGGCGGAAATGATTAGTAACACATACGGTGTATTTCCTATTGCTGTGTGGGGCGTTAGACTTTGTGACCGCGGAAATACCCAGGCATGCATAGCCGGTGCATAGTCTTATGTAATTTTGATGCCAGTCGTTCACTTTGAAAGTCTAAAAGTTGAGCGAAAGCCAAAAAAATGAGTAGAAAATCAGCTCATCATCCATTTCAGTAGTTATCCCTGAAATCGCGCCTTTAGAGATGGTTTGACGCAGACCGTCCAATTCGCATATCGTCCGAACTCAAAAATGGTAATTAATTTTGTTTTACTCAGACCTACAAGTTGAACTATTGTTTCATAAATGGTAGACTTGCCCGTTTTCACCATCAATCCCTAATTTCAAATGCACACATAACTTAATTTGGTTTTCATAGGGATCACTTAAAAATCAGGGATTGATGGTGAAAACGGGCATTTAACTTTTATCTGAGTGTAGACTTTAGGGAAAGGCAAATGTTAAAAGGAATCGTAAAAAATGCTCTAGGCTGACATCTAATAAATTCGTCTCGCCCCATTAGTTCAGTAAACTGGTAACGCGTAATGAAATTCATAGACTGGCTTATCATTGAGTTATTCTGTAAAGTCGAGTGTTCTCTAGGAAATTCAGCATTTTTTAGCAAGTTTTTTTGCAGTGTCGTCGGTCGTAGTGCGATAATTACTTTTTTTTTCGTAAAATTAGATAGGCAGTCTTACGTCAACTTATGTGTAGATAATGTATTTATGCTATTTTAACTAAATTAATCCAGCCAAGTGTTTTTTTAAATGAGCACTTCTCTAATCTCTTGCGAGTCAATAAAATTATCATTTTGATCATGGACAACAACCTCTCTGTAGTAATTTGTATCTGAAATTGATTTTTAACCGACTTAAAAAGAAAGAGGAGTTTCTCAATTCGGTTGGTTTTTTTATGAATGTAGTATACCGATTACACTGAGATTTGTGATCCGATTTACGTGATTCTTTTTTTATAGATGCCATTTGGTCCCATAAAAATATATTTTTAATTTGGTTGAGTAGTTTTTACTTTTTATCACCAATTATAATTTATAAAGACTGAAATATTTATGCATTGAAAGCTATGCATGTATTGTATCAGTAGTTGTAAGTACCTGCTGAAACACATCCACTGCTGCACAAAGGCATCTGAAGGTTTCCACACCTGTTGCCTATTTAAGAGTTGGTGTAAATATAGCTCAAGTTATATTATGTTTGTGTTTGATGTTGAACTCAGTATAAGTTATAACGCGTTTGTGCTAGAATCCATTTGTAATTTCCAGATCAAAGTACTGCAGCAACTGGTGCAACAACACTCGCTGGCGTTGTCCAAGGGCAACTCCACGCTCGCGCTCCAGTGCTCCGTGCAGATTACCAAGGCTAAGCAGCAGATCACTGCTCTCCAGGTTAGTTCGTTTATTTATTGTGCTAATATTTTATTTAGGTATGCATGGTATAGAGAGTTAAAGTTTGATGATTTAAAATGCGGGATTTGGATATACAATCGTAATTAAGCTATAATGAGAGAGCCCAGTAAAGTAACACAGAAAAAGAACAATGATCCTATGGCGGCTGTCAAAAAGAAATAATATCCTTTGAAGTTACTACCCTAGACTGCATCTCACTTAACGTCAAGTGCCATTGCGGACTGCGGTCAAATGCCTGTCTAGTTCTGCATTAAAAAAATCTGGTCCGAAATACAAGGTTAATCTGCCCCTATGACTGCCGTGTCACAAATAGACACATTTCTGTACATTTTATACTCAAAAATCATTGTTTGGTAACGGGACTATTCCCACCTCTCGTTCCCACCGCTGCAATTACTGTGTAGCCGGGATCTACAGCTTGACCGCCAATAATTGCCATTGTTAAGTAAGCAAGCAAGGTATACTTGTTAGTCTCTAAGCTCTGACATTGAATGGTTAATAAATAATGGTTTACTTCTCCCGCAGAACCAAATCGCGAACCAGCAGGCTCTATACATGAAGCAGCAGGCCGGCGGCGCCGACCTGTTCAAGCCGAGCCACGACCCGCTCGCCGGGCTGCAGAATAACTTCAGCGATATGGGCATCTCTAAAGACACGCAGTCGGTATGTACACCATAAGACTTTGTGCCAAATTGTTCACGCGATAATGAGCACGTGACACAGCCCGATGTACCATTGCCAACAGATACCACAGCAGACTACATTATTGTTCAAGCTAGCAGCCGCCCGCGACTTCGTACGCGTGGATCCCGTTTTATCCCCTTAGAGGTGGGGTTTCGTAAAATGTCTACACCCTAGAAGGAACCTACCTGCCAAATTTCAAGTTTGTAGGTGTTGTTTCTTAGATTTCGTGATGAGTGAGTCAGTCATAAGATGCACCACTGTTGATATGCCGACGCAGTATGATACCATTCATCACAGGGCTGCAATCAGGTGCTATGACCACTCCACAAGGCCCGATCTACGTCCGGCCGTTATTGCCTGGATAACGCCTTCCTGGACCAATGACAAGAGCGCACATACGTAGATTTCAACGATTTAGGCGGCCNTTATTTTATAAAAATACAAAAATTTGCCAAGTGCGTGTCGTTCCAAGCGCAGTGTAGGGTTCCGTAGTTGTCAGTCGTTACCATAATATGTTTCATAAGCAAGCAATTACTTCATCTAAAGTCACTTCTAATATTTTCTTCTAAGGATTTTTTATTAAGTATGAAATTTTACACGAGTTAAACGACTATTACTCTTGAACTAACTGGTCTATCTTAACCGTCATAGTTTTCCTTAAAAGTTCATGAAAAGAACTATTATTATGAATTTTTCCAGATTTTTCAAACCAACACTTTAGTTTTTAGAGGGGGAGACGCCATTTTCGAAAAAAAAATATATCACTTTAAAATTTAATATTTTGCAAACGGATCACTAAATCAAAAAATAGTCTTAGAAACCCCTAAGTCATTTTAAATGACCTATCCAACGATACCACACACGATGGGGTATCAATGATAACAATGAAACTTTTTAATATATTTTTTTTTTAATTTCTATATTTAAGTGAAAAAATGTTTTATTATCATTAATAATAAAATAAATCAGTCAAAAATGGTTTATTTTAATTTAATTTTGTACTTATAACTTATTTCAAGCAAAAAATATTTTTGGCCGCCTAAATCATTGAAATCTACCTATGTGGAGCGTTAAACTCACGACTCCTAGATTCCCAGATTTAAACGTTATCGCGCCAACAATCGGACTACAGGATACAGTGGATGTAACCGAAAAATAATAAAAATTGACACTTAACAAGTCCGGGACATCTGTTGGTGTAGTCGCTAGCAGACAGCGCTTTTTACATTCTGAAGTTGGGTTTTTGCCTACTGTGAACTTGACAACAAACATTGTTTTCACACTGCATTTATACTGGCATATTTTTACTTATTGTTTCGCTTCGTAAGCTAACAATGATACATTAACTTTGAACAATGGGATAAAAACAATACTTACAAGCATTACATTAGAGAAACGGAGCGTTGATGTTAATGCAGGTCAGGCTCTAAAGAAAGGTACGCAAGTAGCTGTGTGTGATGTAATTTTGGCTATTTTAAATAGCACCCAACGATTTGCCAAATGTACGTTTTGCCCAGTAACAAGTAAAATAGCGGGGCTTATTTATTTTGTCCCTGTCTGGCTTAATGCCGAGAGAAAGCACGGTTTCAAAACAAAATAATATTGTTTCGAGTCGTAAAATGGTATAACTAGAGATTTTAATACAAACAATTAAGTTGACGTTTAAGTTAGCAAAGAAACGGCACGAAACGAAGACTTAAATCTCTTGAATATTGTTAAGTCTATGGTGGGTCTTCACCAGTATTTAAAAAGCAAAAGCAATAGGGATGTTTCCTGGGTCAAAAAGCAAGAGTTTTAATTAGTCCGTCAGTTAACTTATCAAAAAAAACTCTACACGTATTTTTCACTTTTTCAAACTAATGAAAATTTAAAGAGATAAAGCGCGCCAAAGTTCATAAGAAGAGGCCCGTGACGTCAATGCTTGCATAAAAGTGCCGCACGTTGTGACGTCGTGCGGATCTTCAACGCACCATAACTATGTAATTATTTGTTAGATTGACAAATAAAAATATATGTGTCCAATATTTTTTGATATTAAACATGACGGACTAAAAAAATTTTTTTAGGAAACTAGCCTATTCTACTGCATCTATCTTAAAGTTAATTTTCTCTTCCAACAGGCGTATGGTGCAAGTGGCAACCAGCAATCGCGACTGAACCAGTGGAAGCTGCCTTCCCTGGACAAGGATGGTGAGGGTTCGGAGTTCAGCCGTGCCCCTGGAACCGCCAAGTCCACCACCAGCCCTCAGCTCAACCAACTTGGCCTGCAACCTGACTCGTAAGTGTTTAAGCTAGTTCACTTGTTTTTTTTTAACCTTTTTTCAAATTGTAATTCGTTTTTCTATATCCAGCCAGTGTCTACCAGTCTATACTCATTTGTTTATAGACCATTTAAAATTAAAATTCGATTTTTAAAATTTCAGTTTTCTGGATCTAGATAGATTTCTAGTGCTTTTGTTTTAAACTGAATATTTGAAATGGTAATGTAAACAAATAGCAATTTAACTCACGCAATTAGTCCAAAGAATAATATTCAGCAATGTTTTGGTCGTATATCCTCTTGAGAGGTGATCCAGTAGTTTTGTGGTCATACAATTATTTAATATGCAATTCGCTAATCTCTGAACGGAACGCAAATTAAAATTATTAACATTTTCCTTCCTTAAATATTGTAGTAGGTTTGTTTGTTTTGGTAGTAGAGATACATGTTTATCTATTCGCAAGTGCGTTTTCAGTTTGTTTACGGATACTCGTAGTTATTGTAGTAATCGAGATAAATACTAATTAATTAGAGTTGGTAAAGTCCCCGCCAAGGTCAAGAGATATATTACATAGTAGCAAGTATCGTCAAGTTATCGTTATAAAATGGTATCAATCTTTTTTTAATCTTGATTGGAGATAGTGTGTCCACGCCCTTCTTTAAATCGTCTTTACAGCACCATGAAGCATTTTAGGTTATTCACCACTTCAAAAAACGGCTTTTAACTTTACGATGTGGTGACCACGCACCGCAAGACGTAGGAACTATTTGCAGGGAGCTCAAAGCTCACCTCACGCTATACTAATACTTCAGAAGTAAAGTGCTAGCTAGAGGAAAAGGACTTCGAACAGTACTTACACGCTTTATTGAGATTCGGTTCGTTGGTCATTAACAGGGACAATAATAGGTGAAAAGCCCGCGCGAGTTTTAGCGGAGATCCTATGATTCGGTTCGTATACCGCGGGCTAGTTTAACCATAGGCGTTAAGAACAATCGTTCCCCGCTGGAGGCTCCAAGGACTGGGACCACGTAGGAGCCCACGACTCTGTCGTAATTAATACCAATTGACAATGAAACGGACGGAATATAATTTGTAGGGAGCTCGAAGGGAAGAGTTTCGTGCAGTATTTACGCGCTTTACCAACATTCGATTCGTTTGTCACTAGACGGGTAGAACAATGGTAACAGGAACCACTAACACAGAAGAAGTAATGTAGTATGTTTGTCCCCGCTGGTTCAGCACATGGGGCGTCGGGCGCGGCTCCGAGGGCTGAGGAGACGCGGGCGCCGACGTGGCCGACGGTCTTTGTTTAGCTATTGTTTTTGGCTGAGTAATAAGGAATTAGAACTGCTCTTATTATAGACCTACGCGCTCCCTCTAGATTTGGTTCATATGCCGTTAGGCCGTTATCATTAAAGAAGTAATGTAGTATGTTTGTCCCTGCTGGTTCAGCACACAGGGCGTCAGGCGTGGCTTCTTTTCTTAACACAAGGGCAAAAGAGCTTGGAGCAGTAATTACGCGCTTCACCAAGATTCGGTTCGAATGCCGCGAGTCAGAACCATGGGGCGTAGGGCGTAACTGTTCACACTAAGCATAACGCAAGGAAAAAGAGCTTCGAGCAGTAATTACGTGGTTTATCAACGTTCGTTTCTTATGCCGCTAGGCAGGTAGAATCATGGCCGTAAAGAAATAAAGCCGTTCATAATATAATAATAGAAGAAGTAATGTAGTATGTTTGTCCCTGCTGGTTCAGCACATGGGGCGTCGGTCGCGGCTCCGAGGGCTGAGGAGACGCGGGCGCCCTCGACTTGGTCATTATATCAATTTATTGACAATGAGAAGGGACTTGATAGTTTATAGCTCTTTTCCTCTTGCGCTATACTTGTAATACTTTAGGAGAATAGTGCTAGGGGAAAAGAGCTTTGACCAAAATCGTATGCCGCGAGGGATGTAGAATAGGCAGAAAGTACCGTTCATATTATAGAAGAAGTAATGTAGTATGTTTGTCCCCGCTGGTTCAGCACATGGGGCGTCGGGCGCGGCTCCGAGGGCTGGGGCGACGCGGGCGCCGACGTGGCCGACGGCAAGGACGCCTGGCCCGCGCACCCTGCGCACCAGCCGGTCTACGACCTCGTGCCTGAGTTCGAGCCTGGCAAACCCTGGAAGGTAAGATGCCGGGTATTCTTAAGCTTCAACCACACCAACGGATCACGGCGCGATCATAGGAAAATGACAGTAGCCTTATTCACGTAACAAAACTTCAACGACAACAAATCGATGAATGCGATCCTATCGAGTAATCGTTCTATCGAATTGACTTATGAATACGGATTTAGAACTGTTTTTCAATGGGACGACGTAACAAAACGTCAATGACAACAAATCGCTGAGTTGCGATCCTATCGAGTAATCGTTCTATAAAAATGACCCATGTGAATACGGATTTAAAACAGTTTTTCAATGGAAAGACTTCTGAACGTCAGCGAGATCTTGACTGTCAAAATACGTGAATTAGGCCACAAGTCGCGTGAAATGTCATGGGTCGCGCGACCTGTCTTTGGCCTCTGATCGCGCCGGCGATGGCTATCTGCACGCGTTGGTGTGGTTGAAGCTTTAATAATTGGAACTTACTAATTCTAACTGTTCAACTCTACAGATTAACCCTAAAGGTCGGACCGCATTTGCGCGGCGCAGCGCGACACAAGGCGTCAAATTATACTTTCAGTAATTTTGTATAGAGTATGTCGCATTATGGCGGCGCTGCAATGAGCGCACACAGTTTGCTTACGAGAGAATATATTGACGCGCGAATGCCATCCGATCTTAACGCTTACTAAATATGGATTGGGCTTATTGGATAGTCCAGTGGTACAGTATCGCACTACCGAATAAGCAGTCTAATGCTGACACCATTGGACTATTGTTGCCTATTTTGAAACAGATCATTTTATTACAACAAGACATCACAAAAATTTAGATACAGGTACATACACAAGTTCACTAGTTAAGTTTCTTAGAGAAGTTATAGTGGTGCAAACCTCTTGTTTCTCTAGGATAAGTTCTGAAACACACAGGCAAAACAGAGAAGAAAAAAAGCAAGCTAAACCATTTGTCCCAATACCGATGCATATTGTAATAAGTCACTGTGCAATATCATAGAGAAAAAGAACATAGTAAACATGTAGTGACATTGACACTGTATATGCAGACAACATGATGTTTTTAAAGGATGTTACCGGGCCAAAAGTTCAACATTTTAGAATAACTAAAAATCAAACAAAAATGTTTTTGAATAACTTTTTTGAACTGACAAAAACATAACAGTCTATAGAGATAGCACTATGTGCTTGTTTAGTCTGATAAGACTGATAATCTGATATGGAACGCACATTCCGAAGCTACTGTTATTCGAATTTTGTTAAATAATGTCACGGGAATGTGAAAAAATAGGTCAGTCTTGTTTACTCAACAAATTACAATCTATGAAAAAGGCGTTTCTCAATATTTGGGAACAAATAAAAATTACATACAACTAAATGACTTCTTTTATCTCTCTTCGTGTAGCCGTCCACATTAAGTTACTACTAAAAGCTGCTGGCCTTATTTTTTGTAAATTACTGAATGAAGTCTATAAGATTGATTCTGTATGGTATAAATAGGTGACACAACCATGTTGATCTCAATAGTTTCACAACATCTTACACGTGACTCAATTCCGACACAGATAAACTTTCAATATCATAAATTAAGTAGTGCTTCCGAATATAGCTGTAAATTCCGCAGGGTAACCAGATGAAGAACGTCGAAGACGACCCAGCAATGACGCCTGGATCCGTGGTCCGCTCGCCTCTATCGCTGGCCGCGATCAAAGACACGGATATGCTCGGCGGGAAGACTTCGCCCCCGGGCGGGGAGCGGTCGCTGTCTTCGTCCACGTGGAGCTACGCCCCGCCGGCCACTTCAGCGGCCAATGCGCTGAAGCCCCCGGCCGATACGTGGGCCGGCAAGCCCCGGCCTGCGCCCCCCGGCCTTAACAAGCCCTGGCCGCAGCACCATAATGCGCAGCAGAGGCCCGTGTCCTCCTGGCAGGCGTCTACTTGGCTGCTGCTCAAGAACCTCACGGCCCAGGTAAAACACACTTCATTTTACAGTATGGCCGCCTTCACATTAGGACGTAAGAAGCGCGACATCAGCGCGGCAGCGGCATTTTTATAATGTGAAGGCAGACATCCGCTGTCATATAGTATGAAATTATCGGCAGCGCGTCTGTCGCGCTGCTAAAGTCGCGCGATGTGGAAGCGCTCTAGAAGTGAACCTAATATTCCTACACGCCTATCATAACGTTTAGACGTTAGGGTTATTATGATTCCAGTGTATAAGTAAATATAATATTTAATCAAAGATTTAGAAGTCTCATCCTGTTATATTTTTGGACATCAGAAATCTACACTCATCATGTCGGACTCCTATGGCGACTAAAGTTAAATTAATCTACTTTTAGAATTCTCACCTTTTAAATATAACTTTTTTAAAGCAACTAGTAATATGATTTACGCAGCATTTTCACTCAATGCCGAACTATCAATGTTAAGGCAATAAACAATGACAACGGCGCTATTAAAAGGTCAGGGATCACTTCATAAATGATGCAAACCTATTTAGCGACCTTCGTATTTATTAGCAATCGTGGAGCGTCGATATTCACATGGTTAAGCCTTTCTCTATTGCGGTGTTTGTGTGCGTGCACTTGGTTATTATAATTTATTTTAACCCAACAATATGCAGATAAATTTGAAACAAAACAAACCTGAGATTTAGTATGTTACATGACCTTAACCTTGTTGAAAATGTAGCCCAGAAAGTTTCAGTGAATGTGTAAAATCATGCACTCGCTATTAAATACACCCTGCCTTTTGTCTTCGCCGTAGTATTTATTTCTCTTTTATTGTCTCTAAAACAACAATATTATGTAATCTCTACTGCAAGAGTTATACGACATTGTCCTATTTATTGTCCCGAAGCAGTGGTAGGGTTAATACTAGGATGTGTAAAAGTGATTTTTTAAAAGTTACTTCCAAGAATAAAATGATTGTTTTTTTATTAATTGTATGTTATCTCCAGATCGACGGGTCAACGCTGAAGACCCTGTGCATCCAGCACGGGCCGTTGCAGAACTTCCACTTGTACTTGAACCAGGGTCTCGCCCTCGCCCGCTACTCCACTCGCGAGGAGGCGGCTAAGGTATGTTACATACAAGCATTCCAAGCTTCAACCACACCAATGCAGATCGCAATCGCCGGCGCGATCAAAGGCCAATGACAGGTCGCGCGACCTATGACAGTTCACGCGACCTGTCATTGGCCTTTGATCTCGTTGGTGTGGTTGAAGCATAATATCATTTCAGCAACAGGACGTCACTGAACATAGGCCTCCCCAAATGATTTCAACATCGCCCGATTGGTAGCGGCCTGTATCCAGCGCCTTCCTTCTACCTGGTTTATTCGACATTGTTCTCCCGGGTGATATCACCCAGATGAGCAAAGTTGATTTTTCTCGGAACCATTTCACTCAGTTTCATTTTCCAGGTGACATGAGTAGATTAATTTGTTCATAGGAATTATTTCACCCAGGTGAACAGATGCAGATTTTCATTGATCATGTGGACTTTTATCACCTACATAATGCATGCTAATAATCCTGCTACTTTTATGAGGTTGTCGTCCACCTTGTGGGTTTACCCACAATCCCTGATTATCTGTAGAGAGAGTTATTGTTATTGAAAAGTCTGACTCGGAACTAAAGTTTTGAAGATCGCGCGCGCATGCGCTGTGTGAATAGGGCTTTATTGATTCGCGCCGTGCAGACTGAATACAAACAAATGAAATCGGGGCGCGGTCCAGCGGCTGTGAATAGAACACGAGTACCTAATCTATGCTATGAAGAATAATAAAATTAGGAGTTTGGAAATGTCGGTAACTTTTTTTAAAAAATGGTGTAGTCGTTTCACTGAGACATTACACAAAATAGACAACACTATAATAATACATATTTATTTTCTTTTTCTAAAGTCAATTAGTAATAATAAATTAGACAAAAATAAATCAAGTACACTTGTTAATCAATTATTTCTTTTTTTATTTAAATATTTATAGACTGGAGAGAGCAAAAGCAGTGTTATTATTTTTTTGCCGGCAAATAAATCTATTGTAATATTTTTTTATTTTATTTTATTTAGAATCATGAATAGATGAGACGAGTAAATCTAAATATGCCGTCTCGCTAAAGCGGCAGACAGTAGTGCTGAGTTTGTTGCGACGCTTCTTCTCAGCACTTGTCAAATGTTGGTCACAAGGGCTGGTAGGGCAAAAAAATTATGAGAAATGTGAAGGCTCCATAAGAGCAAAACTAAGTTTTATTTATTATTCTTGTATTTTGACGATTTGTGAGCACTATTTTTAATAGTCCATGCAAATAAAGGGATTTTGACTTTGAAAGCTGTGTAGTCAGAGCCTAAACCTCCGCCCCGTCCATCTCCAGGCTCAGATGGCGCTAAACAACTGCGTGCTTAGCAACACGACCATCTTCGCGGAGTCGCCAGCCGAGTCCGAGGTGCAGATGATCCTGCAACACCTCGGCTCCGGCGGCGGCGGCGCGTGGCGCGGCTCCAAGGACTCGTGGGGCGGATTCCCAGGGCTCTGGCCCGAGCACGACCAGCGAGCCACGCCCTCCTCGCTGAACTCCTTCCTCCCGCCCGATCTCCTCGGCGGCGAGTCCATCTAAACCACGGTAAGGCGCACTCACCGGCAGCGGGCGGCAGCATCCGCGTGACGCCGCCAGCGATTAAGGGCTGCCTTTGTAAAGCACGTTTAGGCACGTTTGTAGCAATTTCGCAGCGACTTTCGACTCGTGTCTGCGTAAATTCGCATTCATTCGCGATCTCAACTTGCAGAAGTTCCTGACGTTTAGAGACGCGCAAATTTCTGCAAGTTAGACTCAACCTAAACCTGCTGTTCGGCTCTGCAATCGCTCGCGGCGGGTCCGATCGCCCGCGGCGAATCTCCTACCGTGTCAATTTGGTCGCGGGCGCGGCCCTATGTGTCTAGTTGTAATTACGCTTTACGGTCCCCCGTATTGGGGACAGACTAATTTTATTCGCCTAGTCAGATCGTGTCGGACGCGTCGCGTCGCGTCGGGACGCGGTGCGACGCGGCCGCGGTAGCCAACTGTCCACAACTATATTATATCTACTGTGTTGTAAGTGTTCATGTAGATTATTTAGTGTACATAAGAATTATACATATACAACGGCAGACATAGAATGTATCGGTTATGAAGTTGTAAGTAGTAGGTCGCGGCGGTGCGCGTGTGGTGAGACCGCGCGCGCGCCGCCGCCGGGACTGTAGTATCCTGTAACTCTACCAAATAATCGTGTCGGTGTAGATAGTTGCGTCGCGGGCTACCTCAGTCACTCGTCCCGTGGCCTTCTTTTAGTCTGTATTTATTTTGTTGCACTCGAGGGCTGTTGCTGTTTCGCCCGTCGAGATGTTGCGTTCCGAGTTTCTTTCGTGTTCGTTTTTTATTTTTCTCGTTTTATCCATACTGATGTATTTTTAATTATTTATTCTGTTTTGAATTCTCACTCGTGATGAGCCTTTCGTTTTCCAGTAGTGATATTTTATTCAGCAATAAATGTGTAAGTGCATTTCGCAGACTAACAAATGTTTACAATTAGTTTGTAATTTTTATAAAGATAACAAAAATTGAAAATTATGAGATTCGAAGTGCATTCTTGTAGTGGTAAATTCCTTTTAAGCTGTATAGTCTGAAGTGGAAATGAGTATATACAAATATACGTTGGAGGCCGCGGCGGGCGGGCGGGGCCGCGGCTCCGTGCAATCCAGTTATCCTGTGATGTAATTATCTTGCCTATTGTAAGGATAATCTATTTTGTTGGAGCGATCCAGTAGAGAGTCGCCGGCGGTCCGCCTCCGTCGTAGCTGATGTTTCCCCAAATTATTTCCAGTATTTGTGATTCAAGTGCCACTTTATGTTTAATATATGAAACGATTATCTAGATTATACGATTAATGTAAGGGTAACCTAATATATTATTAAATTGAAAATTGTTTTATCATTTTATATTACATACATTTGTGAGAAGTGTTAAAAAGTACTATAATTGACAGTAAATATTACACTTTTGTGTATAGATAAGAATAAAGTTCTAATAACTTAAATTTAGCCATATCAATATCTATTTAATAAAAGATTTGTGGTATTTTCTATAGGCTCAATTTGAAAGTTATTCAAAGTGACATATGCTTTAGATATTCTGTTAATAATATACTTGTAGTCGTAGTCTCCATGTCGGTATTACAACATCATTGTAGATATAAGTATACACTTAAGTCCTATCGTAGGTTTCGATAAGAATACTATTGATATTTAACTTGCAACGATCGCACTTGTAAATGTTCGTTATGATAAAGTTTATTTACATTTTTATTTACTTTTTAATTTATTAATGGTGTGCCACAGAGATACTCTGCCAAAATATATCATTACCAATATATTACGGGATTAGCTAAGTAGAGAGGCGTCGGGCGTAGACTTAGGAGCGCCGGGCGCTCGAAGCGGCCCGGCGTCGCGTCGCGGTCGTCCCGGCGTCGCCCCGGCGTCGTCCCGGTATCGTCCCGGCGTCGCCCGCGGTCGTCGCGCCCGCGCCCTCCGCCCTGACTAGAGACTCCGGGCTTCGGCCCACGACCGTCGACGACGGACCCACCACGCTTTACGATCCCCGAGATCGACCACACAAAGCGAATGACTAATGTACATTGTATCTGTATTCGTGCATCTTCCAGTGATCTTACAATTAAACGTAACGACTAGTGCTAAGTTAGGTGTATAAGTATTCGCTGTACCTTGTCGAGCCTCGCGCTCGAAAACTTTCACAAATTAATGAATTAAGTTAGGAGAACGCGATATTGGAATAATATATATTTGTGCGTTATGGACTCTTAATCGCTTCGGACCTGTAGTAGTTTAGAGTTAACTAAATGTTTCGATGTATGATGTGTTCATTTAGAGACAAAATAGCATTTCTCATTACTACCTTAATAACTTACTATAGGGACCGACGATGTTTCTCTTAATCGCATGATCTTTGTTGCCTTATTTTTTGCGAATCGTTAACGACTGTAGCAGTGGAAGTTTTAACACGCGAAATATTCGGTTTGAATTCCATTGGAGTCGACAGTAACATCTAAACCGCAATATTGAAGGCTCGGCATGTGCAATCGCGCCAACATTGTATCGCCAAGGGGCCATAATATATTGTCGTGATGTATAGCGTTAGATTGCCAAAGAATGAGTATCAAAGATAATGGTGTCTAAAACTAGATTGCATCTCTGTGCTTGATAACGATTCTTCCAAATTGTTTTAAAATTAATTTTGTGGTACGGGTTATTGATCTGATGTTCCTATATCATTCGTGTAATGTCTATGCAACAATAGTACACACTAACAGGTCGATGTCAATTCTATTGTTGTCAAGCTCAATTTACGTGAGGGTGTTTCTTTTAACTATTCGATAAAATAAAATAAAAAAAAATACAAAAAAAGTTACAATTTTAAACTGATATTATTCTGTCCACTCGTACACCAATATTCATAAAGCTTCAAAACGCAGTGTTTACTGGTGACTTAGTGAATTTAATACAGCAATAAATGTCATTATAAAAAATTATAATTTTTATAAGAGTTTTCCATTTTTAAAGTTAGACAAACCGAGTAACGGAAAGTATAACGATCCAGTGCCCTGTAGAATACGTTGTCCATAGATTAAAGACAAAAGTAATGCCTTGAAGTGTTTAGTCAGTTAAAGGTAACAGTACTTAATAATGGGTATAATGTTAGGCGTTGTGCTGTAGTGGCGTAGAGCGAGCGACAAGGTTGTGACGAGAGCCCACGCCGCGAAGCTGAATCTCCTCTCGGTTCATTGACTGCATCTATTTCCTGCACACAATTGCCCATGTGCAATTTTACTCTGTGTTATTATTATGTTGTTGTATATTTATTACTTACATCTATACCGTAATATGTATATAATGTGAAATTTATATTCATATAAAAAGATTTTAATACGCTTCACGCTTTCACTTTTAACATTTTTTCGTAACTTGTTTCTGTTATTTAGAATAAATTTACGTACCTTAATATAATAATTATCATAGGTGTAAATGTAAGAAAATAATGAAAAAAATTAAAAAATCGAAAAAAAAGAAAAGCAATTAAATAAACCAATGATTGTGCCTCAATGAACTGTGGTACGTTACCGTAACCGATGGCAGGTGTAATCGTTTCCTTTGAGAATGTATTGTAATGAATTGTGCACTGGCCCCGGGAGCGGCCGACTAGTGTAGACAATATAAGGCTGCGTGCAGCGGGGCTCCGCGCCCACGCCTTGTGTAATCATAAAAGAGCTTAGCTATGTTTTACTTTTATTGTAAGTGTTATGTCGTCAATCAACATTTTATATATACCTATGTGTAAATATTTTTATCTATTTATTTTTGGTTTTTTCATGAAGTTTACCCGAATTAACGTGTAACTTTAAATTAGTTGCTTTATTTTGAGTCAGTTTCGTATATTTTTTTAATCCGCACGGTATACGTGCGTGGTCAAATCCAAATTCGTGTCTATTCCATAACTTGAATGCCAAAGTCGATGTCTATGCCATTTAACGACCACTAATGTTCTTAGATAATCTGCGTCGATCTCTGACATCACAACAAACTATTTGATCGTACAAATGCGAGCCATTTACAAAAAATATAATTAAAAATAACAGCCACCGCGGAGGTCGTTGTTCTATCCAAGCTGCTCTGGTTATTTTAGCTCAAGTATTCAAATAGTAGTTTGCTCATAATATTGTTGTTAATTTTAATGTTTAATTGTATTAAGGCTGGGGCTCGCGGGGGCAGTATGCCGGCGCTCATGATTCTTATGACGTGACACCCGTTAACAATTAGAGGAGTAATGGTTGCTGTGATCACTTGACTGAAGTTCAAATAGAATTGGTTAGTGATAAGGGGTTAACTGGAACGGTGGAGCTGCATACTGGCCCTGTGCGTCATCGACACTAATAACGCTTTTCCCGTAAGAGTGGAGTAAAATTCTAAAAATAATGTAATCTCCATTAGCTTGTAATGTTGTGAGACCATACCATGAGTCGACGTATTCAGTGAGTTGGGTATGCCGCCTATAATTTATTTTAACTGTCACCTCGTTTTTATATTAGTGTATTACGTAAATCTCAGATTATACCTGATGGCTGTTGCAACTTACAACGACACTGTTCCCAGTCGACCACTTAGCAACCAGCCCTTGCTTCGGTCACAATGTACTTCTGGCGCATGTTACTTATTTCTATTTCACATATAGGGACCAAAATATGTATGAATATCGTGTTTCGCTGAACACTTACATCCAGCTGAATTGACTCAACGCATACTAAAAGACATTCTCATTTTCCATAATTGTTAATATATTTTGCTGTCGCATAAATCATTATGACGTTATATGACATTATGTAGTGATAGTGTACAATATTCAGAAGGGCCTTTAATTTTAAATAAGGTTAAAGTTTTTGCTTGTTGTCTTTATTTATATATATTTTTGTACGTTACGACGACGTTGGCGTCCTACAATAGAAGCGCATTAGGTGATATCTACAAATAAACTAGTCTTCCTTATTTATGAGGGATCGTGGTGATGGACGTCGGCACAAGAGGCAATCATTCCTCTAGTCTTGTTATGTGGTGCGTTTAAGTGAATACCAAATATAAAATAAAGAAGGCTTTTGACGTAGTGTGTAGAGGTTATGATAGTCGGCCCGAGCAGCTTGGAACCCTGTGACATGTTACAAGGGAATGGTTGGGTAGTATTATAATAATGCATTTATTTCTCTTTTATCATAGTCACTCAAGCATATATTTTTAATTAATTGAGCTAATGCCTAAAATTGGAATATCAGAGTTTATTTAGGATGTTTCATATTTTACATTTTAGTGTTTAAATATCTAAAATTTACCTTAATTATAGTGAATGGATTTTTGTATTATTGGTATATAGCTGTAAGTTAAAGGGTGTTCTTGATAAACAACAAAACAACTGATTAAATACAAAGTAAAAAAAAATGAACTGAGTGACTTTACGTGTAAACAGAGGGCCATTGATAAAAACGTTGAACTAAGCTAAATTCTCTATGTGGTAATTTAACTAAATGTGATTGCTGAATATTTTTAACTGCTATATGTATAGTAATGGGGATGTTGCCTGGGTCAAAAAGCAAGAGTTTTAATTAGTCCGTCAGTTAACTTATCAAAAAATACTCTACACGTATTTTTCACTTTTTCAAACTAATGAAAATTTAAAGAGATAAAGCGCCCCAAAGTTCATAAGAAGAGGCCCGTGACGTCAACGCTTGCTTAAAAATGCCGCACGTTGTGACGTCGTGCGCAACTTCAACGCACCATAACTATGTAATTATTTGTTAGATTGACAAATAAAAATATATGTGTCCAATATTTTTTGATATTAAACATTACGGACTAAAAAAATTTTTTTAGGCAACTAGCCTATTATAGATCAGTAAGTCGCCATTTATCCGTTAGCTCAGTGAGCGGTATCGAAGTATATGCACACCAGTATAGTTTATTTATTGTAATCGCTCGAGTGGCGCCACTCCGACGCGCGGCGCGCGAGTCGGAAACTGCGAACACGGCAAAGTTTCCCTCGCCCGCTGTCAGGGTGGCGCGGCGCCAGCGGCGTACCTTCTGTGCTAGTTTGAATTCAGTAAAGTTGCATTTGATTCATTGTTCAAGGACTATGTAGCGTTTATGTATATATGTATGTGTATCAAGGCCAACCCCCCACCATGTTAATTGATGCAGTAGACTCCAGGTGCTAGCTAACTGCACGACACTGCTTCTCTAGTCTCTCTCGCATTCGAACATCGCTTTAAAGTAAGCTTTTGTTATCGAGCATAATTAACGATCATATCCTAATATGACTAGTTTATATTCGTATTATTCTTTCATTAGATCTCTGTTGTACCTGTTTGAAATTGTTTATATTCAATGTTCATTGTACGCTAGGAAGCGCTCCGGTCTCGACGCACCGCGCTTCACGATATACGTAACGTAGTATAATGACCAAACCCTTAGTTCCCCTGAACGACAAACCTCTCACTATACCATATCTATTGGCGTCTTAATCAATACTCTGTGCTCTTAAATTAGTCACTTTTGTACCTTGATTGTACTTGAATAATAACCTAGTAAGTGAGGAACGACTAATCCAATTCTGAAATATACTTAATTTAAATTTTGACAGACTGATATCTGTGATTAAGAAAATATTTTTAAATATTATCCAGTGAGTCGGATGAAAATATTTATTTTATTAGAGGTTTCCTACTGCCGTCAGCGCATATACTATGTGACGAGACACAACTGCTTCGTATATTTTTTTAAATTAGTGATGTATCGAGTTGGATACTTGTTCAACGACCGTTATCGACGCGCACTTTGTTGGTCGTGTGGTACAGCGCTAGCAAGCTAAGCCGTCCCACGACTACCATGTCCTCGTCCTTACACGCAGAGACTGACAAAAGAGAAATTATATCAATACCACCGATGCCATCTGAAATGTTTTCTTAAATATTTGATCTTGAACGTTGCATATCTACTACATTTCTAATTCGAATTATTTTGTTGTATTCATATCTGTAATTTCCACAAATATGAGTTAAGTTTGATATTTATAAAAGTCCTTAAGTTATCATAATAATGGAAACAAAATTGAATGCCTGTAGTTGTGTAGTGAGTGACATCTCTCTAAAATACTAAAGTGATTGGCGTTACAATAATAAAATAATATTTTGGTACCACCTTTGAGTTAAAGTACAATGTAGTTTATAAAGCGTGTTTCATTGATGTACGTATTCATATAACAATATCAGGATAGTGGTAAAGATAAGTTAGTGTAGACTTAAGCTGTCTCGTCTCACATTACACCAAGTAATAATTATTCTCCTTGATATTTGTATTGGAACACAGTTATTATAAGCAGATACTAAATTATGTCATATTTATATCAATAGGCTAAATTAAAAAGTAAAGTTTTCTGAGCAAAACTCTGTGATGGGAAAATTAATTCTAAAGATCTAGTATTAACTGAAAGTGAAACCGAGGCCCTGAAGATTGTTTTTCCTTCTAGTTGATAAAGATACAGCTATTAATACTCACATGTTAATCTTTTGAAATGTAAGGGAAAATAGTCTCTACGTGCAATCCGGGCCGAGTTTCACGGCGACTTTAAAAGTTGAACTTTTCAGTCTTTTCGCGCAAAGGGTTGTGTATTATTTTTTATGTAGTACAAATGTGTTCGCAATTTGATTGCTGCTGTAGTGTTCCTTTTGTTCTTATTCAAAATAACTTTGTTGGGTATTTATTTGGAAATTTGTATTTTTAATATCTTAATGTAATCTGTAATCTTATTACTGACTTAAATAATGAGGCGAGCGTAAAATTCGTAATAGTAAAATTATGTATAACGGCTGCCTTAATAATAGTAATATTTGTATCAATCTGTACACGATCCTCGTATGTTCCCGGGCCCGTACCAAATAATAGGGTAGCGAGCGCGGGCCGGCCGCGGCGCGCCGGCGCACCCGTTACGCGACTAGTCAATTGTACAATCATTTGTGCTTCGTTGTTATTAAAATATGCTTAAGTGCCTTCAGATATATGTAAGCGAAATTCAGTAAATATTTTTTTACTCGATACGTTTGATGATATTGCACCAACTTCATATCATTTGTAGGTATAAATTAGTTAGAGTATTATTTCGTCGGCTTCCAATTGGTGACGTGACGGCGGTTGCGGCGGCCGGCCCAGCGCCCCGGCCCGGCTCTGTCTTATTACCTCATTCAATAACCTCACGTAGTGTGTCCTATATCAAAATATTTTATCGACTCTGTACTTACGCGCACTGCACTGTTATTTGGTACACACTTTACTTCTGTTTAAGTTACTTTAAGGTGTTTATCGTAAATTTTATCAGATATTCGATATATTTTCCTGTTATTTTTCTGATACTACCTAAAAGCAATGTATTTTACAAAACAAAGCAGGAGAACAATAATTATTATGTAAGTGTAACAGTTAGTGAATTTAAGTGTGCTATTTTCCATTCCAGAACTCAACGATATCAATGTTCATGTAAAACTTATGTTCGGGTTTTAAAAATGTTATTATTGTATAATTAAACTAAACCTTATGTGATTGAAATGCAATGTTTAGAAGTATTTTTATCTTTATTTTTTACCATTAATTAATAAATAGTTAGTAGAGATCTATTTGAGAGTCTAATGTATCAATTATTTGTAAAGTTGGCTGTAACTAATTAGAAGTTACAATAAGTAGACATATTTTAATATAAACATTTGGAGAAAAATTTTATGTAGACGACAAATAGTTGTTTTGATCATTATGTGAAGTGTTGTATTGTATTGTATCGTTAGCGCAATGTGTACGCACAACGGTGAGGCGGGTCGAGGGAGCGCCCCGGCGCGGCCCGGCCCGGCCCGCGGGCCCGGGGCCCGGCCCTGCCGGCCGCATGCCTCCTCGACCGGTAGACCCGAGACTCTCACTGCACAGCACTGCTAGACTAATTCAGTTATTGCGTAAGGATATTTTTCTTACATTTCGATAAGAGTAATGTTTATAGTATAGGCAATAATAATGTTTAACAAAAAGTCCCTATTTAATCGAACTGACGACAGAAACGCATGTTATATTTGTGGCCTCTTTATAAATAAGATCTAAGTTACATGTTAAAGAAAATTAATTTTGCTATGCACAGAAATGATACTCAATTAATTGCCAAAAAGTTATATGTATATTCATAGTTCAACAATATTTCTTTTGGGCATATTTACTTTGAATTTATTATGCAAACTTAGATTATGAATAAGTAGGTTGTAGATTTATATGTAGAGTGAATGCATATATTATAATATATCTATATATTTAAAATAAGGTGAATTTGAGAGGTATCAATTTCATTGTATTGTTCTTAAGTTTAGATAATAAATGGGTTTAGCCATACTTCGGCTGGTTTGATATGTATGTTATCTGATTAATTGTAAAAAAAATAAAAAAAAATCATTAAAATTTCTGGCTGTTTTATTTAAGCCTTCCTCTTTCCATTCCCGTTATAATTAAGGTAAAAAAATGGGTTTATTTAACTACAAATACAAATAAACTCGTTATAACGTCGTTCATTATAAAGAAAAACTTTCTTTTGGTTGGTTTACCTACTACAAAACCCGTACATTAACTCACTCATTATAACGCAACAGCCATTGTCTATTACGAATAATTATTTTCATAATTTAACACATCATCAACATTTAAACAAAACAAAACTATCTTTTGAGTTGCCGAAATTTCTAAGAAAGATACATGAGGTCCTCAGATGAGGTCATATACAGTTGTCTCGCTTTTGTTATTTTAATCTTAGATTATATTATAGGAGGTCTCAGTTACTAAACGCACTCTCGTCACCTATCGTGTAATAACAGTCGTAAACCAACTTTGAAACTCAAAAACCAAAAGCGTTACAGTCGCGTCGTAGCAAGACTCGCATTTATCTAAATAGTCTTGCGGAGTAATTCTTCTGTACCTTGGTGCAATTACTTATTCTGTGCCTTTGCATGAGTTCCAGAGTTAATGGAGGTTTCTCAGTTATTCAGGTCCCATTTAGCCAAGTTTCACTGTATTTGTAGAGAATAGTGGCTGCGCCAGCCAGGTTGGGTTATCAGTTAGGACTCTACATTTTTGAGTTAATTTTCTGAATTTAGTTGACTTGCTTTTTTTGACCTTTCTAAATCATCATAAAAATTCGACATTACCTACCTACTACGTCCCTGACGGAGAAAATTGGAAAATTAAACGATTACCTAGGTACCCTTGCCTACTTTTAGGAGAAGATTTTTAACTCCAAATCTTTTTAATAATCACATACCTAAACTGTATTCTGTTAAGTTGTTACAAGTAGGTTACATACATTATGTATGTTTTTTGTGGTTTTTTCTCTAAAGCACATAGGTAGGTACCAAATGTGGGCTCTAAGGAAATGCACGCGATCTGTTTAAATATGCAGCCTCTGTAGGGTCACGTACGATCTCGCTCTGATTTCCCGGTGATTACCTTAACTGGGTCAATGAAGGGTAAATGGGTCGTTTTTTTATTTGTACAGGGTGTTCCACCCCAACTGGATCAAATAATTGATACAGTTCCAACAGTGGTTGATTCCAACTTGTTAAAAAAACCTTACTTAATGCCCGTATTGATTTGAATAAACTGATAAAAAAAAATTGAATTGTCACTGCGATCGAACTCAAATAGTTTTTATACGTGTCTTAGAACTGATATGAAACCTACAACTACAACCTTACGTACCATTTATTTCTCTATTCAAAATTTTGATTAAAAAATATAACATTCAAAACACGAACTAAATTGATTAAAATTGCACCTGGGTTTTAACTTGTACGCCATCACTCCATCAGGCAAGGTCGCCAAGTTCTAATAAAATGTTTATGTACCTCAAGTAAATAGGTATCTCAAATTTACAAGCGACACTGATACTGAATTGCTAATCGATTAGTGAATATTTATTTATTACACAGTCAGATTAACACATTGTTATTCTGCGATTTACATTTTAATGTATTCACTCACATACTTAATTGGTGTAAAAAACCTATGAAGCCTCTACCACAGAATATAATAATATCCTCTACCAAGTAGTCTCTACAAATCTACGATCCTAATTTATTTTTTTCTTATTTAGGTATCTGGAAATGTTATGGTTTTGCAAATAATGAACATTGTGAAAAAAAAGTTTCATTTAAAATATTTTTAGATAATAGAAACTTCCCAATGTACATTCCTAGCTTGACGTGCAGGGTGTATAGTTTCAGGATTCGTGATGCGTTTTTTCATCCTGTATATTAAGTAGGTATTAATACCACGTTACTTAGATTAATTTATTAATCTAAGCCACGTTAAATGAAACACACCTTAAAAAACTCAACTTTATTTACATCTCATATGAACACCTATTTACATACATTGCTCGTCGCTACAAAATGGAATTTGAATATCATTATTGTATTTTAAATGCGGTAGTATTAAAATTTACTACATAGTTATGTTCAAAAACAACCATGTTGTAAAATAATAATGTTTTAAACTGGTATATCTTTAATAAGCGATTTATTATATCTACAATGTTAGTATTAATTGGTAAACAAAACCCGTTCAAAATTACTTACAAATAATGACTTGAATCATATAGATTTGACATTTAAATTACTTTTTGTTTGATAAAAACTCGAGCCGGGAGAGCCAAGTTTTTGACAATTTCTTTTTTAATTGTACAAATTATATTTTAATTAGTTTATTATTTGAACGGGCACTACAATTATAATAATAAATGCCTTTACTTAGTAAAGCACCTACTTACTATTTTATATAGAAAATTGGTCGATTAATGATTTTATCGCACGGTACTCTGCTAGTAAAATGATTTGTACTCAAATATTATTCAATTTAATAAAATAATATCTAAGTTTCATTATATTCAAGTGCAAAAACGAACCTCTTTTATTACAAAATCTATTTTTTTTAAACTTTAGTTAAAGTTAAGATATATCTAAAAGACTAAACTTATAATTCTCTCAGTAAAATCCTCAGGTAGAGAAGTAGATGTAACTACATCCATTTTTAACAAGCCAAGTTGTTAGGAGTTTGTTAACTGACTTTGAAAGTATCGTTAAGGTAAGACTTAGCCCAAACTTTGCAACTTAAATAAACATGAAAGTGTGAGCCGTACGAGGACTTAATGTTTGTTTAATGTTCGCTGAAATCCTGTAAAGTTCAATCATTTGGAACGAGGACTCGTCAGTAGGCCTAAGATGCGCGCCGTGATAAATTTTATCAACGTCAAAATGTATGGGCAAAATCGATAAAATGGCGTGATAACCGCTTATCGTGGAGCGCATCTTAGGCCTACAGGAGTTGCTAACTTTTTATAGAAAGAAGGAACCGTTGACAAAATAAACAGAAGTAAATAAGTAGGTATGATATTGATTGCAAACTTCTGGCACACAGCTGGCGTGGTCGCAGCGCGATGTTAAGCGCGGTATTAGACTGTAGTCATTAGACTAACACTAGTCCCGAAAACTATCAATTTTCCGTGAAAAGTAGAGTGTGTAGCTTTGAAATCTAAATTAAAAGCGTTATTGAGTTTCTTAGCGCGATTTGGCAGTCCATTAAGTAGGTCTCATTTAACTGATATGAAAAAATTTGGGCTTACATCATGTCAACATTTAAAACTGGCTTATCAAAATAGAAAAGGTACCGTCAGAAATAGGCACACGACCTACCGTATTTTCTTTACGAAAGCACCCTTAGCATTTACAATAACTTTAAACCAAGCAGAGAGACCCGCGGTCGTCAAATGGGAACTGGTGGTGTTATCTACTCTCCTCAGCATTCAATGATTGGAATATGTTCTTGTACCAGAAGTCTACGGTCTTCCCCCACGCTCCGAGAGTCGCTGCGTCGAGATTTAGCACTTCGATGAACATCTTCACTAGCACGTTTTTCAAGTCCTGCGGGCAAACAGAGGGGTCAGTCGTGGAACAATGGCCGCTCATTTGCTGAAGAGATTTTGTGAAGTGGAGCCCGCTTGCTATGCACTTACTAACAAGATATGTATGATGTTAATTCTAGTTAATTCATATTTTCTAAAAATAAGTTATCATTTATGTTTAAGCCTAGGGAAGATTACATCAATCAAATCATAATTTTCAAAATTCCAAATATCAAACTCCGAAAACAGGCACTATTGTACGTTTGTACGTTGATTAGTTTTTTGTGATTAAGATTTAGATAAGCATTTTTAACTCTACCTCTACCACTTAGTACGCAATAAAGATTTTGAATTTGAGTTTAGCTACGTGCTAAGCTGGTTTAGTACCTACTTAAATTAATAGGCAAGGCACACACAATTTTTGCATTAAACTTGCTGCGCACACAAATATTTGAATTGAGGTTCGATTATGTGTAAATGCTGACACTAAAAGTTAAAGATCTATAATGGAACTGACCAGCAAGCCAATGAGATTGTAATTCACGCAGAAAATTTGAAACAACTTAATAAATTGTTGATTTAACGGACGTGAATTACAAAATAGGTAAGTAAATAAAATAACTATAAATCAATGTCGATGTTTCTAAAATTCTACTCTGGTCAACTCAACCTTTAACTGTTTGGAATTCATTAGAGGCCACACTGTTAGATTCTTGACTAATAGGTTACTTAGATTGGACTGGTCCCTCAAAGATTAGGTACTATGGAAGTGTATATTAACTTACATGAAAGTTTTGTTCTTTTATTTCTCTTCTCTTATGTGATTCGCCAAGCTTCACCATCATGGCTGCTACAATTTCAGGCTGGTTCAGGTTCATGATGGCTAGGTTCAAAGCTGACATCAGGTTGATCACGTGCGCCTTAAACTGGAAATTCTGGGCGTACTCGCCGTCTGGTAAATTGCGGATCATTTTGAAGTAGTTCTTCGTTTCTGGGTAGGTGGTGAATAGTCTGGAATAAAAAATACATTGTTTAAATTTATATTTAATTAAGTTGTATGGTGACTGTAGATAATATTATTATGGGTATTCATGGCAGCTTTTTGCTAAAGCACGCAGCATGGCTTTTCCTCATACTGATATTTTGTGCACTCTACAAAAAATACTAATTACTTTGAAAACAAACTTGTCATCGGTTGACTTGGAACTAGCGATCTCCCAAATTGGACAGTCCTATGCCGAAAACCATTGGGCTAATTAAATGTCGTCTCAAATTACTATTTTCATTGCACGACTTAAGTTTCATTCGATAAATTAAAGGTTCATACTGAATTAACCTTCATCAAGATAGGTTTAATTTTGAATTGATTATTTCATCATCATGTTCAGTGATTTCTGAGAATGAGTTGTAAAATTAAGAATTTAAAGTAAAGCAAAAAAAGGGTCTGGTCCTCGAACTCACTAAAAAAGAGCTTAATTTTTGATTGTTTCTACGCAGATAATTACTTAATCATACTGAATTTGTGTTCGGTTTCGGACACCAGATCAAATTATTTTGTCATTAATTTATCCATAACACAGTTACAATAAAATTAGTTTTTGTAGTCATTTACCTACTTTTTTTTACCTACCCAACAAGGCCCTATTAACATTTACCAACCTATACGCGTATTTTAGTTGTTTTAAGTTTTATTACGATGATAATAATAACATTGGACATTACTTCCAAACCTGAAGGCAGCTGGAATGCCAGTTAATAAGCTGTGAACCGCGGAAACAATACCACGCATCACATTAGTAGACTGTAGAGTAACCATACGTTGTAGCGTTGCTGTTAACAAATATACTCAGCTGCTATTAAAGAGCTAAGTAGTCTGGATAACTAAGATGACTAAGTTTTCAGGAATGAACTAAGAACACATAGGGATACAATGACATAGGGATGTTTCCTAGGTAAAAAAGCCAGAGTTTTAATAAGTCTGTCAGCTAACTTAACTTTTTTACGCGAGAAAGTTCAAAAGAAGAGGCTGAGTCAATGATCGCTAAAAAAGTGCAGCACTTTGTGACGTCGCGCGGAACTTCAACGCACCATAACTTTGTAATTATTTGTTTGATTGACAATTAAAAATACGGCGGACGGACGGACGGTTGACGGACTAAAAAATATTTTATGGAAACTAGCCTATTTTAATTTTTAATGTTGGCTACCCTACGTCAGGAATTTACGGTGTGGCCACTGAATTCAAATTGAATCTACATTCACTCGTCAGACGGACATGATTTATTCAATCCGATATTGTATTTCGTGGCATTGTCACCGAATTGCCCCCAATTCAACGACCATTCAATTGGAAGTAGATAGACCAGCTAACACATCAAGTTTCATAGACGTACCGTACCATGACCATGTACCATGTTCTATCAATAAGCTTTATTAGGTACTGTAACGTTTTCTGACGATCTGATCTGGTGAAGCTCGCGGGAAGAGCCTGGATGCGGGCAGCGCAGGACCGGTCGTTATGGAAATCCTTAGGGGAGGCCTTTGTCCAGCAGTGGACGTCATTTGGCTGAAACGAACGAACGAACGTTTTATTAAAACTACTAGTCCCGTAGAATGGTCCCGTAGTGTTGGTGTAAAAAATCACAAATGTAAAAAGTAAGAAATGATTTATTTGACAAAAAGAGTGACATCACATTTAATTACATCTATATATATAAAAGAAAGTCGTGTTAGTTACTTCGCTTATAACTCAAGAACGGCTGAACCGATTTAGCTGATAATTGTCAGGGAGGTAGTTTAGAGCCAGGAGAAGGACATAGGATACTTTTTATCCCGTTCGAAATAAAAAAAAAGTCTGCTTATTTATTGCCATTAAGGCGGAACAAAGTTCGCCGGGTCAGCTAGTAAATTATAAAAAGAAAAACATTGTGCCCTGCTGTCAAATAGGGGCCCGACTCGACACCGATTTTCAGCGGGTCCAATGACATTGCTGCTTAAAAATATGCATCCATCCTCACAGTTTCAACTTTCCAATTTTATATTTCAGTACTACCACAGTATTACTAGGATTCATAGAGTTTCATGAGCGATAAACACTGTCATCTTAAACGAACAATGGGTTTGTTCTGCCATAATGTGAAAAGTAAGAATTTACAACGATCATAAATAAAACTGCCAAGTAAGCTGTCTAACAGAGTTCTCCATTTGCAACGCGTTGAAATGTTTAAAGCTGTAATAAATCGGATAAGTGTACCTCCTTTACGACTATAGCACTTACTGGCTACTAGTTTAAATCATAAAAACTATGATTGATAGTTGATAGGTATGTTTGCTTGAAACTTTAATGCCCATTTGTGTGCATTATCTCTATATCTACACTTCTACATCTATACCTTTATACTTACTAATACTTATTACTTACTAATATTATAAGCTGAAGTTGTGGAACATGACGCTCAACCACCATAAGGAAGCAATGGTGTTAGTGCATCTAATATACACAATCTTGGTTTGTCTATATATACTGGGCAGGGTAAAAAACTTCGTCACCGCGATGCAGGATTGTATGCGCAGTGGAGTTTGCCATAGTAAGATCGTAACAGCGCCATCTGTTGGTACGGTTTGTAGTGGCGCAATTTATTAATCACAGTTTGTTTATTTGGTTGAACGCGCTAATCTCAGGAACTACTGGACCAATTTGAAAAATTCTTTTTGTGTTGGATAGTCCGTTAATCCCTGAAGGCTTTAGGCTATATATCATCACGCTAAGACCACTAGGAGCGGAGCACCAATGAAGAATGTTTCAAATCAGTGATTTTTTTCCTTTTGAGAGCTGACGCTGCGTAAACGGTTAAAGTTTCGCATAAATTATGTATGATAGGATTTTCCCCTTTAAAAGTTCTACAAAAAAGTCCGCGACAGCATATGTCTATCTTTTATGGTTGGCTCACTGTAACCTTTTTGTCTGGATGTCTGGATGTTTGTTCCTCTTTCACGCAAAAACTAATAAACGGATTTTGTTGAAACTTTACAGTATTATTATTTATAACCCAGGCTAACATATAGGCTACAATTTATGACGATATGTGACAAACTAAATTTCAATAAATAGTTAAGAGGTGAGAAATATCCTTAAAAACGCCATCTATCGACGTGCTTTTGACGGTCGTAAACATTCATGAGAGCGAAGCCGTGAAACGTATCATTAGTCCTAATTAGGAACTAAATATTACATTTATAGAACTGTTCATAATATTTAAAATTTAGTCATTATAGATATTTTATGTAATTGAATAATTCACTGTGTTTAAACGAGCAAATCAAAGTCTAAATTAGTGACCGCCATCTATCGACGTGCTTTTGACGGTCGTTAACATTCATGAGAGCGAAGCCGTGAAAAGTATCATTTAAATGTATGTAATTGAATCATTCACTGTGTTTAAACGATCAAATAGTATTCAAACATTTAGATAATAACGTTAAAAACCATTTAAAAATCCTATGAGAACTTTTTCGACTTCTACACGGACAAAGTCGCGGGCAAAAGCTATTTGTAAAATCATCATCATCATCATCATCATCATCATTTCAGCCATAGGACGTCCACTGCTGAACATAGGCCTTTGTAAAATAATTAGAAATAAATAAATAAATAAATTAAAAGTGCCTACCCAAAGTCATTAGTCCACGCGGACGAAGTCGCGGGCACAGCTAGTCAAGGATACAAATACGTAGTTGCATCACAAAATCAATCTCAATATCGAATGAAAATTCCTTTTAATTTGTCAAGACTAATGCAATGTTCATAAGCAAGTGCACATCTTTGAGTAGGTAAGTACATTTGGGAATTTCAGGGATTACTTATGACTATTGACTGTAACATCTAAGTATGTTCCTGAAATCTGAATTCAGATTACAACCCCTATGGCCTGAAGTAAGTATGTAATATCTTCTAAGTAAGAGTGAAAGAAAACAAAACAAGCACGGAAATCTTATCGAAATTAATTGGTTGTGATCTCAATTCAGATTTCAGGAACATCATTAACACGCCACAGAGGTGCTTGCGTGTACCATAAGTAGATTTAATATTGTGCTCACTGCAAAGCATTAGGTACACGTAAAATAGAATTTTCCATTACTTACATTACTCCTAGTGAGAGAGCACCTTTAATACAAATACTTATGGGTTTATGCGATTAGGTTACCAATGTGGTTTATTATTTAAGTCTGCCTTCGTGGTCTACTTGTGGTTTTACACTTCCTACTTACTAGGTAATTCCTACTTAGCAGTAGGCTATAGTTTTTGAAATGACAAATATTACTTTTTCAAAATTAATAATATCGTCTAAAAGCCTTTCGCAGAATTACCAGAACTATAAACTTTGAAATAAATTAGAAAATTTACTAGTAGGTGGTTATACCAAAATTAAAACATGTTACAAAAACTAATTTAAAAATATAAAAAAAATATATTTGCTTTGGGTGGGAGTTAAACAACGTTTCCAAGTTTCATTAATTAAAAACAAAAGCTTTTTTACCTTAAATAAAACAATAAAGTAAGTATGTAATAAAAAAAACGTCAAATTTTTGTGATGATTTACACAGAAATTCACTTCAGTCAAGCTTAGAAATTATCGGAAGAAATATGTCAGCAAAACTGGCAGGCATTTTTGGAATAGTTTCGTAAAGCGTGCCAAGCGCTTTAAACTTCCAGTGCTAATGGTGTTTGAGACTGTGGTATTTGAAAACCCGGTTTACACCCGACAGGGTTTTAAAAAAAACTTTAATAAAAATGTATAAAGGGTGGACTTAATGCTAAAAGTATTTGGTCATTTTAAAATCCGATAACAGTTAATGCTACGAGACTTGAAGTTGTCTTATTATTATTATTAACAACATTTTTGAATAAATGTTAATCTACTAGAATCATTCCTCTTTGTTCCAATTGTGGTATTACCTATCTGAATAGACCGCATCAAGAAAACTACAGGCACCTAGATTTCAGCCGAGCTTTTCCAGTTGCAGGATTGTAGTTGCTACGAAAAGATCTTTCGTAGTCAACATTTTTGTAGCTTTTTGCAGCTTTCTTCATTTACTGTTAAGTAATCTTAAAACAAATATTTGGATATTTTCTTCAAACTACGTTTGTAATTTAGCAGTTGAGCTGAGCTTTTATTTTCATTTCTTAGAGGAGACCGAGGAAAGTTGTGACAGAGTAGTAATTGTGACATTGTCGATTTTTTGGAACTTAACTACCTACTAGCGAGCTCGTAACAGTGCGCGTTTTTAGTTCAAGTCTCGAGTTAACAAATACGCGCTGTTGCGAGCTCATCGATAGTTAAATATAGGTTTTCAAAAATGGACAATGTCACAACTCTCCTCTGTCACAACTCTCCTCGGTCTCGCCTATCCTACTTCAGTTAAAATTCAAAGATTTGCGGAAATCTCACGTCAAAGTCGTCGGTAGTAAATCGCACCACAGCGACGCTATAAATCAGCTCTAATTTCCCAGAACACGTATTGATTTGATCGAGTCGCGACACTTTTAGCTTTACGATGTCGTATCGTCGGTGTCGCCGCGGGAAAACAATCGCATTCGTCTAAACTTGCGAGTGGTAGCCATATTATCAAACTTTAAAATTTCATGGTAACTAAACTCACTAATATAATAATTATTATTGACGGGATTGCTACCATCGTCCATCCGTGATCATGGTGCTTGCAACAGTGCCGAAATATCGGAGACTCAAAATTAAAGTACCTACATACATGGTAGCAATCACGTCTATAATAATAATTACGAATAAATCGATCGTTTAGGGCTGCCGTAACGTTTTGAGTAGGCCAGTCATGCGTTTGAAAGACCGCACACTGTTGGTAATTGATACTTTTATTTCAACGCAGTCGTACAATGTTCCGCATTCGGTCATGCAGCGGCTTAACACGTCTTATTTGAAAAAGGGCTTACTTAACCTAGAATCGATTATCGACCTAGACTCATTTCAAGTAGATATTTATGAGTTAAATGTATCTAAATTGCGAAGGGAAGGATACCCCGTTCACGTCTCACTGTCACGCGAGGAAAGGGTGCAGTAGAGACTGATATAGCACACATAGTACTAAGACAGTATCAGTAATAACTGGATGGTAAGGTATGCACAGTTCACGGTTTGCGGTCACGTGAAGGCAGGAGGTAGCGAAAACTTTTATGAAGCTTCCAGCTCTTTAACAGTATCCAAATAGAGTTGAAGTTCTCATAATAATAATAATCATCATCATCATCAACAGCCCTTTACAGTCCACTGCTGGACTATGAGCCTCCTCCACTAAAATGGAGGGTTTTGCCATAATCCCCACGCTTGGCAGGCGGGTTGGAGATCGCAGTTTAAAAGATTGATGTTTTTCAGAGAGCGCTCCTGCCCGTTCTCTGTTTGATGTGTCTCCTCTTATATTTAGTAGTCGCCTCTTACAACACCCGCGGGAAGAGTAGGGGTTGGTGACAAATGTATTGTACCTTCATAATAATAATATACACTATCAAAAATGTAGGTAAGATTAAAAACTAAAAAGCAAACTATTTGGGTTTAGCAGCTGGCTTCAGAATATTGATTCTGATCGAATTGAGCAGTAAGAATAAGGAATCCAAGTAAAGCATTAAATTAGTATCTATTCCATAATGATTTAGCGAGAATACAAAACCTATTTCGCTTATGTATTCGCTATTTGTAATTCGCCTTTTATAAGTATAGAATAAGCACATCAAGTTGAATACGAACATTCTATGTAGTTGTAATAAGTAGGTACTATTTTGGCATAATAGTGTTGAATTTGAGTGCTGTTGTATAATAAAGTTTTACGCCCGCAATCGGCCACACAGTCCCGCACGTGTTGTTTAAAACAATAATAGCATTCGGTTCAGCAAATACTGGAAATAAATGCCAATATTTGTTTGTGGCGAATAATACAATGTATGTTCTATTAGATGGAAAAATAAATAACTATAAGTACACTTTTAGTTTCCTTGCATACATTATGCTTTTGCTCTAGTTTGGATTTTTCGGAGGTGAACGAGTATTAAGTTATATAATAGTTTTATGTACCTACCTAAGTACTTTCATGACTATTCTGTCTATTTGTTTGTTACGTTATCACGTGAAAATGAAAGTTCCTCATGAAAATGATCCTGTAGATTTCTGTTCTAACTACCGAACTGATTTGTCTACAGTGACTAGATTCGTCATCAATGATTAATGATTTTATTATGGAATCCCGGAGGATATCTCACAGGTTCTTAACCAAAATTAAATTTGACTGTTGAGATGTTTTTATTGAACACTAAGGCTGAGTTGCACCACCTTATTTTAACCGTGATTAAACCACAACCAGTCTTTTTTGTATGGAGTTTGACAGACTTTTGACAGTTGCTAAAGTTATAGTAAGATGGTGCAACCCAGTCTAAAAAAAATGGCATACCTGTTCAAAATTTCCGTCCCGTTGGCCACTGAATTGGCATACACTGGTGCCCAGGATTTCTGCACGGCGTAAATCTCTCTCTTGGTGAGCCCGGACACTGGGTTTACCGCGTCAGGGTCTCCGCCCCACCAGATGTAGCTCAACCACGCGCCCATCGTTAACTGGAACAAAAGAAGATCTTTGAAATGAAATAGTTTATAATAAACAGATTTTTTTTAAACTTAGGCAAACTTAACTCTAAACAAAATAAAAATATAAACTTATTTTACTCAAAAATAAAAGTGTGTCCGTGAGGCAAAGAGGCGAGGATGCTGGCTGCATTTCCTCGCTGAATGGCAATACTAAGCCTTTGTGCAAGGAAAGAGCCAGCATTTAGATTTTCCGAAATTTTAATTAATTTAGGGGAAATGGTCCGAAACAATAATTTTGCATTCGGTCCCCAAGGTCCGAAGGTCTCGACACCAAAAGGCGCAAATATGTAATCATTAGAAAGTGACTCATATTTGCGCCGTTCCTGAGTGAAACTCAGCCGACTCCGCTGCAGCCCCAGCTTTAGCAACTGATTCCCTGAGGTGGGAAGGAGCTAAAGTATCGACACATGTAGCGTCCCAAACTAAAGCCCGTCCCCGTTCCCAAGGAACCAGAGTGAGACCATCAGGTCTCTTGCCATCATCACGGACCAATCCACGTGGTTCTAACGTGGAAGGAACTTTGATGCTGGCAAGGGCTCTCTTGATGGCGTCGTTGAGAGCAGCGTTTATTGTAAATAAAGATAATTACAATAGTTTATTCAGTAAATAGGCCCTTTCCAGGGCACTTACGCCCGTATTTACAAACATTACTATGAGGTTTCATAGTGCGCGTGAACGCACAGGGTGACATACGAGAAGACAGAGTTCTATTCAAAGCTGTGCGTTCGATGTTCTGATTCCCAATTTTATGACAGTCTTTCATGTAGTGCCGGATTCACCCATAAGCAAATTAAGCAATTGCTACTGCACTTCTAGGGGACACCAAAGAGAGCACCAAAAACATTGCGAGCATATAAAAACTATAATCCGCGAATTTAAGACATGTAGAAGTCGCAAGTTGCATTTCAATTTGCAAAAAAATTCTTATATTTTTAAAAATGCGAAAAGATTATCAAGGTATCTTATATCAATAGATAGGAAGTATCTAAGTCCGGTTTTAACTAAATTTGAATCTTATCATACTCGTAGTTATCATGATTAGATAAAATACATTTATGCAATATTTTTTAATCAAGTGATTTACTGATTGTTAGATCAATCTAATATCTAACTATGATGGATAAGATAAGCACTTTCGCATCTAATACAGTTGTAACAGTTGCTATTTTGCTAAAAAATATTATGTTATGTGACTCTACATGACTGGTTAAAATCATATACATAATCAAATGATATCAGAAGATTCTCTATATTGAGCTCTACTTAAGATATAAAATTAAATATTTCATAAATTGATAATAGACTTATCTTTGTGACGAATATAGAGTCCATGATCATAAGTCAGTTGCAAGTGGGACGATAAATTGATAAACTTTACTAAAATAAGTTAAACAAAGTTAAAAAATATTTTTTAAACATACATATGAAGAACTTTCAATCATCTTTCAGGTAGGTATTCAAACAACGTACTTAGAACAAAAAATACGTAAAAAGCAGGAGATATTCGTCAAAAATTGATCGATTAATATAAAATAAAACCTCAAAGTCGTGATGATGAGTATGATAAGTATTGAACAAGATTAGTACAATTATTAGCATGAATGATAATTAGGTACCTCTTCATTAGATGTTATTAGATATGTATTTTACAATATTCATATAATTGGAACTAATCCTGCTAAAATATTACGTAAATCATCTCAATCATAATCTACTAGCTTTCCGCCCGCGGCTTCGCCCGCGTTGAATTTTTTCTGTCACAGAAAAAATTAAACGCGCGCATCCATGTTTAAAAAACTGGGATAAAAACTATCCTATGTCCTTTCCCGGGACTCAAACTATCTCTATGCCAAATTTCATCAAAATCGGTTTAGTGGTTTAGGTGTGAAAGCAAGACAGATAGACAGAGTTACTTTTGCATTTATAATATTAGTATAGAGAAGTATAGATAGTATAGATCATAAATTTATAGTGAAAACGTCTACTACCTTGCTAAATAGAGAAAAACTGACTTTTGAAAGGTAACTTTCTCCTGACAGGTTAAAATAGATTTTGTGTATCAAAACCTCACCTATACGCAATCTTATGCTTTGACGAATCTTTGCACTTTTACCTTAGGGTGCTTGGATTTCTTCAGCACTAAAATCGCTGTCAGCAACATAAATATTGAAGACAGGTATACGAAAAGTAGCATTTTCGCGAAACTTTAAACCGAAACTGACTGTACAGAAGACTCTACCATACTGGTTTGTATCAAAATTGCCTGCTAAGTTTTGTGTTTTGTTCACCAAACATGGGAGGAGTTATCTAAGGTAACTGACAAGTACAAATAAGCGTTGTTAGTTCTGTCAGTCGTTGCATGTGCAAACTGCGCTACATTTCGCATTAAATCCAAATATTTGACCGCCTATTGTTATGACGAAAGTCTAGGCAGACTAATGTTTCTCTAGACTCTAGGCTTTACTAATTTATATTTAAAAAACAAGACAACATAAGACTACGTTTTCGCGTGGTTACGTTGTGAAGACCTAGACAGTTTATAGTAAATTAGCACTACCTAAGTACAAAACTTACCTGTGCTTATGACAGTGCAACACGAAAGTCTAAATGTAGTATTTTCTAGCACAAAATACACAGCGAAGTGGATACCGCACTGACTAAATTCTAGTACAGATATGAAGATGCTATTTGAACTCCGCAGAAGTTATCTTTATCTACTTAATAAACAATAAACTTATTAACAGTTTTCTGCAAGAGTTAAAGCGAAAAAAATATTTGTGTTCCAAGTGTTTCTTTAAATAGTTTTTATCACTACGCTCACGTGAGCTTCGATATCAAGTTGTTTTTTATTTATTACTAGCGGCCGCCCGCGACTTCGTACGCGTGGATCCCGTTTTACCCCCTTAGGGGTGGAGTTTCGTAAAATCCTTTCTTAGCAGATGCCTACGTCATAACATCTACCTGCTGCCAAATTTCAGCTCGATCCGTCCAGTGGTTTGGGCTGTGCGTTGATAGATCACTATGTCAGTCAGTCAGTTAGTCAGTCAGTCAGTCACCTTTCAATACTCAATCGTTTATTGCATAATCACATTAGCACATTCACATTAGGTCTTACAATTTAGGCAGTTATACAATGTGGACCCAGTTAGGGCACAGCAACTTTAGGAAGGAGACAGAACGACGATCTTAATAGTTTCAAAAGAAATTAATGTACAAATAGAGTTTGGTGGAAATGTCATTTAGTTATTAAGTCACGAGCACATTTATCAGTTCTAACAGTTGTTTATTTTCCCAATCATGTGACTTATTATCATATTAATGAGGAACAGTTGCAAACAAACCGCTTGAACCACGTGCAAACTCTTGAACAAACTATACCAAGACCCAGATTAAATATGTATACTTTTACTTACATGCTTAAATATTTATTTAAAATACTGTAATCAAAAAAAATATCTCTGGGTTTCATTAACTCTTTTTAAATTTTTTTAGCTCAATTGCGCATTAATATCATTATTAATTACAAATTAAAATATTATAAACAACACAACTCGGCACGTAACGACTGTGCCTGAATCCTAGAGCGCTGTACTTTTTCACCGACTTCAACAAAAGGAGGAATTTCAATTCGGTTGTTTTTTTAACTTTTTTTTTTAAATATGATCTTTTGTTATGCCTTGCAAATGGCTTTTAGTTTGGGAATAACGGAGAAACTGCTTTATACTGCATGCATACGCTGCACAAAAATCCAGTTTACAGCAGGTCATTATTAGTGCACTATAAAACAAAAGTTCCAAAAACCGGTAATATAGCCGACAATCAGACAAGCGCCTATTCGCGAAAAAACGAACGCTAATCAAATATTTGCATTCGGTAATAAACAGTTATTTAATTTATTTCATAAATTTTTATGCAAACTTAAGATCTAAAGAGGTCCTTACTTTGTTCATGTTTGTTTGATATTAAGCGAAAAGATAGCTTTGCAGCGCAAGCGGTTATGTAGCGCTATAATAGCTGTAGTAAAATGCCATTTGCTTTCGCAGCGCTTTCCAGCGGCTGTGCAGCTAAGCCACCTAATGTGAACATACTAATAATACGGCTCATTTTGTGCACCACCACCATACTTTAGGGCGCCTTCAGATTAGATGTGTGTGCGCTGCAGCGATGTGATAACATAACAGACGTGCTTCTACAGGGTGACTTTGCAAACAGTTACTCGCCCGTATTCACAAACGATGCTTGCTTAAGTGAAGCAGCAAATCGAACGCACAGCGTTGAATAGAGCTCTGCGATTGGTTCGTGTGTCACCCTGTGCATCCACGCGCACTATGAGACCTCATAGTAATGTTTGTGAATACGGGCGACTGTTGCCTATTGGCGCGACTCAGAATCAGTAACTTAATCGATGTACGTAAAGAAAACTTTTTTTTTCAAGTGCCACGATACGATGGATTCTATTGGAGATTTTTTTTTATAAAATCCAATGGGTATAATGCCAAGACAAAATTTCATTAAGACATCATTTCAGTCCTGAAACCCGTCTAAATTTTTAATTTAGGTAATAATAATAAATAATAAATCTTTGGACAATTTCTGTCAGGAATTTTGATAGCTAGTTCATAAAAAGTATGTCCCTAATTCACTTGTTGCGATTGCAAAAATGTAGAGCTTGTGTTGCGCAAAGAACTGTGATGTGACGCGACAGTAGTGCGACTGTGATGCCACCGCAGTGCATCAGCCTAGTCTAAAGGAGCCTTTATACAAACAATAGCTCGAGCCTCAAACACTTGACAAACCGGCGACAATATTTGCACAGACGAGCGACTGTTGGCGGAGCAACGAACGCTCTGCAAATATGTATTTCCGCAATGCCTCGACAACGCGGCCATGTTTATTTAAAACATAAAGTATTTTATGCTAATTGGATGAATGAGAATTTACATTTAACGATTCGGGCTGTCACGTAAAAT